CTCTGACAGAAAACAGACCTTGAGTAACATATACCAGTTCATTTCTGATAAGTATCCTTATTACCGGCTTGAAGATAAGGGATGGAAGGTAAGAGGGAGAGGGGGAGGGGGTGAGTTTTTATTAGGTAGTGTAGTACGTGTTTTTGTTTTTTTAATGTTCTTGTACATGTGTACATATGTGTAATGTGTGTGTACATTGCATGTAGTTTTTTTATTTATTTGTAAGCATTTGTTTTGTTAATATTACATTTTTGCTGTCTCTCTCTTTCTAGAATTCAATACGTCACAACTTGTCTCTTAATCAATATTTTATGAAAGCCCCAAGAGAGAGGGAGGGGCTAGGGTTCGGTAAAGGTGGCTACTGGTGCATGCATCCTGACTATGAGGACAAGCTAACCTCACAAGCTTATGTTAAAAGAAAGAAGAAAGGTATACCTGTCTTCCCTACAGCAAGCCTAATGTCCAGGTAAGGAAGAGAAAGAGTAGCTGAAAGGGAGAGAGGGGGGAGGGAGAGAGGAAGGGGAGGGAGAAATGGAGGGAGAGAGGGAGGGGAGATACATGTACATGTATTAAGAGTGAACTATAACTTGTATTTGCTTCTGTAAAGCTAATTCACACTAGCATACAATACAATTAGAATACTGTGGTTAAGAAATCAAATGTGTACATGTGTAGTTCTTGCATTTTTACATACAGTAATACTCGGTTCATGTATGTTAAAAGTGTCTTGAGGTCACAGCAAGTTTCTGTGTGAACTAGCCTTCAATCTAATATTGTTATTACCAGCCTGGACCTACATGTAGCTAATGTTGACCCCTCATTTGCATTATGAGTATCCCAATAGTCACAACAAATCTTTATTTCATTATTTCTTAATAAAATGACAGACCTCCAGCAACCTCTTGGCTGGTCTGAATAATAACCAGACAATACATGTTGTGAGAGAGACAGACAGTCATAACATCTCTCTCTCTCTTTAGGAGTGCTCCTCCTTCTCCGACTCATCATCATTTTGCTCCTGATATTAATCTTAAAGACCATCATGAGAGTCATTTCCTCATCCGTCCTTCACCGATGCCACACCCTCACTTTACTCTTCCGACTTTCCTCCCCCGTCTCCCTCAGTCCGCCTCTCATTCTCTACCCGCTAGTCCTAATCGTCTACCTCATTTTCCAACAGCAGGGGGCCCCCTTAGATTTTACCCCCTGGGTATTAATTCCACAGCCTCGTCAACCGAGGCCCTAGCTTTAGAGTCACGTCATAGGCTCCGGGCCGATGGGGGAAAAGGGGAGGTACCCTCAACCAAACGTCCTTGTCTTGATGATGGAGGAGTTCCCAAACCTCTTGGTCGTCACGTCGGTCCGGTCATTATGGGCGGGGCCAATCACTCGTTATTGGGGCCACATCCAATGTTTCCCAGATTTCCTTATATGGGCATGCCGTTATTGAATCCGCCCGTGATGGCCACGCCTCCTTGTCCGCCTCGTATGATTATAGAAGAGAAAGAGGAAGAGGATAAAAATGAAGAGACACAAGAAGTAGAAGAGGAAGGGGAGGAGTCTGAGCCTTAAGCCACACCTCTTTTTGCTGGTTAGGAGTAATTATATTATTAGAAGTCAATTATTCATTTAGTATGCCTGGCCACGCCTTTATTAATGGGTGTGGTCATGGTTGACACTTAACTTGCTGTATAAAGTGGGTGTGTGCTATTATTGTATTGTACTGTACGTGGGGTGGGGGGTCAGTTAATTTTTGTTTAATTTCCCCCCTCACCACTGCTCACTTTTTCTCATTTATTTTGCTTCACATTTTACATACACTCACCCCAAAAATTTAATAAAAAATTATTATTATTATTATTATTATCATAAATAATAACTTTGAACTAGATTTCAATTTATCCCTCTGTCTTCCTAAACTCTCATCATTATTATTATTGTTGTTATTATTATTGTTGTTGTTATTATTATTATTGTTGTGTTATGTTTTATTGCCGCTAATTGAGAAACAAAGTTTAAAATAATATTAAATTTATGTATAAAAAATCTCAACGCATCACATCGTAATAGAGAGTTTAATATTAACGTAAAACATTTTTGACTAGTATTAAATAAAATTATTTTATTATTTTGCTGACATATTTGTTTCCTTTAATGTAATATCTGAGATTCTTCTCAGCCCATTCCTGAGCATAGTCAACACCAATTCTGGGACAACCGATTATTTCTAATTGATGCCTACCCTCTCTAGTCTCCACCCATATTTCATTGGAAGTACTTAAGTTTGTTTTGTCTTGTTCTTTACTGATTCCCATTGCCTGGCAGAGCTTACCAGGACCGCGACACAGGTCTTCATCTTTGCGACATTTTTTTCGTCTTTCTCTCATCGTTTCTGCTCCATCCAGGGGTTCCAGTGAACGTATTAATATTGCTGCCCCCTCACCGAGACTGCTGATGTTGACGCAGTGATGCATGCCATATATGGAATAGACGTAACATGTCCCTGGTGGCATATACATGGCTTCATTCCTATCAAAGTAAAGAGTTTATTTTAAAGCATACAATTAAAGTTGATAAATCTTGCCAATTTTCTTAAAATGGCCGTAACTTGAAAAATTGAAGTCGGAATCAACTAAAACTTTCTACATAGCATAAGAACATCTATATGTATCTGAAAATGTAATAAAAATTTGGGGTGATTTTGGAGCCATTTTTCAGAAAAAACCATGGGCTATAGTACAGGGTATTTTTTAGAATTTGGGGGTTTTCCTAAAATGGCTGTAACTTGAAAAATTGAAGTCGGAATCAGCTCAAACTTGCTACACAGCATAAGGACATCAATATGTATCTGAAAATGTAATAAAAATTTGGGATGATTATGGAGCCATTTTTTAGAAAAAACCATGGGCTATAGTACAGGGTATTTTTCAGAATTTTGGGGTTTTCTTAAAATGGCTGTAACTTGAAAAATTGAAGTCGGAATCAGCTCAAACTTGCTACACAGCATAAGGACATCAATATGTATCAAAAAATGTAATAAAAATTTGGGGTGATTTCGGAGCCATTTTTTAGAAAAAACCATGGGCTATAGTACAGGGTATTTTTTAGAATTTGGGGGTTTTCCTAAAATGGCTGTAACTTGAAAAATTGAAGTCGGAATCAGCTCAAACTTGCTACACAGCATAAGGACATCAATATGTATCAAAAAATGTAATAAAAATTTGGGGTGATTTCGGAGCCATTTTTTAGAAAAAACCATGGGCTATAGTACAGGGTATTTTTCAGAATTTTGGGGTTTTCTTAAAATGGCTGTAACTTGAAAAATTGAAGTCGGAATCAGCTCAAACTTTCTACACAGCATAAGGGCATCAATATGTATCTGAAAATGTAATAAAAATTTGGGGTGATTTCGGAGCCATTTTTCAGAAAAAACCATGGGCTATAGTACAGGGTATTTTTTAGAATTTGGGGGTTTTCCTAAAATGGCTGTAACTTGAAAAATTGAAGTCGGAATCAGCTCAAACTTGCTACACAGCATAAGGACATCAATATGTATCAAAAAATGTAATAAAAATTTGGGGTGATTTCGGAGCCATTTTTTAGAAAAAACCATGGGCTATAGTACAGGGTATTTTTCAGAATTTTGGCGTTTTTTAAAAATGACCGTAACTTGAAAAATTGAAGTTAGAATCAGCTCAAACTTTCTACACAGCACAAGGACATCAATATGTATCTGAAAATGTAATAAAAATTTGAGGTGATTTTTGAGCCATTTTTCAGAAAAAACCATGGGCTATAGTACAGGGTATTTTTCAGAATTTTGGTGTTTTCTTGAAATGGCCGTAACTTGAAAAATTTGTCAGAATCACCTTAAATTTTCCGTAAGGATATCAATACTTATGACAACAAATTGATGGTGGTTTCACAAAGAGAAAAGGTTTCACTCTCCTACCAATATATTATGCAGTTCAAATCCCAAAATCTACCTTGGAGTTCTTTTTCCATTGTAAGAGTGTGATGCTTTATCAGGCCCTCCTAGGTATGCTTCAGTCTCCACAATCAATCCTTTAGTGACTACCCAGCTTCCTCCTCCTTCCCTCATTTTTGTAACAAGAACACAACCAAGCAGCTTCTTTGCTAGATCTTCACAGCTAGCACAATAAAAATTATAATCACATCTACAGAAGTAATAGGATGATGTAAGATATCTGGAGCAAATTGAATACTTTGGAGGAGAGTGCAGTGGCTCAATTTTCATGACTTTCTTTTCTTTGATTGTTTCATCTGTCTCTTCTTCATGTTGCAATTGCTCATCTTCTTTATCTTTTCTTCTTTTTCTCTGTAGTCTCTCAGCAATTGTACTCATATCTAATATATATCTAAACCAAGCAAGCTTATGATGATGTCTTTAACTGCTAATAGTGCTACACACCCTCTTTAATAACTGGCCACCTTCTATTAATAACTAGCCTTTGAGTGGATATTTTTTGACACTTATTTAGCACCTTTTATTGCAAAACACAGGAAATTCTATTTTAATTAATCATAATAGCAATTATTAAATAAAGATTAAAATTAATGTATTATTTGTCACAAAGAAGAGGAGTACATTTGTAGCTAGATTGAATCCCTCATAGCCAGCTGCTCTCTGGACTTTGACTTATAAAATTCTTCTTCCTCAGAGGAACGCTCCGAGGCTTTTGATTAAAGGAGCGCCCCTGCAGTCCTAGTGGGGAGGAAGAGACGTGAGTTAGAGGAGGAGACGGTGACATTGACTCCGGGTATACTTCAGGAGAGAGGCCCTTCCTCCCATTACCGCTATCATTCCTGGTCCCTCTAATGCTTTTGTTCTCTGGGATATTGTCATAATCGCTAGATCCGTCACGTCTATGATAATACTGCCCATTGTAAGAAGACAAGTCGTCATTACTCCCTACTCCTCCTTCCAGCGACTCCACGCTGTACTGCAGGGGATGGTGTCCTTTTTTCTCTAGAGTATTAGTCTGTGACGAACTACGGGACGAGTTTGAAGAGCGTCTCTTGATAACCGTGGTGTCATAGTGAGTCTGTGATCCTTTCCTTGGTGGAGTCACTCTCATTCCTCCTCCAGCGTTGTCATGGTAGTATCCACTCCCTGTTCTACTTAGTTCCATTGTTTTGGAGGTTGGCAGACGAAAGCTGCTGTGGGCAGGCTCTGACGACTTCCTAAATTGCGAAAAGGTTGTCGACTGCGAAGTTTTAAAGTTGCTTCTTTCTTCTCCTCTGGTGTACTCGTCTAAGTTTACATTAACGACAGGTTCTGAGTACTGTCGGATATGACTACCCGATCGATGGCGTGGGACACTGGACGACGGCGGTGGTGACGATGGATACAATAGCTCATCCATTCGATTCAAAATGGAGTAGCGATAAGATTTCTTCTCTACCTCAAGGAACGAAGGCACGCTAGCAGGTCCATCAAATTCCCTGTCGAATGCCTCTAGCTCTGACTTTGCTTCCTCTTGTAATTTTTGTCTTAGTAGCTGCATCTCGTATGCAACGCTGCTACGACTGCTCTTCTTGTCAACATCGACTTTAAGTCTATCAGAGAGAGGAGAGGTGGCAGTGAAAGAGTGCTGTTTCTGCATCCTCTCAGTAGATTGGCTTGTTTTAGGCGCATGTACTGTAGGAGAGTCGGTCTGTTCGGTCCCTTTTGATTTTGAGGATCGTGGCTTTGAAAGGCAAGTAAACTTAGATAAACTCTCTTCCCCAAAGAACTGTGCTAGTATATCATCGTCATCCTTTGCCTCTGTCTCTGGCCTCAGTTTCTTTAGAGGAGTGAACCCAGTACTATTGCTAGTAGCATCAGTATTGTTGGTGGTTGATGAACCAGTTCTAGGAGGTGTAGTATTGGTAGTTATATCAAGTGATACGTGGCTCCCTGATCCAGGAGTCTTCTCATCTCTTGAATAATAATCGCTGTGTCCACTTGAGTTCAGCTCTTCTTCTTTGATGGACTCTGATTGTGTTATATTATCATCAGTTTCCTGATCCTGTTGTGACTGCTCAGAGTAGCCATTCTTCTTCTGTGATTCTCTAATGTCAGTGATGGCAGAGTGAGCTCTGAGCAGTTGGTGCAATATACCGCGATCAGTATCTCTCATGGCAGCCTAGAGAGAGAGAGAGAGAGAGAGAGAGAGAGAGAGAGAGAGAGAGAGAGAGAGAGAGGGGGGGGGGGAGAGAGAGAGAGAGAGAAAGAGAGGGGGGGAGAGAGAGAGAGAGAGAGAGAGAGAGGGTATAAGAGAATTGCATAATGATAACACGATAGAAATTCAATATCAGTGTAAACACATTCCACAGATACATATAATAATGACATCAAATATGCATTGAATTAGCAAACAAGGAAAGTCCAGGACTCGGCATTGAGTCAGTGGAGACATTGTGACAGGGACAGCAAGTTTAACACATTGGTTAATGATAGCTGTAAAATCCAAAAATAATTGTAACATACAGTGGATTTTATATGATAATCTAATCCACAGGAGGATTGCTGTACCCACACACTAACTATAAACAAATTTTATAACTTCCTGTCCTTACTATAGCAATAATCAAAGGAATGTGCAAGGGCCAAGAATATGTAATAATAAGAGGGAAAATATTTTAAGATGACAGCTGTTTATCCCACATCAGAGAAAGGAGTAAATTGTTCCTCTCTCTCTCTCTCTCTCTCACACACACACTCACTCAGTCTATTTCTGGTGACATGCATGTACATGTAATTTAATATTTCACACACATGTATATAAACATTGCACTGCTATGCGAGTAACATGATTGTACAAATTTGTGTAGTCAGGAGCAAATTGCAACTATCAATTCGCAAGATTATTATTATTATTACCAATTAGAGCCACCATGAAAGGTAGCTGTCATCATAACCTAATGAAACCATCAAATAGAACACACGCAATATAACGTACATGTGTACATGTATAGTACATGCCGGACTATTGTGAGTGTTCTGTATTATATTGATGAATGGTTTCTGTGTAGATGACATTATAATGAACACACCAATGGAATGATAGGTGGTATTACATCATCAACCTAGTCTACACAATAGCACCATTGTCAATTTCACACCTCAAGAAGACTTACAGCAGCAGGTACATGTACATGTACATGTACATGTAGCTGGAGAGGGTGGAGATGGGCTTTTTTAACTGACAGGATGGGCTGCTGAAAAAGCGTTTGTCAGTTTGATCATGGTTTGAATGAGCGACACTGTTAACAGACATAGAAAGTAAAGAGAGATACATTCTGTTTAACATAGGAATACTCTCCCTCCCTCGCCTTCTTGTTTCGTAATTCCTTGGAAAAACAAACCATAAGTTATCATTAAGGAAACAACACTGATTAGCAGCGTCCTTGCAACACTTACAGGAAAGGAGCAGGTTAATCATTATGAACTAATATAGACTATACAGGCTCATCAAGCTATGTATTATACATCAACACACATTCATGATCATAATGAATATTCATCATAATCGAATCATACAAACATTCCAAGAGTAGACGATATTATGGTCAAGCAGTTACTACGATTACATGAAAGTTATGAGAACTATTGGACAGTGGACCTGCACAAACATCAAACAGTAACTTAGTCAAATTACACTTTGAGAGAGACGGCCCGTGAATAACAAATAAATAGCATGAGGGACTGTTTGATTGGCACAGGCAGCAGGTTCATGTATTGTGAATTTATGATGTGTCTATCAGTGCATTAAAGGGAGTATCTAAACAGAACAGAAAACATGTACACAGGGTAATGGAGTAATATTGATTAGTACTGAATTCCTCATTCCTCTTACATCAGAGGTGGGTTACACCTAGCATAACAATTATAATTAGGTTATACCTGATACATGCAGCAATGCATAAGTGTACATAACAATGCACGTACATAATCGAGTTATTGCTACGTTGTTTATAACTTTTACTATAAAAGTAGAGAATGTCATAATAGATGTACATGTATACGTATAATCTAATGATGATCCTTAGTTAGCAGATTATGCGTAGGAAACTGTAGCAGAGTGGTATCTAATCTTAATCAATAATAACTAAGTAAACAGGATCATATTTATGAGTATAATATAATGCCCAACATTTGTAGTACATTGTGCATGTTATGACTTTAAAATACATGTAGGTTAGAGACTAATTATGACGTAGATAAGGTAAAAATTTTATTTTATAAAGAGAAAGGGCTCATTTGTACTGCTCAACGAACCACGCAAATGCTCAAAATAGCAGGAATGCCTCCGTGACAAATCAAAACAACTGAAATAGTAAACTTTTAATACCGTGACCAACTACTGCAGCTGCCAGCAAATTACTGACACTTGACACATGAGCGAACACACACACACGGAGTACACACACATGTGCATGTAAATATACATGTACATGTAAACATAAATATTATACAAACACATGCACTATTGAGTACAACAACACTCAAGGAGGAAAGCAAACATTGTCATAAGAGCTAGACACACAATGACAGGAAAAGAATACACAGGATCAACATGATGAGATAATCATCTTTATGAGGCTTTTATTATTTTTGCTGGAGTGTACATGATGTGTATCACAAAATATGGAGCAAACAGAGATTGATATGGACACAACATATGTAAATAGAGTGTTGACAAGTCCTGTATAATAGCTATGTACTACCCATTCATGCAACTATTAGCAGGTCATACAAACAACACAAACTCTTCTCTCATGTCTCTACACTATCATATTTACCAATTCCTCCTTTATCCAGCTAACAGCAGAGGACAGCATAGAGAGTCTCTCTGAGTCGTCCAGAGAGGATTGGTTGCTTTGCTGCTGATGTAGTAGTCCGTTGAGGTCTACTGATGATTGCCCGCTAGCTGTGCTTGCCACCTCTTCATCTTCCAGCGAGGAAAAGCTTCTTGCAGGACCAACTGGGACGTTTAAAGAACTGCTCGAACCTGCTTCAAACGACATGACTGTTAGCTGCAGCAAAAATAGGCTTAGACTGCTCCTGGCTTTGAATAAAGATACCAAATTCACTGTCAATTGTTCACACCAATGATGGCCTCCAGCTATTTCAAGGACAACGCTGCTAATGAAACCGGAAGTGCAATGGGTGTGGCTAAGATAAGACCGGAAGTAGATAGAATGCGTGGGTGTTGAGTAATGAAGGGCAGGGCTTGTTTGTTTTGTGGGTGTGGCTCTGGTAATGTCGACTGGGAAAGAAAAGTGCATGATGCAATGAAAGAGTGAGTTGATTCAATATCCTCTCGCGCATACATCAGGCATTAATGCTGACTAACAGATTATGTTATTGTACGAGGCTTACGCTCGTTCCTTGGGATGTGGTGCAATAAAGCATAGCGCAATGATGGTGCAATTTAAATTACAGTACAGCTGATCTTTTAAAAAGAGGACGGCGTGAGAGAGCGAGCCAGAGCCTGTCAATTGGTAAAGAGAGAGAATGGAGTAGACTAGTATTAGTATGAATATTTAGTCTGTTCTAGTTCCTTAAGACAATAATGATTATTGTCTATTGTTATACTACCATGATGACTGGCTAATACTATTGTAATTCAAACTAGTGGTTTTCATATAATAGACTCGCCCTTCGGTCCTGAAAGGATTACAGTACAGTCCTCACATAATCTTTTCAAGATGGCTGCTGCTTCGATATCGCCAGATTCCTCACAGACAACAATGGAGGACAAAGAGGACTTTGTTACTCCACCCTCAGACTCACCTCCTTCTTCAATGGATGAGAGTACAGATGAGGCTGTGCCTAAAGGCTGTGGTGTGGGTCTTTTTGGATACAAAGTATCCTCAAGTGATCTCATATCCCAGACCGACCCTAAGGTGATTTTATTATTATTTGTATTATTATTCTAGTGCCAAGCTTATCTTTAATTTATTGTTGTCATTGTATCAGCATTATTGGCATTCATTGTTTTGTTTATTTATTATAGCTGCAATATGTCAATCCGTCTTCTGATGAGTTTGATTCTCTTGTCTCAGCTCTCAAGCTCCAAATGGAGGACGGACAAGGAGAGATAATAATCGAACTTGGAATAGGAGGTGAAGGGGGAGGGAGAGGGAGGGAGGGAGAGAAGGAGGGAGGGAGGGGAGAGGGAGGGAGGGAGGTGAAGGGAGAGGGAGGGAGGGAGGGGAGGGAGGGAGAGGGGAGGGGAGAGAGGGAGGGGAGGAGGGGGAGTAGTTGTAAGATGATATGTCACTTTTATGTGTCTATTACATTATTTTGGATAAAATATTTGACGCTTTTGATAATTGGCTAATTGGCTTAAAACAAAACACTTTGTAGGATAATTAAATTTTGCTAAAAATGGCTAGGAGAATTCAACCTTTTAATTACTTTTTTTGATCAAGTTTCAGCTGATTCTAAGCATTTGGAAAATTTAAAATTTGCTTCAAAATTTGGCAAAAGAGAGTAAACCTTATGGCTTCTAAATGTACCATTCTCAAACAGATTTATGCTATAGAAAGATTCTGATTGAAACTTTTCAGCTATGACTACTTTAAAAACTTCCAAATTTGCTATAAATGTATTATCAATTACTATTATTATAAATATTATTGTAATTAAAGATGTATATGTACGTTAGGTGGTTGCTCCAATAATGGATTGAGTGAAAGTGAAATGGACGCCAGCATAGCAACGCTACATGCTGTGGCTGCTGCCTGTGACGCTGACATGACAGTTCTAAGAAAGAAAGGAAGCGAAGGATGTTTACTGGCAGACTGTCTAGTTAGGAGAAAGGTCCAAGAGGATGACTTTCTGGAAGTTAGGTACATACAACATATAAGATAATTAAAAATAGGAAATTATTAAGTAATAGCTGTGTACATACATTGGATGTATTTAAAAATAGCATTTTAATTTTTACCTTATATGGTCGTGTTAACATACACTTTATTATGATTCTCCTTCTTCTTTTCCCTTCTCCTCCTGTGTCTCCCAGAGTTGCTGTGGTCGGGAATGTTGATGCTGGTAAGAGTACATTGCTTGGCGTGTTGACGCACGGCGAGCTCGATAATGGGCGTGGTCACGCTAGACAGAAACTGTTTCGTCACAAGCACGAGATGGAGAGCGGTCGTACGTCAAGTGTAGGATCAGACATACTGGGGTTCGATGACAAAGGAAGGATTGTTAATAAAGTGGATGGACATGGTATGCACATGTACATGTACATGTACACACAATATACATGTACTTGGTACATGTACATGTATGTATGAAATTGTAGTACATGTATAATAGGCATAATTATAATTATAAATATATATATATACATGTACATGTACAGCTCAATTTTTTGCAACTTTAAAAATTCATAAATTATCTAATTTTGATCGGAATTGGCTCAAACTTTCTAGACAGCATAAGAACATGTATATGTATCAGAAAAAATTTGGCCTTTATACATACATGTACATGTATGTGTATATCATTTCTTTTCTATTGCAGGTAGTTTAGACTGGGCTCATATTTGTCGTGTTTCCTCCAAAGTGATCACATTCATTGACTTGGCTGGTCACGAGAAATATTTAAAGACGACCATTTTTGGTATGACTGGCCATGCTCCAGATTTCTGCATGTTAATGGTGAGTGGACAACAATGTATACATACTGGGAACTACTGTTGTAGTATAATGATACCAGCAACAAGATGCTAATGATAATTATGTTGCTAGTGTATTCTCTATTTAGGGTTTACATATGTATTTCCTTTTATTACCCTCATGTGATATAAGTAATTGTTTCCTTTTCCTGCTTGCCTTCTTGAAACTTTCCCTCTTTTCTCTCTCTCTCTCTCTCATTTCTATTATCATATACATTGTACATGTACAAACTGTATTATTATCAGCTCTATAATTATATTAAGTCGCTGTACGCCATCTGTCTGTACTTGTTCATTACTTAAAGTTGTTATGTCTGACATTTAAAAAATTTCTGCTAAAATTGAATTTATGTGTCTCGATATCTCCCTCCCTCTCTCTCTCTCTCTCTCTCTGTCCTTCCTCTTAGATTGGTGCCAATGCTGGTATTGTTGGCATGACTAAAGAGCATCTTGGTCTGGCCCTGGCTCTCGCTGTCCCTGTCTTTGTTGTAGTCACTAAGATTGATATGTGCCCTCCTAACGTCCTCCAAGAGACCATGAAGCTCTTGAACAGGGTTCTTAAATCCCCCGGCTGTAGGAAGATACCTGTAGCCGTGCAAACGCAGGAAGATGTCATCACAACTGCTACCAACTTCACATCTGCAAGGTAAAGAATATTTTATCATCATCATCATCATCATCATCATCATCATCATCATCATCATCATTATTATCATTATTATTATTGTTATTATTGTTAATATTAGGGTGTGTCCCATATTCCAAGTCTCCAATGTGAGTGGGCACAATCTTGAGCTATTGAGGTCATTTTTAAGTTTGCTCTCGGCCAGAATGAGACCAAGAGAAGACAAACCGGCCGAATTTCAAATAGACGAGACCTACTCAGTCCCGGTAAGCAGCTCCCATTACTAGAATAACCACACAGCCCCCCTTCTTCCCACAGGCTATGATTGTTGTTTATTACATTGTTTGTTGTTGTTCTACTTGTTGTTTATTACATTGTTTGTTGTTGTTCTACTTGTTGTTTATTACATTGTTTGTTGTTGTTGTTCTACTTGTTGTTTATTACATTGTTATTACATTGTTTGTTGTTGTTCTACTTTTTGTTTATTACATTGTTTGTTGTTGTTCTACTTGTTGTTTATTACATTGTTTGTTGTTGTTCTACTTGTTGTTTATTACATTGTTTGTTGTTGTTCTACTTGTTGTTTATTACATTGTTTGTTGTTGTTCTACTTGTTGTTTATTACATTGTTTGTTGTTAGGGTGTTGGCACTGTCGTATCAGGTACTTGTTTGCAAGGGACTATCAGTCTTAATGACACTTTACTGCTCGGCCCTAACTCAGTCGGAGAGTTCTTGCCCGTTGCCATTAGAGGAATTCATAGAAAGAGATTACCAGTTAAAGAAGTTAGAGGAGGACAGACAGCTTCTTTTGCTCTTAAAAAGGTACATATTTTAAATGTACATAATTTATGTTAATAATATTATTGTTCTTTTAGATGAAACGTAATCAGATCCGTAAAGGTATGGTGATGTTAGGTGCTGAAACCGATCCCGTCGGCTGTTGGGAGTTTGAGGCTGAGATACTCGTATTACACCATCCAACCACAATATCGCCAAAATATCAAGCAATGGGTAAAAAGAATTAACATCTCTCATTATAAGTTACTCCTCTCTCTCTCTCTCTAGTCCATTGTGGTAGCACACGTCAAACAGCGACTATAATAACAATGGATAAGGATCACTTAAGAACTGGTGATAAAGCGTCCTGCCTGTTCAGGTTCATCAAGAGCCCGGAGTACCTTCACACAGACTCAAGGATGGTCTTTAGGGAAGGCCGCACAAAAGCTATAGGTACAATCACAAAGATACACCCATACATTCCTGGCAGTGGGAGTGGAGTATCAATTGGTGGAGGCACTGCTCATTCTACAAAGAAGAAACCTTCTCAAATGCCGAAGACTCTCTCTGGAGCATCAGTATCTCGTGTGAAGGGAAGGAGAGGAAGAGGAAGGAACTATCATCACATTGATAAGACCAGCTCATCAACATCAGCCAGTGGAGGAGGGGGAGGAATAAGCTTAGAAGGACCATCAACTAGCGATCATAAATAATAAACATTGACTACGAATTAATAATTAATTTTATTTTCAGGTTTATTGCACTCTTGTTCTTGTTATTATTTTTTCATTTTATAGTTTACTAGACCTAGTCTAATCCCATTTAGTACATTATTTTTTTGTTCAAAAATTTTATTTAAGAATAAAATAATATTTATTGAGAGAAATAGAAAGAAAAAAAAAACAAAAATAAAACAGTCAATAAGGTGTGGTCTACAATACATACACGTGCATGTTCTTATAATAAGATGGCGAGTGAGCTATTGTCTCCTACCACTGGGGCAGAGGAAACTCCTCAAAAGCCGAGGTTCTTCTTCCCTAAGATACAAGATAATCCTGATGGATGGGGGCCTTGTGACGTACCGCTACAGTTCAAAGATACACCTTACCAGCCATTCTCTAAAGATGACCGACTGGGAAAAGTACAGTAATCAAAATAAGAGCAGCCATGATTATTTTCATCTCTTTAGGTGGCAGACTGGACTAATAACTTGTATCAGGACAGGAGAACAGCTAGTAAGTTATAAAAATTAATTATTATTTATTATTATTATTATTATTATTATTAATAGATAAATATGGTTCGGCTTATGGCTCTGGTGGTCAGGTGTATACATATTACCATGAGCAGGATGATTCCTCGTTTCGATTGGTTGATTCCTCTCGGCCTCAGCGACCACTCTACAGTAGACCACGAGGAAGACAAATGCAGGTACATGAGTTATTAGTTTAGCCCCGCCCCTTCATCATATCTTTTATTTAACTTCTTTGTCTTTTTTTTTAGAATAAAATCCGTCGCGATCGTGAGAAGAGAGAGGAGAGAAAGCTAGGAGGACGTCAGCAGGTTGCTTTGAAAAAGAACAGGGAAAAGTAAAATAATTATAACTTCAATATCTGATAATAATTATTAATAAATTAACAGGGAGAGGCGTTCCAAAAGAGGCTACAGGTCCAATTATTACGACCGCAATCCAGTGAGTGCGACTGTTTAATTCATTATTGTCTTTGTTTTTCATTAGCCTCAGTTGCGGCCAAGGGCTCCGTCCGTTAGTGTGAAATACAACTGGCAAATGATAAGAGAAATAACATTCCCAGAGTTAAACAAGCTTAGTTATACCCCAAGCAGACCTGAAGACTTGTAAGAGCATTCGTTGTTGTTTAGTGCAGCCATTTTTTTTCTCTCTCTTTCTCTCTAGACACGTTTGTGGTTCAATTGGTTATTATAATGTGCGGAAGGAGAAATCGGTTTCTGTTCGGTGTCCGCAAATTTTGTCGAAATGTACAAAGATATTTAACCCTGTGACAACCTCTGATGACCCTGTCATTGAAAAAGTAATAATAGTATCATTAATTTTTTTCTTTCCCCCATCTCTCTCTCTTTAATTTGCTAAGAAAACCAATCAGTACTTAAACCTTTTTTTTCGTAGCTCGCTAAAGCTCACAAAGATAATTGTAAAGTCTTTGCAACTGATGCCATTTTGGCTACACTAATGACTTGTACTCGCTCCAAATATTCCTGGGACATTGTAGTACAGGTCAGTATACTACTGGAGTGATAGTATACTAACAATATACTGATTATAATAATACGAAATTTTTAAATTTGTAGCGTGTTTCTGATTTCTTGTTTTTTGATAAAAGAGATGATTCTCGTTTTGGTAAGCATAATTACAATGTATTACTATTATCAATATGATTCTATCTACTACTATTATTTCCATTCCTATACCTTGATACTGGTACCAATGTATAGAGTTCCTAACGGTAGACGAGACAGCTAAAGAGCCACCACAAGAGGAGACTGGCATTAACTCCCCACAGAGCCTAGCACTGGAAGCAACTTATATCAATCAGTCGTTGTCACAGCAAATGCTCGTGGTAAGGTCCATGGCCATATGAATATAATTGATATTATAATTGTTTTTAGTCTGCTGCTGGTGGTAAAGGATTATATTCATTTAGGGAACCGAATCCGTTTACTGATGATATTGAGGGAATGCCATCTGTGGCTTATAGGTAATGGCTCTTAGTTTAATTATTTATATTGGAAACATTATAAAAGTCTAGAATCTTCTCATAGCCTTATTTGACAAAATATGTCATGTACATGTACTTGGTCATTTTGGCAAATTTTGAACAACTTTTAAAATTCATATAAAATCTAATTTTGATTGGAATCAGCTCAAACTTTCTACACAACATAAGAACATGTATGTGCATCAGAAAAAGTTATTAAAATAAAAAATTCTCTCCTTGACATTTTTGGCAAAATTTGGTCTGAGACCCTGTACTATAGTACAGGGACTTTGGCCTAATTTTGGAGCAACTTTAAAAATTCATAAAAAATCTAATTTTGATCGGAATCAGCTCAAACTTTCTACACAACATAAGAACATGTATATGCATCAGAAAAAGTTATAAAAATGAAAATTTTTCTCCTTGACATTTTTGGTGAAATTTGGTCTGAGACCCTATACTACAGTACAGGGACTTTGACCTGATTTTAGAGCAACTATTAAAAATTCAGTTTTAAGTATCAGCTTAAATTTGATGCATAATATTCAGAAAATCTAAAACTTGATTTGTTTACTAGATATCGTAAGTATTCCCTGAAGGATGGATCAGGACTGATTGTAAGATGTCAGCATGATGCTGCACTTCCTCCCTCCTCCCCCTCCTCCTCTCCTGACGTCTTCCTTAATATAAAGACACTGAATGAATGGGACCCCAAGGTATGTATAGGCCTTTTCACACTGGCACAGTTTTCAAAATTGTGTTCACACTAGCAGCTGAATTATGTATCATTTTGTGTTCTTGTTGTCATTGGTTTACATTGATCGAAGCGCATCACTTCACATCAATCCACCTCTGGAGGTGAAGTGAGACTGATGGCATCACATTGATTGAAAACCGCTCTAGTGTGAACACGATTAATGTGCATCAATGTGCATTACTTTGCCAGTGTGAAAAGGCCTTATAATAGAAATTGGAATTTCTTTTATACATGTACAATTTCTATTGTACATGTATGATAGAAATGGAGCAATACTTCTCTCTCCCTAGTATGCTGGTGGTAATCATGTTGATTGGCGTAATAATTTGGATCGGCAGAGAGGAGCTGTCTTTGCCACTGAGCTGAAGAACAACAGTTGTAAGATAGCCAAGTGGGCAGTCAGTGCTGCCCTAGCTGGGTCCTCATTTATCAAATTTGGGTACGATCTTGCATGTAATTAAACATTTACAAGTGTGAAGTCATTTTCCAGTAATTATTATAAAGATAGAGAAAAGAGTAAACTGTACTCTCTCTCTCTCTTCTAATTTGCTGGAATAATAATAATAATTGTGATAGTTTCGTTGTTCATTTAGTATATAAACTATTATTATATTGAACTCCATTGCTATCGTACATTTTAATTTTTATTCTTTTCGTAATACAGTCAAACCTGTCTATTCCGGACACCTTGGGACCAAATAAAACTGTCCTTATTATAGAGGTGTCCTTATTTCAGAGGTTCATTAATACACATTACTATTGTATTGGGACTGATACTACCTGTCCTAATTATAGAGGTGTCCTTATTTTAGAGTGTCCACAATAGCAGGTTTCACTGTATCATTTATCTCTCTCTCTCTCTTTAGTTATGTGTCACGTTCAAGTCCTCGTGATTCCTCCAACCATCAGATATTAGGAATACAAACGGAGAGACCCGAGCAACTAGCATCACAGCTCACACTGGATTTACAAAATGCCTGGGGCATACTCCACGCCATCATTGATTACTGCAGGGAGCTTGATCCTGGGAAGTATATAATAATGAAGGATCCTAATAAGGCAAGTACATCATGTGAACTCTTTGAATATCAAAACTTATTATCTCATGCAACACCACAATAATGCATTAAATAATTTATAATAATGGCTACAGTGATGGGTGCTGTTGACTTTTTGATGCCAATTTATGGTTCTTGTGACTTACTATGAGCAGTTACCGTACACATCTTAATTTTCGGGGTGTATTAAATTTTGTTATTTTCGTGCTCACCTTAAATCCATGAAATTTAAACCACCTCTAATGCCATTCTATTGTATGTGGACTATGGCCAGAACACGAAAATTAGCTCACACGAATATTAACTTTTGAACACATTTCATTGAAAACATAAAATTTTAAACACTCGGAAATTTTAACGTATACGGTACTCACTGCTATACTGTAGCCTTATAACTATTATATTATAAGCTTTATAAGGTCATTATTATGCTTATTATTAATAATTATAGGCTGTGATAAGGATATATTCTGTTCCAGCTGATGAGTTTGATAGCGGGGACAGTGATGATGAGGAAAGTGATGGAGGAGCTGGCAGCCAATCAGATGATAATAAATCTGATTAATAACTCTACTATTATAACTTTTAATTAAATAATAATAATAATAATAAATTAAATAATAATTATTAATTAAACAGTAATTATTATTATTAATTAAATCGGCTATAAAAAACTATCAAATCACGTGATAATTGAATTCTGCACGAGGAGCTGCGGTAGGAGACATCTCGTTCGTTGAAGAAGAAAGAAAGAAAAGCTATTAAAATACTTAACAATGGAAGGTATGTTGTATCTTAATTGCTAAATAGTCCTAGATGCATGAAAACAATTTTGATTGGGTTATTGTGCAGCCACACTGAATACTGAACTAAATTGGGGTTATTTTTTGGCAGTGATACTGAATGGATGCAATGATCAGCCTTCCTGCAGTTATCTGGCTAGGATATAAGCTTATTACATAGACTTTATAACAGCTAGCAAACCATGTTTAAGGTAAAAATTTTTGTCAGTGGTTAAAAATTTATGCCACTAGTTTGCAAACTGAAAAATTAAATTTAAGCTATGCCATCGTGATGGCCTGATGATGCAAAGTGCAATTTCAGTGCAAAAATAAAATCACAAAAAAGGAATTTTATATCTTTTCTTTTATGTTGGGTCACAAAAAGTTATACAATGACAAATTTTTGGTGCAAGTTTATCATTTTACCTAATTCAGTTTCACTTTAAAATGATGACATTGTATTGAGTGTTGCTTTTTTAAATTTTATATACAAACCTTGATCACATTCACTGTCAACATGAAGATAAACTGGTAAGTGTTACATAGTCTAGTCACAGTGCATGCTCCTACATTCACAGTAGTGGTAGTAACCAGGGCTACTGAGAGGGGGGGGGCGAGCAAAAGGGGCAAATGCCCTGGGCCCCACAGTTTAAAGGGCCCCAAAAAAATTTTTTAAAGAACTTAAGAAAACAAAAATTATTACAAAAGTTGGGCCCTTCTGGCCTTTTGTCTCAAAAAATCAATAATATTATCAAAATTTAACTTTCTAGCTAGTTCACATTCAATATACAAAATACATGTTGTCATGCATGCAGATAAAATTAATTAATTTTGACCACACCCACTATGAATATAATTAAAGCAGATAACATTTTTGGTGCGCTTTGCACGCCAAAAGTTTTTCCTGGGCCCCACCAAGACTCTCAACAGCCCTGGCAGTAACAATAACTTTACTATTGTTGGCAGTTGTCATATTTAAAAAACAATAACTGTGCCTTTTCCTCTACACCTCTCATAATAGCCGCTATTTTGAGAATAGCACATGCGGATTGTTTTGCATGTGCAATTTGCTTTATTGGGTTGTCATCATATATTATGCATGCCTAAGTATTATTTGTGGTTCGTTTGTATATAGCAAGAAGCTTATCCCCCACAGCAATACCCTCCTCAACAGCCTGGCTATCCACCTGCTGATCAAGGGTACCCTCCTCAGCAGTACCCACCACAGCCGGGTTATCCACCACAGCAGGGATACCCACCTCAACAGGGTTATCCACCTCAGCAGGGCTACCCTCCACAGCAGCCTTATAAGGGAGAAGCTCCTCCACCTTATTTTGGTAATGCTGCCGCTCCTCCTCCTCAGCAACAGCCTGTGCCTGTGGTACAACAACAAACAGTAAGTATTATTATTATTTATTGTTAATATTATTATTATTATTATTATTATTATTATTATTATTATTATTATTATTATTATCATTGTTAGTCTAATAATGTTGTTGTGGTCAATACTCAACCAACACCTGTGACCACTACAGTAGTCCGTCCTGCAGGAGACTATTACTTGACTCTCTCCATTGTATTGACTGTCATTTGCCTCTTCTGTGGTACTTGGTATTCTCTGTTTTGTACCATACCTGCCATTGTTATGGCTACAGCTGTAAGTTTGATACTGTATGCTTTATATAGCTGTATTTATTATTAGTTTCCTTGCAGGCTCGTGATGCTGCAGCTCGTGGTGATCTTGAAGGGGCTAGGTCTAAAGGTCGTGTTGCTCTCATTTTGGATATTGTTGCTTGTGTCTGGTGGATACTGGCACTGATCATTATCATTGCAGCTGCTGCTGGGTCTGCAAATGCAAGTAGTTCGGCAACCTATTACAGCAGTAGGTACTGTTACAATTCGTATTATGGCAACTATTATTGCTACAAGTGAAGAAATTTTTTGTTTTTTGACACTTTATGAACAATTACTTTCTTTTGAGTATGATTTTTGGTAAAAATAATTAGATTAGCATAGTAGCTATATAGATCTATCATAATTAATGGGCAGGGAATGGGTGAGGTTATGGAGGAGCTGGCAGCCAATCAGATGATAATAAATCTGATTAATAACTCTACTATTATAACTTTTAATTAAATAATAAAATAATTGTTTATAAAACTATCAAATCACGTGATGAACAAATTCCGTCTGCAATTTTTTTGCAAAGCCCTGCGGCAGGAGATATCTCGTTCTGTGAAAAAGAAAGAAAGAAAAGCTATTAAAATACTTACCAATGGAAGGTACGTTGTATCTTAATTGCTAAATATTGCTAGTTGCATGAAAACAATCTTGATTGGGTTAATGTGCAACCACACTGAATATACTGAACTAAATTGGGGTTGTTTTTTGGCAGCCGGTGATCAATATATATATATAGAGCACAATGATGACATCATTCCTTTGATGTGGTGGATTCTATATTTTGTATATAGACCTGCCATGCAGAAATGCTGTCATCATTATGCAATATATCATATATAGTATACTAGATCGGTCTCATATACAGAATATAGGACCTTTAGTTTGTGTTCAAGGATGTGATATAGCCCTTGGGCCTATGGCCCTTGGGCTATATCACATCCTCGAACACAAACCTCAGGTCCTATATTTTGTATATGCGACCTACTAGTATACTATATAATATACATACATACATATATATATATATACATATATATATTGATGTAATGATCAGCCTGGCTGCAGCTATTTCTTGCTAGGATATGAGCTCATTATGCATAGACTTTATGTAATAACTAGCAAAATAGCTATCAAACCGTTTTTAAGGTAAAATTTTTGTCAGTGGCTCAAAATCTATGCCGCTAATTTGCAAACTGAAAAATTAAATTTAAGCTATGCTATCATGATGGCCTGCTCATACAAAGTGCAATTTCAGTGCAAAAATAAAATCACAAAAGGAATTGTCTATCTGTTCTTTTATGTTGGGTCACAAAAGTTATACAATACAAATTCTGGGTGCAAGTTTATGATCATTGCCTCATTCAGTTTCACTTTAAAATGATGGCATTGTATTGAGTGTTGCTTTTTTTAATTTTATGTACAACCCTAGATCACATTCATTATCAACATGGAGATAAAATGGTAAGTGTTACATAGTCTAGTGCATACTCCTACATTCACAGTAGTAACAGTTGACAATCGCTTTACTATTGGCAGTTGTCATATTTAACCTAACAATAGCTGTGATTCTTCCTCTACACCTTGCTCTTTTTGGAATAGCATTTGATTGTTTTGCACAGTGCAATTTTATTTATTGGATTGCATTATACATACATGTTGCTCTTTCTCTTGTATAGCAAGAAGCCTATCCCCAATACCCTCCTCAACAGCCTGGCTATCCACCTGCTGATCAAGGGTACCCTCCTCAACAGTACCCACCACAGCCGGGTTATCCACCACAGCAGGGATACCCACCTCAACAGGGTTATCCTCCACAACAGGGTTACCCTCCACAGCAGCCTTATAAGGGAGATGCTCCTCCACCTTATTTTGGTAATCCCGCTCCTCCTCAGCCACAGCCTGTGCCTGTGGCACAGCAACAAACAGTAAGTATTATTATTATTTATCATTAATAATAGTATTATTGGTTATTATTATTATTATTATTATTATTATTATTATTTTTGTTAGTCTAATAATGTTGTTGTGGTCACTGCTCAACCAACACCTGTGACCACTACAGTAGTGCGTCCTGCAGGAGACTATTACTTGACTCTCTCCATTGTATTGACTGTCATTTGCCTCTTCTGTGGTACTTGGTATTCTCTGTTTTGTACCATACCTGCCATTGCTATGGCTACAGCTGTAAGTTTGATAAATTTATGCTATGTATAGCTATATTTATTATTATTTTCCTTGCAGGCTCGTGATGCTGCAGCTCGTGGTGATCTTGAAGGGGCTAGGTCTAAAGGTCGTGTTGCTCTCATTTTGGATATTGTTGCTTGTGTCTGGTGGATAGTTGTTCTTGTTATTATCATTGCATCCATTGCTGGGTCTGCTGCAAATGCAAGTAGTTCGGCAAGCTATTACAGCAGTAGTTACAGTAGTAGGTACTGTTACTATTCGTCTTATTATGGCTACTATTATTGCTCTAAGTGAAGAAATTCTTGTGTGTGTGTGTATTTTTGACACTTTATGAACAATTAATTTCTTTTAAGTATATATTTTTTATAAAAAAATTAGATTAGCTTAGTAGATTTAGATCATAATGGGCAGGGAATGGGTGAAGTTTATAACTCGGTAAATGTAACTAATTTGCATATGATTCATGGCTCGTAAGTTACTGTAAGATATATTAGCACTGATTTTCATCTTTTTCTTTCATAAATTTTCCTATTATTTTTTCTGGAAATTCTCAATATTTCCTCCCATTATTCTTTTCATTTTATCCTATTATTCTCCATTTATTCTCAATAATTTCTCAAGCAATCAATTTTTGCATTCCAGTGGCATTTTAAAAATAGGTCTTCCAAAAAGCACTAGCCAAAATTAAAAAAATTCTTCTGCAATTACCATTAACCTCAACTCCACCCATCATTCCACTATTATTCCTATTTCCATCCAATTATTCCAGCATTATGCCTCATATGAGGAAGCCCCTATTATTCCTAAATTATGCTGACAAATCAGTAGGCTCATCCCTACTCGGAGATCTAACGAAAATTCAGAACCATGGCTCGTAAGTTAACAATTATATTGGGACTGATCTTATTCATTCCTTTACGACTGCTGATATTCTAAATCTCACAATATTAAGAGAGACAGCCTAGACAGGTTAGAATAGAAATCATTTTTGACCACAAAATTTTACATCCTCATAGAGATACAGTCCATTGCCAACTTATGCACCATACCCAGCACAACAAGGCTACTCAAGATGCTCACCACAGCTAGCACAACAACAAAATGTGAGTTATGCAGTTGTTTAATGTCCTGCTTAAACTGTATCCTCACCCTATTCTTCTGGTTAAGTATGCTCCATTGCCTAATACTGGCTATGCTCCTAATACTGGCTATGCTCCTAATACTGGCTATGCTCCTAATACTGGCTATGCTCCACAGCCTGGTACTGCATGGCTATGCTCCACAGCCTGCAAGATCTAGCCAGTTTGGTTACACTCCTCAGCAGGGATATGCTCCACAACCACCTTGCTACACTCCCCAGCCTGCTCCTCAGCCTGTTGGTTATGCTCCACAGCAGGGATATGCTCCACAGCCTCAGCAACAAAATGTAAGTTGGTATTGCATTGTTGTTGATCATTACTTGTATTATTGTTATTTTATCAGAACAACAATGTTGTAGTGGTTAATACCGGGCAACCAAAGGCTGACTTTTCTATGTCATTGGCTCAGTGCTGCAGGATTTCATAGAGCTGAAGAAATTTTGGCTAACTGTTTTGATTTTTATGAGTGACAATTGTTAGCAAGAGTAGATAGTTATTATTGTTCTATATTATAAAAGTTAATTATTATTAAATAGTCACATCCGGTTTCAAATTATTTTTGCTGTCTTCTGTTGCCTAGCTTATCTGCTCTCTTTTTTCAAAGAGTTTCTACACTTTACTGACTGCTCAATAGATCCAATGGACGGTAGGTCAATAAAGATAGTAAACCTTTCATTTGATTTGCTGTTTCTGTCTTCTTCCCCCCTCTTTTCTTTTGAATCTATGGCATGAAAATGATGTGTATACATATTTAATATTTATTCATTGTGACCACAAAATAAAGGGAAACAGGTCAGAATTACCAATAATCTGTTTTAGTATCTTAAACAACCCCAATCATGAATTATTTCTAACACTAAGGTAAAAAAATGATTGTCACAGTCATACTGAACTTTTACGTGCTGAATTGCATTTGATTCAGTAAAACTGAAATTATAAATTAAGATCAAAGGCTAAAACAATTCAATAACAAAACTAATTATTAATTAATTATCTATCATTAATAAAATTAATTGCCTATGAATATTGAAACTATGAATCATGTGACAGGCAAATTCATTCTGCAGTTTTGCAAAGCCCTGCGGCAGGAGACATCTCATTCCGTGAAGAAGAAAGAAAGAAAAGTTATTAAAATACTTAACAATGGAAGGTATGTTGTATCTTAATTGCTAAGTATTGCTAGTTGCATGAAAACAATCTTGATTAGGTTATTGTGCAACCACACTGAATATACTGAACTAAATTGGGGTTATTTTGGTAGTGATATTGATGTAATAATCAGCCTGGCTGCAGCTATCTGGCTAGAATATGAGCTTATTATGCATAGACTTTATAATAGCTAGCAAAAAGGGTCATTTTAAAGGTATAGAAATTTTGTCATCACAGACTCAAAGCTTTATGCTAATTTGCAAACTGAAAAATTAAATTTAAGCTATGCCATCATGATGGCCTCAGTGTTCATGCAAAGTGCAATTTCAGTGCAAAAATAAAATCACAAAAAGAATTTTCTATCTGTTCTTTTATGATGGGTCACAAGACAATACCAATTTTGGGTGTAAATTTATCATTTTATCTCATTCAGTTTCACTTTTAAATGATGACAATGTATCAAAGTATTGTTTTTCTTTATTTATGTACAACCCTTGATCATATTCACTATTAACATGAAGATAAACCGGTAAGTGTTACAGTTGGCAATAGCTTTACTATTGGCAGTTGTTCAATATTTAACCTAACAATAGCCATACTTTTTACTCTACGCCTCACTATTTTTGGCATACGTTACATGCCCAAGTATTATTTTAGCTACTCTTTCTTTTAAATAGCAAGAAGCCTATCCCCAATACCCTCCTCAACAGCCTGCCTATCCACCTGCTGATCAAGGGTACCCTCCTCAACAGTACCCACCACAGCCGGGTTACCCACCACAGCAGGGCTACCCTCCACAGCAGCCTTATAAGGGAGGTGCTCCTCCACCTTATTTTGGTAATCCCGCTCCTCCTCAGCCACAGCCTGTGCCTGTGGCACAGCAACAAACAGTAAGCATTATTTTATATTATAATTACTATTATTATTATTATTATTATTATTATTAGTCCAATAATGTTGTTGTGGTCAATTCTCAACCAACAGTACCTGTGACTGCAGTAGTCCGCCCTACCGGAGACTATTACTTGACTCTCTCCATTGTATTGACTGTCATTTGTTGCTTCTGTGGTACTTGGTATTCTCTGTTTTGTACCATACCTGCCATTATTATGGCTACGGCTGTAAGTATGATAAATATAGCTATATTTTTTAAAATTTTTCTTGTAGGCTCGTGATGCTTCTGTCCGTGGTGATCTTGAAGAGGCTAAGACTAAAGGTCGTATTGCTCTCATTTTGGATGTTGTTGCTTGTGTCTGGTGGATACTGGCACTGATCATTATCATTGCAGCTGCTGCTGGGTCTGCTGCAAGTGCAAGTAGCTCGCCAACCTATTACAGCAGTAGTTACAGTAGCAGCTACTGTCGCTATTCGTATTATTATGGCTACTATTATTGCTCTAAGTGAAGAAATTCTTTTGAGTACGTATTTTTGACACTTTATACACAGTTCCCTTATTTTAGACTTTTTAGTATATTTTTCTTTAAAAAATTATTAATAAAAATAATTATAGCCCGCAGGGAATGGGCGAGGTTACATGTGCTAATTACCTATGGATTATAAAATTTAATTATTAGATAATCAGTCACATCCGGTTCAAATTATTTTTTGCGTAGGCATTCTTTTGTATCTTCTCTCTTTCCTTAAAGAGTTTCTTTACTTTACTGCTCAATAGATCCAATGGACGGTAGGTCAATAAAGATAGTAAACCTTCCATTTGATTTGCTGTTTCTCTCTTCTTCCCTCCTCTTTTCTTTTAAATTCATTATGGTATGAAAATGATGTATATATCTATTTATTATGACACAACTGAAATAAAGAGAAACAGGTTAGAATTACCAATAATCTATTTTAGTATCTTAAACAACCCCAATCATGAATTATTTCTAACACTAAAGTAGAAAGATGATTGTCAAAGTCATACTGAACTTGTACATGTTGAATTGCATTTGACTCAGCAAAACTGAAACTATAAATTAAGATCAAAAGCTAAAACAATTCAATAAATTAACATGTGGAAACTAAACTATTTTCAATGCACAACTATACTATAAATTTCCATACTAAAACAGCACTTAATATATATATATAGTATGACAATGGAAAGTTAAAAGTGCTTTATCAATGTTTAGATAGTCGATTATGCATAGTGTTTGTGTAAGCTGTCGGTTGAATGCATTTCCCATGCAAAATAAACATGCATTGTTAATGATAGGGTTATCCTCAGCAAGGCTACTCACCATACCCTCCACAACCTGGTCCTGGCTACCCACCAGAGCAGCCTCCTCAATCAGGCTATGCACCACAACCTGCAGCATATCCTCCACAATCAGGTTATGCACCACAGCCTGGCTATGTGCCTCCTCCTTATTCAGCACCACAGCAAGCTGCTCCACAGCAACAAACTGTAAGAATAGTCATTTCACTTATTTTTAACTTTTCTTTAGTCTAATAATGTTATAGTGGTTAATCAACCAACAGCAGCTACAACTACAGTAGTCCGTCCTGCGGGAGACTATTACTTGACCCTCTCTGTTGTGTTGACTGTCATTTGCTGCATATGTGGTACTTGGTATTCTCTGTTTTGTACCATACCTGCCATCGTTATGGCTTCAGCTGTAAGTGTGATAAATGTTATATTTTATTATCATTTTCCTTGCAGGCTCGTGATGCTGCTACCCGTGGTGATCTTGTAGGGGCTAGGTCTAAAGGTCGTGCTGCTCTTATTTTGAATATTGTTGCTTGTATCTGGTGGGTGGTGGCACTGATCATCATTGTTGCATCAGTAGCCCGTGCTGTTGTTAATGCCAGGAACTCTGATTGTATCTATTATTACTCTTCATACTATTGCACTTATTACAAGTGAAACTTGGAGCTAATGCTTAAAACTACTATTGTTGTTAAATTGTTGTTTTTTATTTGTATTTAGCATTTATGTGTGTTTAGAAAGCTGATACACAAAATAATAAATAAAAATATATAACACTTCCTAGTCTCATCCCAGCCATTCTCTACCACTAAGTAAAGCTTTACCAGTGAAAGTGATCTGTTATTGCTTTAGCACCTTTTAAAATTAGTACCTTGAGCCAATTAATTCTTTGCATGCTCTTAATCAAATGACGCTATACTTGAAACTGAGTACTATCATGTAGTAGTGTGTGTTGCCTGTTATTGGGTTAGATAAAATGTATACTGTTATTGTTTATTGAAAATCTATATAACATCATTCTTCACCAGTCAGTCTACACTGAGTGAGACTTCAGACTAAAGAAATGGATGGTAAGTTTGTCAGTAATGTACATGTAGCTTTACTATAACATTAAAATTTATGTTTGTTTCTTTTATAAATAATTACATATTCTTCATCACTTCTACTATAATAACAATAAAGATAAATTGGTAAGCATATTTTCCCACATAGCAGTATTTGATGACTTCATGTATTATAGAGCAATGCAACTCAACAAGGATATTTGCAGCAGAACTTATACCCACCATTACAAGCATATCCTGCCACCATGGGAGAAAAACAGCCTCCACCGTATCTTGAACAAGGACAAGGAGCTCAACAAACAGTAAGTGTATCTAGCCATTGCATGTAAAAGTTATTCATTATCCAATAGGCTCCAACTGTCATAGTTGTTTCACAGCCACCAGGTGCTACCCAAGTGGTACAGCATCAGCCCGTTGGTGACTATTATTACACACTCTCTATCTTGATGACTATGCTTTGTGTGATGTGTGGATTCTGGCCACTATTATTCTGCACCATTGCAGCCCTTATTTTTTCTGTATCAGTAAGAATAAGTAAATATTTGATATTTATATGATTGTTAATAGGCTCGTGATTCAGCTGCTCAAGGTGATCAAAAGGGAGCACAAAACAAGGGAATTATTTCGCTAATTTTGAATATTGCAGCTGTTGTGACTTATTTTGCACTCATAACAGCAATAGTAATTTATGCTGCAGTAATATCGCAGTGATTATAACCTCCAGCGCATGTGTGTGAACTTATAAAAGGACAGCAATGTAATTTATTTCTTTTTATTTCATTAAGCTGAGTGCCAATGAAAATTTAATACAAACTTAGCATTAACTCTATTATAATTGTTTTGAACAAGTAGAACTTTGTTAAAATATAATTTTAGTTTTGTTACTGACATCGTTTCAAGGTCCAGCAAAGCAACAACATGAGAGAGGTTTAGTAAAGTTACACTTTTTAAAGCAGCAACAGTCTGAGAGTTATTATAAACAAAAAACAAGAGCCATGTACAACTTCATCATGTCCACATTAATGTGGGGTACATAATTAAAAACACAAACAACAGCCCTCTTTCATAACTTTAGTAACAAACTGTTAAGTTAACAATTATCTTTATTATCAATTAAAAGGTAGAGTAGCAATTCCGAACAAAATATACTAGGGGAAACAGCATTAAATTCTTTTTTAATACAAAACTATCAACTCTCCTTTCATTACAAAATAAAATACTCTCGCTGTCTCTCTCTCGTAAATGTTAATGAGCACTAGAATCACTCACAAATCCATCCTCCCTCCAATGATGAAGCACTGTACACCTTTTTGATGGCATATTGAGTGTCATTAGGCTCCTGCTAAATAAACTTTTATCATTTTTAAATTGTTCTTTTTTATTTGTGTTTAGTATTTATGTGTGCTTAGAAAGTTGATGCATGAAATAATAAATAAAAGAATATATAACACTTACTAGTCTCATCCCCCCCCATTCACTATAGGTAGAGCTCTACCAGCAAAAGTGCTCTATTACTGCTTTAGCACCTTTTAAAATTACACTCTGCTCAATACCTTGAACTATAATTAATTCTTTGCATGCTCTTAATTAGATCAACAACGCTATATACTTGAAACTGAGTACTATCAGTAGTAGTGTGTACTGTGTGTCGGGTTTAAATAAATGCATATTGTTATTGTTTATTAAAAATCTATATAACATAACATCATTAACATCATACTTCATCAGTCAGTCTCTAGGCTGAGTGAAACTTCAGACTAAAGAAATGAATGGTAAGCATGTTTGTTTTTTTGTAAAACAATTATATATTCTGTATCACTCCTGCAATATGATAACATGAAAGATAAATTGGTAAGCATATTTTCACACATGCATAGCAGTAATTGAATCACTTCATGTATTATATAGAGCAATGCAACTCAACAAGGATATTTGCAGCAGAACTTATACCCACCATTACAACCATATCCTTCCATGCTGGAAGAAAAACTGCCTCCACCATATTTTGAACAAGGAGCTCATCAAACAGCAAGTGTATCTAACTGTTACATATAAAATTCATCCATTATTTAATAGACTCCAACTTTCATAGTTGTTACACAGCCACCAAGTGCTACCCAAGTGGTACAGCATCAGCCCATTGGTGACTATTATTACACACTATCTATCTTGATGACTATTTTCTGTGTCATGTGTGGATTTTGGCCAACATTATTCTGCACCCTTCCAGCCTTTTTCATCTCTTTATCAGTAAAAATAAAATAATTATTATTGATATTTATGTAATTACTAATAGGCTCGTGATTCAGCTACTCGAGGTGATTTCAACGGAGCTCAAAAAAAGGGAACGATTTCACTGATTTTAAATATTGCAGCTGTTGTGACTTATTTTATAGTCGTTATAGCAATAGTAATTCTTGGATCAGTAGAGGAGTGATTTAGCTTACAATGTGTGTGTGTGTGTGTCTGTGTGTGTGTGTGTGTCTGTGTGTGTGCACTTATAAAAGGACAGCAAATGTAATTTTATTTTTTATTTCATTAAAATGACTGCCTATGAAAATTGAATAAAAAGTCAATATTAACTCTATTATCATTGTTTTGACAAGTAGAACTTTGTTAGAGAATAATTTTAGTTTTGTTACTGACATAGTTTTAAGGTCCAGCAAAGCAACAACATGAGAGAGGTTTAGTAAGGCTACAATTTTTGAAGCAGCAACAGTCTGAGAGTTATTTATAATTTTGACGTGACTAAAAACAAACACAGTGCAATGTCAACGCAAATGACAAAAGCTACTTCCAACCTGCTAATCTATATAGACACATTAAAAACACAAACAAGAGCTGTCCTTCCCCCACGTCCACATTAATGTGGGATACATAATCAAAAACACAAACAACAGCCCTCTTTCATAACTTTAGTAACAAGCAATGTCAAACTGTTAAGTTATCAATAATTATCTTTATTATCAATTAAAAGGTAGATCAGCGATTCCAAACAAAATATACTAGGGGAAACAGCATAAAATCCTTTTTTAATACAAAACTATCAGCTCTCCTTTCATTACACTCTTATAATAAAACACTCACTCTCTCTCTCATAAATGTTAATGAGCGCTAGAGTCACTCATGAATCCATCCTCCCCATCCAAAGACGAAGCACTGTACGTCTTTTCGACGGCATATCGAGTGTCATTGGGCTCCTCGTAACTGTTTGTAAGATCATCTTCACGTTTTTGCTCACTGCGATGATAATCCCATTCGACTATACAGAAAGTTACTGTACCAAGAACAGCCAGCACAACCTGCACATTATAGAGAAATATAATAATAGATCATACATAAACTACTACATGTATATTATAGTGAAATCGTCATAAAATATAGGACTTACAAGTATCAAAAGCTGCCATTGAAGCTTGAGGAGAGTAGAAGTAAGGAAGCTAACAAAAGCAGTAATGGACTATAGAGAAAGATAAGTAGAGAGAGGGAGAGAGAAAAGGGAACAAAAGGAAATTATCAATATTATTATCATTATTGTGATTCTCGTGCATACTTGAAAGAATTTATAAAGAGCCATTGCTGGAGCACTATCTTCATCTGAAGAATAGATGACACCGATAATGGAATAAATCTGAAGGGGGAGAGAGAGGGAGGAGAAATGAAAGTAGAACAATATAAATCAAAACTAAGAGTAGGAAACAGGCATAAGGTTATATAAAGGTCAAGAACAGTTTCTTATGTGAAGTACAGCCAATAATACATAAATATTTAAGATAATGCTATCAGGGCCAGCACAGCCAATAATATATAAATATTTAAGATAATGCTATCAGAGCTAGCGGTTAACATGAAAGTAAGGTTAACCTTCCCCTCCTTGATGACTATGATATCACGACACATTATGTTTGCTTAGGACACTCAAGAGTACATAATTAGGTGTACTCTTGCTATTATGGATAACAGAGTAAAAGGAATATGGAGATATTGCAGATGCACTTATGCTCTGCAGAAAGTTTGAGATGATTACGGTTAGCTCTGAAAACACTGACCTCAAGTTATGCACATGTAGTACGTACAACATTTAAATATTTCTAACACAACATTATAAACTGTATAACCTACCTGTGTATTAAAGCATGCATCACCTAATCCGAGTAGGAAAGCACCACCCAATGCAACATAGATACTATATAAAATAGGAGAGAGAAGAAAGAGATTAATAAATATTGTATGTGTTTAGCATGCTTTGAGAGCTAGAAAGTCAGTACATCTACCTGTTCAAATTTTAAATTAACTCTACCATAGATTGCTCTACTGATTGTTTGATTACAATACTATGCATAGCTATCCTTTTATATGGAGGGATGGACTTAAAAACCACAGAAGGTTTGGCATTTAAATACAAAGTATTGACTGTCTATTCGTCACCTGTTCATGTACACACGCCCCGCCAAACTGCATTAAGCCAGTTGCTACTGCTTCAAACACTTTGCTTTGGCTGCCTCTAGTTCCAGGCGTGATATTGGAAACTGAAAGAAGAGAAGGAACAAGAGGGAACTCCCTACCAGCCCATGCCCACGAGACGGATGGGCAGTCTTTACCTCCTCCGTGCTGCTGAAAGGCAAGATCAACAGGTGAGTAGTGAAAGTATGCGGTTTGCTCACTGAAAATGTAATACTACACTGACACTATCTCCGCGCTGACTAACTATCTACCATGAATCCCCTTAAAGGAGACTCTTTATAATAATAGCATACAGCAGACTAACTGCTGTATTTATTGTCCTCCTCTGTAGCACCTCTACTGTGATGTGAAAAATCTACCAATTTAATGCATGGAGGAGAGCACCTTGTGCTTTAGATAAATAAATTACTGAATTATAATAGCTCGAGCAATAATAAAATAGATACAGTAATGGCCTATTGTTGTGTACAACAGTGTCAGTAGCTGGTCAGATCTAATCATTACAAAGTGTAGACTTGCCCAGTGGTTTAGCAAAGACAGCCTTCTTTTTGAATTTCAAAGCATTCAAAATTCAAACCACTTCAATAATATGGTTTCACCATTAAGCCTATCACAGCTTGTGTGCGTGACTCCCTTCTCATATTACAGGTTACAAGAGGCAAAAGATTACATGGAAATAAAACCAACACTAGAGCTCTTGATTACAGCAAGGTCAGTAATCCCACTTGATATTCATATCTGATAGTGACTATTCTAAATCAATAAATGTTATTTTTGTTTTTTATACAATCCCAGAGGATGGAGTCCTTATCATTCTCATAATCTCTCTGTGCATTATACCAGGAGGAGCATCAGGATTAAACATCAACACAGGAGAGGTAAGTCAATCTAGTGATATACTACTAAGCAATCATTGAGAATATAGGATGAACAGCAATACTTCATGCCGTCCATCAGCGATATACTTAAAAAAGGAGTGAGTGATAACGAATAACCTAGTAATAATGTGCTTTTCTTTCTTTCTCTTTTTCTAGCAAGTTGGATTGATCGATAAGTTTGGTTTACATGAGCTCCAGCCAGTTGTTGATTTAGTACAGATAGCCGTTAAGGGCCACTCGAGTGGAAGGAATGAATTTGTTCACATTAAAGATGACAGGCTGGCTTTTGGAGAGGTTAAAGAGAGTAGCTATACAACCAACAGTGAGTTTGTATTTGGTGACTTCATAATAACTATACAGACAAGCTATTGGGAAGGGATGGCCTTGTCTATAATAATGTTATGATAAATGAGATTCCGAGCCAACCCATAAGAGTGGGGGGAAACCTTTTAATACCTACAGTGAATAGACATGTACCTCTCCCCCTCCACCCCTCTTTCACATACTCTCTCTCTCTCTCTCTTTCCCTCTCTGCAGGCTTGTTCTTCCTTTTAAGCTATAAAGATGATCTGTACAACCCTCACATGTATCTATTGGCTGATATTACTCTGACAACAGTCATGTATGCTAATGCTACCAATGGAAATATAGAGCTCAAGGTATGATAGCAATAATATTATCTATTCAAGTATAGTCATTAAATCTACTTTTTTGTAGCATTTTGAGAGCATGCGAGACTCTCGTACCCATTTTACGATAAAGGGGCCATTACGAAATTGTGTACTTAGTGGATTAGAGAATAAAGTGATGAGTGTCAATGAAGCAGGAGGTAGTAAATTCTCTAAAGGAGCAGGAACAAATTTGAGCATCAAGACTCTAGGAAGCGTCTTGCTCCAGTAACACTAACTAATACGTAGCTAAGCTAAGACTAATAGTTAATTAATAATTAATGTGGAATGACTGAATGATGAAGATGGTGTAGATTAATTAATAATTTTTTTTGTATTAAATGACTTTTGATTAATTACAGTCAATAATGTAGGATATAGCAAATCTAACACAAGAGTAACAGTATGATGTGTACATCAATGTGCATACATGCAATGAGCAATATAATTTTAATTACGTACATGCAATTTAAATTTATTTATTTCATAAAAACACATCATGTACACAAAGTGAGGATCTTGGACCGAATTTCACCAAAAATGACAAGGAGAGAATTCTCCATTTTTATAATTTTTAAAATGCATATACATGTTTTTATGCTGCGTAGAAAGTTTGAGCTCATTCCAACCAAGTTTGGATTTTTTTTACAAATTTTTCAAATTGCTCCAAAATTGGGCCAAAGTCCCTGTACTATAGTACAGGGTCTCAGACCAAATTTCGCCAAAAATGGCAAGGAGAAAATTTTTCATTTTTATAACTTTTTCTGATGCATATACATGTTCTTATGTTGTGTAGAAAGTTTGAGCGGATTCCAATCAAAATTAGATTTTTTATGAATTTTTAAAGTTGCTCCAAAATTGGGCCAAAGTCCCTGTACTATAGTACAGGGTCTCAGGCCAAATTTCGCCAAAAATTGCAAGGAGAAAATTTTTCATTTTTATAACTTTTCCTGATGCATATACATGTTCTTATGTTGTGTAGAAAGTTTGAGCTGATTCCGATCAAAATTAGATTTTTTATGAATTTTTAAAGTTGCTCCAAAATTGGGCCAAAGTCCCTGTACTATAGTACAGGGTCTCAGACCAAATTTCGCCAAAAATTGCAATGAGAGAATTTTTCCTTTTTATAACTTTTTTTGATGCATATATATGTTCTTATGTTGTGTAGAAAGTTTGAGCTGATTCTGATTAAAATTAGATTTTTTATGAATTTTTAAAGTTGATTGCTATTATCATAAAACGGACACTTACTTAGACATAAGTCCATACACACCCAGTGCTCCATAACTATCAGATGACTTTACATCGCCAGCAATGGAGTCCTCAGAAAAGAAGTAAAATGTGAGCAAGAAGCAGACCATGTGGCAGATAAGGCCCAGTAGAAGTATGGGATCGCGTCCAAACCGATTGGTATATGAACCAAAAACACCAAAAAGACCACCGCCTAAAAAAATGCCAGTAGGTCAATAACGATTCCACTACCTTTCTTCTTACCAATAATCTCTCCCAAACCAATGAAGAAAAGTGCAGCCCCAACATAATACTTAGGAAATACATGAGTGTGACCTACAATACAGAGAGTAGAGATGTGTAGTATTATTATTATACAATGAAGTCTGATTTCATATACCTATCATAGTTCCATAGACACCGCTCCAGAAGCCTAGCTCATATCCTGACATTATTATGATAAATATAATCATTATGAGGCTGTTATAATAATGCTATACCTGTGTATACAAATGTAACACAGAGAAGCAACATTTTCCATGTTATCATCATCTTGACGGCTTTAATGAGTGGATTGACTGAGAGAGAGAGGGGGGGGGGGTAAAAATATAAAAAATGACATGTAAACAAAATTTTTAAAAATTAGTGTTTTTGCTGCTTACGGACTGCCTGTACATAAGGATGGCAATTAGCAATGAAATCTGGTGACGATGAAAACACTTGAACACTGGTTCTTGATTGCCTACTTGACATCAGTGGCTCCTTCTCTCTACTACAATAAATAATAAATTGATTATTTTTTGGCTTCGTTTATCTTCTTTATTTAAGTTGAAATCATAAAGCTAACACAGAGAGTACTACATGGCAGTTTTAACAACCAAAACTGACTGGGATATTGTAAATAGTGTGTACTACTAAACTTACTATTAACACATCATGAGTCACTAGTAACAATTGTAGATACACAAAAGTAATATACTCACAATTATGATAAATCTTTCACAAGCATTGCAGTATAATTTAGTATACCATATGTACACATAAATAATTGTACACAACTACACATGTGTACATGTACATGTACATACCTTGATGATGAATTTATGGATCCAACACTCGAACCAGTGGACTAATAATGTGTGTGTACATACGTGTGTGAGGAGTAATAAAGATAAGGATTGACAGGTTTTCCTCTCTCTTTGCTTACCATTTTTTCCACTGGTGATATAAACAAGAGTACTACAATTCCACAAATTGCAACAAAAGTCAAGACACCAAAGATTATCATATTCTGAGTGTGAGCTACAATAAAGACGAATAAATAAATAAATAAATAAATAAAATTATTATTGTAATAACTTACGGAAGCAAAAAGTCTCGCTGCTACTAAAGCTATCTCTCTTTATGTAATAATACGAAAATATATAAATGCTTCCGACAACAAGGCTATAATAAATATTTTAAAAATACAATTAAATAGAACCGAATAACCGTTATACCTTGATTCAAGCATAAACCAGAATATACCACTTGTGGTTCCCATCCTTTCCTTTGAGGAGTTCTGAATCAGGATCTGGCCTTGGGCCGTCCATAACACTGAGTGTGATAAAGAGAGAGAGAGAGAAGATATCAAAAATGAGCATTTTACATTCTTACCTCCGCCACCTGCTCCAAGGATAAAGGCTCCAATGAATATTGAATAAATAAGTGGGCGAATCAAGCAAGCGATATAGATACTAAAAATATAACGTAGGTGTGGCTTAAACATGTAAGTAGTGGGTGTGGTTGTCTTACACATAGAGAGCTCCGCTGATGACGAGCGACCACTTGGCACCAAATATGGACACAATAGAGACAGAGACCCAGTTACCAATAGCAACCATTAGGTATATGATGCTACCACTAAAAATATTAAATTAAAAAAAAATTTTTTAATTAAACAAGAGATGAAGTTTTGTACCTTAAATATCCAACACGATCTAAAAATTAAAAAAATTAATATGAAATAAAGGATTAGTAATAATTAGCCATTGTTTTTACCTGCCAATGAACTAGATAGCACGCCATAACTAGTTTTATTCTAAATTTATAAAAATAATATCAATAATTGTTAATTTTATCATTTTTGATTACCCCTGGGTTGCATGTAGGAGATAAGTAGCTGCTAATTGTTAGTGTCTGGAAGGTGAAAGGAATAAATACTGTGAGTGGCTCCTGTTTATAACTCACTTGTATAAAAGCAGTTGTTTGAAACGCAGAGAACAAAAGAAAGAATCCAAACCCAAGGAGGATAATGTTGACCCAGTTCTTGGTCTCCATGTTGTAGCTCAGTCTTAGACGCCCTCCTAACAGAAAAGAGAATGAATGGGAGGGAGGATCAGGAACAGTAGTATAGATTAGATACAGATCACATGAGAAGGTCTATGGAAAAACAAAAATCAACGAGCTCCACCCTAAGCACGCCTACAGATCCGCCTAGTCAGTAACTTAGCTCAAGTTAGCTGTAGCTCATGGAAGAAGTTGTGGAAGGAGTTACCGAGCGGTTATCCTCTGTTTTTGAGGCTGGTAGAGCCTCTGGGCTAGGAGAGGATGATATCAGTCAAACTATTGATTCATTTTATAAAGAATTATCAAAGAAAGAGAAAGCTACCATGCCGTTCCTTCGAATAATGAAAGTCTCAGTTTTAAAGGCAGCCTATATCCTCTTGTATCGTTTGCTCCCTCTGGTTCTCCTCCTCTCATCTCTCTACAGTCAGCTGCAGCTACTTATTCAAAAAGACCCGTGTCTTTTAGCTCAACCCATGCTTCATGATTTCGCTACAAAGATAATCGACTGCAACAGTTGTGTGAACATAACGAATGCTGTTACCATCAATAGCATATCCGTAATGGATTTCATGAATAACCATGCTACCTCTCTCCAGCCTGTATTAATGAAAGGGGCTGCCTCAAATTGGCCGGCAATGAGTATCTTTTCGTACGAGTATTTTAAAGGACTTTATACAAAGAACCCCGAGGCAGTTACCCACGATCGTGAAGAGGGACAGTTCTTTCCTTATAGCTCAGGAATATTTACTCTAGATGAGTTTCTCTCACTTGATAACGAAACTGCTTCCTTCAAAGGAAAGAAGTGGTACATTGGCTGGTAAGTTTATAAGAAGAAGAAGAAGCTATAATAATAGTTTAATTTGATGATAGCCCTCTCTTTATAATGTCATTCTCGTAGGAGTACAACAGATAATTTTGTCGGGGAGGAGTTGCGTAAACATGTTAAAGTCCCATACTTCCTACCTCCCGTACCAAGTGAAGACAATCTGGCATGGATATTTATGGGAGCACCTGGTCCTGGAGCCGGACTGCATGTAATACACAATTATTGATAATAATAATAATTATTATTATTATTGATTTTATTAGATTGATTTCGTTGGTCGTGTCTCCTGGCAGGCTCAACTCTCTGGAAAGAAGACATGGACACTAGCTCCTCCTCCAGAATGCGAAACGACATGTTCAACTTTTAATGTGACGGTAGATACTGGGGATATCAGTAAGTGTATTAATAGTGAGAGTAATTATGTGATTTTCTTTTTGTTAGTTGTAATTGATACCAATTCCTGGTTTCATGCTACTTTCATTCATCCTGGCAATGTTAGCATCACTTTTGGGGCAGAATTTGAATAGCAAACGAAAGGACAGCTGCTTTCCATATGCCTTGACGTTTACTTTTTTAAACTTTATTTGTATATACAAGAAAGTGAAAGTTAGTACAAGTAATAAAATAACTTATAAAATGATTGAATGGATACAAATGAATGATACAGGGAGAGAGGTAGAAATGGGCTTTTATTATAGATTGCACCAGTTAAAAGATACATTGGCCATTGAGCAGAATGATTTTATATGAGGTCGGAAATAGCTTCTGAGTTTATTAAGAGTTTCCTCCGAAACTTCAGGATGCTTGCGTCCTTTAGAACTCCCAAGACAATTGGTAGAATTATTACTGCCCGTCCAGCAGTAAAAACCTTTAGTTTTGTTGTAGTAAAACATTTCTTTTTCAAAGTATTTGGGTACTTTCAGAAACTCCTCAACCTTCACCAACACAGAGTAAGGATTGGATGCGAGCTCATCTCCATTCACCACTAAAATACTATCAATTGGAAAGCTCTTCAACCACCTTTTGAAATGCACGTCGTACAAGCTCACCTTTATTACATTACGGGACACTTTTATTTCCCCATCTCCTGTCATTACAAATTCATCAAAAGACGGTCTGGGAAGACTCTTCACTGCTTTCTTGGCATCAAGCTGTGTATAGTCTGATATTGTCCTTGTCACTGGGTCTCGTACCACTAATAGCAACTTGACGTCACTTTTCAGCTTCAAAATCCGCTCGGGGACGGAAGGGACGACAAAATAACTTGGAGATTTTTCAATGCAAAGACTGTCTTTGCTTGTAAGTGGCATACGTTGCAGGTACCAATCTTTTCCAAGCTCATAATTAAAGTCCCTATCGAAATAATGCACCTCGCCCTTAGCTGCTGTTATGTGGGGGTGTGAGTCTAGCATTGATATTATTGCTTTAGTACCTCCTTTTTTAACGCCAATGATGATGGAGCTAGGTAGTTTCCTTGTTAACTCGCCATTCCCGTTGGTTTCTGTCGGTCCTGGTGAAGACTGGAGGATTTTAGTGAATGATTTGCCGCTATATACGTACAGGAGAGAAAATATGCTCAGTAAAGTCAGGAACAATATTAATATAAAAATTCTTTTCGATTTTTTCCTTTCAGCCATGAATACCGCAGTTAAGTGGTCACGTGACTGTGCTATACCAGCCCCACCCACTGCTTTCTGCAGTAGTAAACAGCCCCACCCAAACAAAATCAAACCTTTCAGGCTCAAGCTATGAGTTTCAGTTCTCTCCGCCGCGTTATCCGCTCAGCAAGGAAAGGACTCTGTGCTACTTGCTCTAAGACCCGCTACCCTCAACTGGAAGCCGCAGGAGCAGGTCATGTAGGCTGCCTGATATACACACTGGAGACCATAGGCTCTCTCATCAAAGATGACCACGAAGTAACTGCCATGCACGTTGCTGCCCGTAAAGGACAGATCTCAGTCCTCATATATCTCATTGAGAACAACATTGTCAAGCCTGATTCTGTGTTTAGGGCTAAGAATGGTGCCTCTCCAGCCCATGATGCGGCTGGAACCGGTAATATCGAGTGTCTCAGATACCTCCTAAGCAGGACTCAAGCCGGTCCAAACGACATTGATTACAATGGTGCTACATTGCTGCACTGGGCTGCTCAGAGTGGTCACCTTAAAGTTGTCCAGTGGCTTGTGTCTGAAGCCCAGGCTCCAATCGACGTCTTGACAAAGAATGGTATCACTCCTTTTCATCTAGCAGCAGGGAAGAATCACCTTGATGTGCTACGCTGGCTCGTCGGCTATGCTTTTCGTCATCACCCTCACCCCATGAAACTGGTCAACGCTAAGGACAAGAATGGTTCCACTCCACTGTACCACGCTGCTCATGCTGGACACTTTGATGTTGTACAATGGCTGGCAACTAAAGGAGGCGGTGACCCTACTATCTCCAACAAGTCAGGTCTAGCTCCGCTTCATGCTGCTACTATCACCGGAAATATTAAAATAGTCAAGTTTCTGTTTCAATTTGGTCTAGCGACTGCTCCTGGTGGATTGAGGACAAGTGAAGGAGCTTCCTCTATGCATTTTGCTGCAGCAGAAAGTAAGGACAAAACAATAATTAAATTTTATTCATTTTTATTGTTGCAGATCACATTGAGATACTGAACTGGTTGCTGTCAAATAAAGAATGCTCTGGTAACGAGAGAGACTATTATCACAGCACTCCATTACATGATGCTTCTGAGTATGGACACATAATGTGAGCCATCATCATAATCATAATCACACTATTAATCATTCATCTTCTAGTGCTGTTAAGATGCTTTGTGATGCAAAAGCAGATCCATTCTTACTTGATATAGAGGGAAATACTCCGAGAGATCTTGCCATTAAACACGGTCATCCAAAATGTGCAATGTATCTTGACAACTACGCCAAAGACATAATGAGGAAACGAATTAACGGAAGCATAACAACTGAAGTATGCATTAGTAATAATGATATTATTATTATTATTATTATTATTATTATTATTATTATTATTATTACTCTCTTTAGCCCTCTAGTGCTAGTGGAAGGAGTAAACTACAGCGCAATAGACAGTCCCAGGGACAGATAATGGACAAATACAGACACGCTCCACCTCACATGGTATGACTGTACTAACTATTAATGTATTACTCTGAATAATAGAAACCTGTAAATGCATTTGAGGCTGATGATGACTATGTATTCCAAATGATGGGCAACACAGGCAGCGAAGGATGGGAGGTAAAGATAATAATAATAATTATTATTATTAATTACAAATTCATTACTAATATTATTATATAGACATTGCATGATTTGATGGATGAGGAAGAGATTGAGCAGCTAAGCCAGTTAGATCAAGATTATGATGAGCAGGACACAATGCTGACAGAGGCAGAAGAAAAGAGACGGATTTTTGAAGAGAAAATGACTAGAGAACATGAAGAAAGACAAAGAAAGCTGGAAGCAGCTGTAAGGCAAGAAGAAGAACGAGAAATGGTAATTATAATGAATGTTTTACTATTATTTATTTATTTATTTGTTTATTTATTTGTTTATTTGTAGGAGATACGATCTCAGTTCATGAGAGAGGATAGCTTTACCAGTGGTAACAAGTTAAAGCCTTTAGAGGAAACACTGAGGGAGGGTCATCAGAAACTCGAGTCTGAATTAGGTCGAGGTTCAATTTCAATGCAGGTAGACCTTTGCAAGTATATATGAGAACATTAAATTTATGTACATGTAACTGATAGGCTAAAATGAAGAAAAAGGAGAAGAGTCAATCATTACCAAGATCATTAACAGTAGGGACACTAGTTGTGTAAATATTATATCATATATTATTTCATTTATTTCAAGGAGCCTCAGAACGTAAAGAATGCAGCAACAAGAACGAAAGATGACATGGACACTTCAAGGTAGCTTTTAAATTTAATTTATTAACATTATTTTTTCTTTTTGTAGCGTTCAAAGTAAAAGGTCCATGTTCTCAAAACTCTTAGGAAAGCGCAGCAGCAATACCCCAAGTAGTGGTGTCCTATCATCCTCTAAAAGTTGGTCCTTGGACTCTTCATCAATTCCATTTCGCAAACCAAGACGTCCTGATCCCCACGAATGGAGCATACCCAATCCTCCCCCTCTACCAACTGTAGAGTTCCTTACTGGGAAGAGTCGAGTTGCCTACAGGCTCAATTACTCGTTGAAGGAGGAGCTGCAGAAAACTGCCACAATGTGGAACAGAGATGCGTACGATGATGACGAAGATGAAGAGAGTGGGTCTGATGGCGAGAAACAGATTGACAAGCAAGCGCTTCAAAATAAAAACAAAGCCCTCAAAGGAAAAGAGAAAAAGAAGAAGGGAACAGAGCTCAATCCCGTGAAGCCAAAGCCAAAGAAAGCAATGAGGCCGCCTCCTTTGCCATCCATCAGTAGTATTTTAGTCCCTAAATCAGATTTATTGATGACTCAAAATCGATCGGCTAACGTACAACAACCTATTCGTCCTGCTCCCCCTCCTCCTCCCACTCCTCCTCTTGAAGAGGACAGGATTACTAAAGTGAAGCCTGCAACGCTTCCCATACCTCCTCCACCTGCACCTGCTGTGGCAATGCCAATTGCTAAAGCTGCAAGTGCTCGTAGTCGTAAGTTTCCAATGCAGCGTCAGGACACCCCCACTCCGTCTATAGGCTTTGCCAGTCAATTATCCAAAGCTTTACAATCTGCGCAAGGCCAAGAGCCAAAAGTGCTTCATTATAAACCTCCCGACTCTCCTGCTGGTCACGAAATGAGATCCTTTACGGCTTTACATGGCAGCATCAATCGCAGCAACCAGGAGAGCCTTGGGGTCCGTCCTAAAATGCAAAGACAGGCCTCGCTAGATGAAGAGAGCTGGGAGGAGAGTGACGATAGCTTTACTAGTAGTAGTTCTGACGAGGAGACTGACTCTTCCGAGGATGATTCAAGTGGATCAGATAATGAAGAGGAGGACAGGCCGATAATGGCACGCAACATGGGTATACACGGAGCTAGGATAGCCAAGGAGGTCATGCAAAGAATGAAGAATCAACGATATCCCTCGATATTTCGTAAACCAATAGTCACTTTGGATACTGTCATTGAAGTGCGACATGAAATTGTGTATGAAGCTGTAAGTTTTAAAATAAGATTTTTAATGCTCATTGATTTAATGGCTGGGATTGGATCTTGTAGGACACAAGACAAGAAATGGCCGATGTTTTTGTGAATTTTATGAGAAAGAAAAAAGTTATGTCTGCTTGGAGGAAGCATATTAAATCACTCAATTATGCTGTAAGTAAAATAATAATAATAATTATTATTATCTATTTATTTATTTATTTTTTAGAGAAATAAGGCAGAGGCAATGGCAAGACGTCGTAAAAGAGGTACTTGTTTCTGTTGTTTTTATTTTTAATGTTATCAAAAAATGGTTTTGTTATTTTTATTTTATAGATTTGATGGCTAACGTGTTTTACTCATGGATTCAAGCAAAGAATGAAGCAGATGTACAAGTTGAAGAAAGGATTAAAAATGCGAGAGAAAGCTATAAAAAACATCTCAAGAAAAAAGTCTTTCACAAATGGAGGGTATTGATGACTGTCTGTAAATTCTACATGTATATAGTTGTGTAGTTTTAGCATTTTAAAATGTTTTTATAATTAATTTGTGTGAATTTTGCTAAAATTAATGCATGCAATTAAAAGTTGGGATAATTACTTGGTTTTTTTTTTCACAGGCAATCACTGCAACTGGACTTAAATATGGAGAATTAGATCAGGTTAGATATTATTATACTCAACCCAATTTTTATTACATTTCCTGATACATATTGATGTCCTTATGCTACATAAAAAGTTTGAGCTGATTGCAACAAAAAGTTTTATGAGTTATGACCAATTTAAAAAATGGGCCAATTTGTGAAAAATACCCAAGGCTATAGCCCATGGTTTTTTCTAAAAAATGGCTCCAAAAACACCCCAAATTTTTATTACATTTCCTGATACATATTGATGTCCTTATGCTATATAGAAAGTTTGAGCTGATTCTGGCTTCAATTTTTTGAGTTATGAGCATTTTTTCAAAAACGGCCAAATTTTGAAAAATACCCAAGGCTATAGCTCATGATTTTTTACGAAAAATGGCTCCAAAATTACCCCCAGTTTTTATTACATATTCTGATACATATTGATGCCCTTATGCTGTGTAGAAAGTTTGAGCTGATTCCGACTTCAATTTTTGTAGTTATGAGCATTTTTTTTAAATGGCCAAATTTTGAAAAATACTCAAGGCTATAGCCCATGGTTTTTTCCAAAAAATGGTTCCAAAATCACCCCCAATTTTTATTACATTTTCTGATACATATTAATGTCCTTATGCTATGTAGAAAGTTTGAGCTGATTCCGACTTCAATTTTTGTAGTTATGAGCATTTTTTAAAAACGGCCAAATTTTGAAAAATACCCAAGGCTATAGCCCATGGTTTTTTTCCAAAAAATGGCTCCGAAATCACCCCCAATTTTTATTAAATTTTCTGATACATATTGATGCCCTTATGCTCTGTAGAAAGTTTGAGCTGATTCCGACAAAAAATTCTCAAGTTATGAGCATCTTTAAAAATGAGCAAATCCATTTCCATTCAATCAATAGCTATAGTGTGATAGTATCAGTAACAATTCCCCTCATGTCTATACAATCATTTTTATGTAGAAATCGCTGCAGTGGCTAAATGCACAATTGTTGTCAACTGGTAAACAGCAAGTCGATGATCTTTTTAAATCATTAGCAGATGGAACACTCATCATAATTGCATTAGCTGTTAGTCATAAATGTTATCTAATTAATGGACTGTACTTACTCTTTCATTATAGAATGCTTCGGGGAAGAAAGCACCCAAATTCAAATTGATGCCAAAGCTTAAACTTCACAAGCAAGACAATTGGAAAGTGGCTCATACCTTTATGGATAAAATTGGAATAAATACGAAAGACTTTGAAGCATCAGGTAAAATAAGATCATCTTAATATTGCATACTTTGTAATGATTGTTTGTTTTCAGACCTGGCCGACTTGCGAGATCACGCAATACATAACATGTTCATTAATATATTCAAGTGGCTTGAGTAATGAATGCAACAGTAACATTCTCAATGTATTTAAGACTAATAATAATAATAATATTAATATTATATAATGCGTTCATATGTTCCATGTACATTATAATAATACTTCAATAACATTTGTATTCTAAAACTGCACAATAAGGATAATGCAGATTAGGATCATAAGAGGGCTCAGAAGTTTCAAAGCTCTTACGTTTATCAGTTATAGTTTCATGGTAGTTGTGCCTTACATCAACAGTAAAATACTTCTTTGCTTTTTTGAGAAACTGTTGAAAAGTCCCACTTCTTTCTGGAGCAAATAGATATGCTTTTCCATTAGATTTCAGGAACCTATGCATTAGGTATAATAAGTCTTGCTGCACGTCAACAAAGAAGAAGCAATCGGCACAAATGATGACATCAAATTGAGCAATAAAGTGATTATATTCAGTATCAATCTTAGACGCATCCCAATCAAGTTGATGAGCTGTGAGTAGATCAGGATTGATTCCATTCACGCTAATAATAGAACTCAAGTTTTGAACAGATTTCTTATTACCATCTGTTAGTACAACCCTGCCTGTAACGCCAGTAGCGGCAAGCATTAAACCAGCTAATCCGGTCATTCCAGCTCCAAATTCACAAATGCTCTTTCCCTTGAATAGTGAGATATTCTCCAGACAATAAAATGCCATTAATTCCTCAGACGGCCAAATGCATACATTGCCTGTGTTATTGTAACCTGTTATATCGTTTAAGCTGAAATCTTGAGGTAGCAATCCAATGCTAACAACAACTGATAGAGGTGAGTATTTATAAAGCAGCCATTCATTTCTATCATGATCATTTGGAGATGGAGTTTTTTCTACTTGAAACAAGTTAAAGGTTGATAATCTTCTAACACTGGCTGAATCTGGTGAACATGGTAAGGGTCTACTTGCATTCTTTATTAAGGAAGCTCTCAGGATTTGCCATCTCTGTCTAGCAAGACTAGTTTTAGGATTTGACATGGAGCTCTATAAATTTGTAAGCTAATTAGGAAGATACCACGCCTTATTTTTAATGTGACAAGCCCATTTTGCTGCAGTAGCAGCCACTCCTCCAAGTCTGCAACAGCATCTTACCTACCTAGAGCATAAATGGATGAGATAATGAATGAAGAGGAGAATCCATCAACTCCTTTATTTCAAAAGAATAATCCATCTCTACCTCCACCAAAGCAGTACGCAATAGCACCTGACAAAGAGGTAAAGTAATCTAATATTACTACAGTAATATAAATAGTTGCCTTATCATTTCCTTTAGTCAGTATCAGTGATAGTAGAGTTACCACAACCAGTCTACACCAGTAATGATTCCCATTACTATCAGTCAAGCCTTATGAATGATAATTATTTGATGCTCTCCATTGGGTTAACACTGATCAGCTTATGTTTTGGCTGCTTTCCTGCTCTCTTCGTTTCGATTCCTGCTATCATCTACTCTTTAAAAGTGATGCTGACATATTATAAATTAGTAGATCTAATTATTTTTTTGTACTAGGCACGAAAGGATTCTTCAGCAGGTGATTATGTGAAAATGAAAGCTCATGAAAAGACTGCATTTGCATTAAACATATTTGTATTTTTGGTATGGATCATAACATTTACTATTGTTGTCACTGTCGCTTATCGTATAAAATGTGGCAAAGAAGGTATTGACTGTAATACTTCTCCATACAGTGCGAATCATAATCCTTCCTATTCTGGATAGATATTGATTTCTATTAATTTTTATTGCCTTTATTATTTATTTTTATTGCCTTATTGACTATCCATTCATGCATTTTTATATTGAAATTAATTTTTGTGCTCTGTTTACAATGAGAGATCTAGTAGACTATAAAACGAAGGAGGAAGTACTGTCATAATGTTTATAAACTTGTATAGCTTCCCTTAGGGTGTAGGTGGATCTCTAGCTAGCATAGCTATAGCAGGGCCCTGACTTTTGTATCGTCCCGCTCTACGGCGGTAAAATCTCTCTCCGTCAGTTTCAGTGGTGAACTTTAGTTTATACTTCAACTCTCTGACAAGGATCCAGCAATAATGGCAGGTAGACCGTATAACATGTAGAAAGAGACAATAATGATTGATTTTCTCACCTATAACAGCTCAACAGGAAACTGGTTTCAGTACACAATACGAGTCTGGCGTTCCTCAAGGCGGCGGAGGGCACAGGCAAATTGGAAGAAACTATCAAAAAGTTAGCCTCTTTATAGCGAATACTAATGTATATTACAGTTTCATTAAAAAATGCACAACACATTTTTGTGGTTTTTCTAAATATGGTATTAATTCTATTCCATATAATAGACCGTCATTGTTGATCATGAGCCAGAGTATACAAAACATTCAGCATCACCTGTCATCCCTTTGACGCCTGGAGACAGACACTTGACCATATCGCTCATAATGCTCATTGTATCTGTGATGTGCTGTAATCCTATCTCACTCTTTTGTGCAGTTTTTGCAGTTGTATTCTCAGTTAAAGTATGTGAATAGCATACTGAAGATTACTATTGCTATATTAATTCCAGGCACGATCAGCAGAGCTTGAAGGTAAAAAGGAAGTCATGCAGGCTAATGACAAGACTTCATTTGGATTTGCAATCTTCAGCATAATAGGATTAATGACAAGTGTGTGTGTCGTTGGATTTGTTGTCCACAGGGAGCTTTGTGGAGCTTCTGCCACTAGCTGTGACACAAGGACTCATGTATAAACTGTCCACAACAACCATTCATGCTGTAAATTTCATTTTACATTGTAAACCGTTGTAGTATCCAGCAGTAGTTTTTAGTTTTTTTTTAATCATTATTGTTAAAGTGTTAATCAATGCAATGCAAATTATTTTGGGCGTGGCTGAATGCAGTTATTTAGGGTGGGGCTCGTTCTTTGCAAAGGGCGTCAGAAGAAAAACATGTCAAGTAAGAGAAATTTTTAGCTTTCATGATTCATATTTTGTTTGCAGGTGAGGTAGAAGAGCCTGTTGAAATCGTTAGGAATCCTTCATATAGCGTTGTGCCTCGTTCTTCATCACAAGCTACACAGTACCACCAAAAGGTATAAACATACAAAAAAGATGCACCAAAATGAAGATATTTGTGCTCTTCCTCCCTTTTAGAAAGGAAGAGGGAGTGTTATTATATTTGATGACGTACGACTCGAAGAACCAACATCAATAAATAATGCTGGACCATCAGAGTTTGAGACAAGAGGGACGTCCTCAAAATGGGACCACCACATCACTCTTGCTGTCCTTGCTACCATATTTTCTTTAATATGTCTGAATCCTTTCGCATTTGGGTGTGGTGCAGCTGCAATTTATTATTCCTATGTGGTAAGTAGTACTTAAACTAATATGCACTGTAACTATATGTTAGTGTTGCAATGAAGCATATACTAACAAATAATAATGATATAATAATAATAATAATAATAATAATAATAATCATAGTAATAATTGCTGTGTGTTTCATTGCAGGCTCGTGTTGCTTCTAGGAATGATGAGTACAAGCAAAAGATTGAAAATCAGAGGACATCACATGCCTTCTTCATTGTTTGCATCATGACTCTCATTATCTTTTTCTGTATAGCAATTTTTGCAGCTTATGAGAGCCTGTGTGGAAGAACTGGAATAAATTGTTGAGCTGCATTTTTGCTTTTTAACTTTCAATTTTTGTAAAGTTTTATTACCAGTGACCACACCTACTTTTAAAAATGACACGGAATGTACGTTGATTAGTATACGGAAACCACGTGGTTGCATTATTTCAATATGGAGGATAATCTTGTTCTTTCTTCAGTGCACATTGGAGCTAATTCCAGAGCTCATATTGGTCAAGTTAGCTGTTTCTTATAAATCATTCATTGATAAAAACTATCCAGTCTACAGTTACATCAGAATTTCATTATTACTTGCCCCAAAGTACTTGTAGTGACTTGACTGACTTGGTCCTTGTTTCTGATGAAGATGGTGACCTTGATGTGCCACGTAGATCTACTGAGCATAAAGTCATCACATTAAGTAAGACTTATAATTATCTAGAAGAAAGCAAGTCTCTTCTTGCCTAGTAAAATATATTCCTATAATTATTTTAATCCGTCACATTAACAGCTTTGAAAATAAGTTAGACTAGATCTACATACTTACTTTTTAATTTTAAATCTCTCAGGTCATACCATGGCCACGCCACTGAATAATGTTGGTACACAGCTGTGGAGTGCTTCATTATTAATGGCTGACTACATACTATCATACAAAGAGATGTAAACTTGTAAGGAAAATACTTTATAATTTGTTTTCTCTGTTAGGTTTCACGATGCTATAGTCGTTGAGTTAGGCAGTGGATGTGGTTTCATTGGTACTGTTGCTGCCTCTTGTGTCAGTCATTTCTTTTGTACAGGTATACCTTGCTTTAATACCTTAGCTAGCTAGAAAGTGGATTGATTTGTAAATATGCTCTTTGCTATAAAATAGACACAGGTACATCAGTCTTAAGGCTTTGTCATCAAAATTTAGTCCAGAATAATGTAACTAATAATGTATCAGTCCATGAGCTGGATTGGTTTAACTGTGAGAAGGATCTGCAGGATTCATCTTCATCATTATGCAGTAGTGGAATGGAAGAGGGGGATAGATACAAGTGGAATCATAGTGAGCTTGAGTTACTTAGAAAGACATCTATCATACTAGCAAGTGATGGTAACAGCTCTTTCCCTAATTTTTGCTAATCGTGTTCTTTTCTTTAGTGATATATGATAATGAACTAACTGATGCTTTCATTTCTACACTTGTTTATCTATCCACTGTCATCATGGAGTCTACTCCTTTAATTATTATTAGCATGGAAAAGAGGTGTGATTATTATTAATGTAGATATTTGTTAAAAGTTTCTATCACTGATGCAGGATAAATTTCACACTTTCTGATCTTGCTCCTTCAAGTCCGTGCTACGAGTATTTCTGCTCCTCCCTAGCACAATCCTACGAAGCATCAAATGAAATGAAGATTACCTTTGATGTGACTCCTCTTTCAACAGACTTCCCACAGTTATTTAAATATGAGAGAGTCAAAGAATTAGTGAGTTGCTACAGTATAAATTAGTGAGGCATATAGCTTGGTATTAGACATGTTTGTTTCCTTAATATAATGTCTAGATTTATAATGATGATGATTAATTTTTATTGAAGGAAATATGGAAGATTAAGGTAAAGAAAACATAACAAGACAATAACAGATTACACTATTAATATTTAAGAGTCATTTTTTATCTGTTTTATGTACATTTACCAGTTTCTGAAACACCTGCATGAAATTTGCTCCTTTCTTGTATTCAGACATATTATTAATGCGTCTGAGAAAGTCTTGTGCTATTGTGTCAGCATGTCTCAACTCCAATTCCTTGTAAGCCTTTGTTCTCTCATAATGAAAAAGATGAAGATGTTCCATCTTTGGCTCTGTTCCCTCAATCGGTATTGAAGTGCAAGGTATAGCGCAAAGGCCAATGAGAACATTGCTCCTGAAAGTATCTTGGCCCAAAACAGCTATTAAAAGTATGGCACTCTCTTTGAAGAGCTGCTCAGATGAAATGTGCCTGTATGATTTAAAGAAATCATGAATTATCTATCATCGTCACACAAAAGATGCACACAGTACTCATGCAAATATGCAGTACTTATATGTTGTGTAGAAAGTTTGGTCTGATTCCAATCAAAATTGGATTTTTTATGAATTTTAGTTGCATTGTTGCACCCGTATTAAAGCATGCTTTTTAGTTCACTTTGCATGCTCCATGGAAACCCTGTGTATACATATAACACATATACTCACATTTTAATTGTCTCATTAAAGATTGGATCAAGTGTTTGCTTCTTTGTTTCTGTTTTGTATATCTTTTCATTAGCTTCTGAAAAAGTTGGCAGCAAAAATACCCGCACAAAAACATTACTTCTCCCTATATTCAACATCACATGGAAATTTATTTATGTTTGTCAGGATGTTTCTACTTTGCTCCAGTCCTTGTAAATTTTCTCCTGAAACTATTTCAGCTGAAAGTACTTTATCAGTTGGCTTGTATATGTGACTAACATGAAGTATTCCAAACTTATTTTGAGAAGAAGCCTGCATGTAACAAAGTTATATAAGGTCTATATACTGGTATAGGATCATATAGACTTTGTGTTGTTTGTTTTAACACAATATTATATGCAAACCTGTTGTTTCACTAAATCATTGCAAAAAATCCTAATATTATCCTCAGTTGACTGTGTAGCATAGAATAAGTCGTCACTTAAAGTCTAGTAGGAACATAGTTAATAAAAGAAGCTATGAGAAGATGCATGCATTTTTTTACAAACCTTATATGAGTCATTTTCAATAAACTTTCTGTCTAGTCCCTTCCCATCAGCTTCAAAAAAGTATGAAAGGTGAAGGAGGACATAATTCAAACCAATATGTTGAAAACTTTCTGCAGAATGAGGTATTTTATCGTATGACTTTTTTAGAGCCATAACTATATGAATCCACAAGTGATGCAGTATTCTAAAAATATTTAAGTAAAATTTTAAATGTTGCAAATTTTGTACTTGTGGAATATTGGTGTCAAAAGTGATTTCCCTAATTTACCAACATTAACAGTGATGTACTCTAGCAATGGCTCTACAACCTAAACATAATATTTATAGCCATAGCATTTTGAGGTAGATCTAATAGCAACTAACTTGATCAAGATCAGAATTTGGAGGAGCACTCAATATCTTGGGAATGAATTTTATCACAGAGGGCAAAAGCTGAAACAAGGGCCATTTAATAGTCTTTATTATCTCACTTTATAGTTACCTTAGCTTGTACAACATTGATAGCATGCTCTATCTTATTCAAAATGTCTTCATTTGCACTTTTCAGTACATCTGTGGTAGTTATTTCAGCCTTCTCACTCAGAGGATGTCCATCTTCTCGTTTCTCTTCATCAAGCCATCTGTAGTATCTTTCAAGGCTTATTTCATTTGGGATATTCTTTAAGACTTCACTGATGTGATGTATGTTGTTAAGCGCTACACAAAGCTTTGTGGAAGATTATAATAAATGTAAATAATATTGCTAGATCTACTACTTGCAGATAATAAGTAATGACAAGAATGATAGATACTACATGCACTGGCCCCCAATTTTTATTACATCTTCTGATAAATATTAATGTCCTTATGCTATGTGGAAAATTTGAGCCAATCCCAAATTCAATTTTTAAAGTTATGGTCGTTTTTAAAATTAACAAATTTTTTAAAAAGTAAAGACTAGTCCATGGTTTTCAGAAAAATGGCTCCAAAATCACCCCAAATTTTATTACATTTTATGATGCATATTGATGTCTTTATGCTGCGTAAAAAGTTTGATCCGATTCCGACTTCAATTTTTCAAGTTACAGCCACTTTAAGAAAATGCCAAATTTCTGGAAAATATACTACAGCCTATGGTTTTTAATTTTTTTAATAGCCTATGGTTTTTATTGTCTATCGGCAATTTTTTTACTAAGTTATGGCTACAGACATTGAGCACACCCTATTGAGTGTGACCAAAAATTACCTTATCAGTAACAACAAAATCTCCATCATTGTAAAGAGATAAACCAGTTTTTATTTTTGCAACAACTTTATCAGTGTAATAAGCTGCCATTTCACAGATACACTGTGGAAAGAAAATAAAATACATACAAATTAGATCTATTTGCTCATCATGTACCTGTAGGATAGCAATAAAGTAACCTAATGATTGACCTCTGACTGGCCATTTGAGATCCTTCCAAAAAGTAATAGCCTATAAAAAAGAGAGAGAGAGAGAGAAAAGTTGAAGAAAGATATAATGCATGCCCCAAAATACACTATATATACTTGAAGAAAGAAAGCATGAGTGTCAACAGCAGAGGAAGAAAAAGGAGCCTTGTCACTGGTTTCAACAATGGCGTCCAATTCAAGCGCTCGATCCAATCTCTCTCTCACTTTGAGCTGAGCAACTTTAACCCAATCAAATACATACTTCTCAAACCAGGCATGAAAAGAGGTGATAAAAAGAGTTCTTCTTTGCTCTTTTAAGAATCTAAATAATATAGACATAAGATTTAATGAAAAGAGGACACACTAAAACGTACTCAGGATTAACTTCATAGGAGTAAGTCTCAATCTCTTGAATAATTCTATATATCTCATAACTAAGTATAGAAGAACCACTGTAGCTTTCTAAACGGCTACTTGTTTCTCCATAGAGCTATTATGAATAATGAAATAGTTGGATTAAAAAGTAAAGCATCCAGTAATAAACTTTATATTGATGGGATATATTACTAATGTCAGGACTTACAATCTTATCCATGCTGGCAAAAAAAGGGGAGAAATAATCCACGCCAATCCTATAGAAGCATACAACAAAAGTTGTAAAAATTGATGGAAGTGACTTACTCAATTAAAACTGGATGAACCCTCGTCAGTGATCTTTGACAGAGAGTAAGACAGTGAGAGCAAAATGCTTTCAAAGTGAGCAATGTATTTTCAGAAGACTACAGTAAGAAAAGATATGAATAGGTATTAACAACAACAACAACAACAACAATAACAATAATATTAATAATAAAAATGAATAAGAGAAAAAGCCACAAAAAATTGCATGGACTTACATTGTGGTCAGGTTTCATCTTAGCTGATAACAAAATCATCCAATGAGGAACAGCAGTCTATGTACACATACACATGCAGTTTGATAAAATATAGAAACAGTTTGATAAAATATAGAAACAATTGCCAATGTACCTGAATAGCATTAGTCAGGACTACTCTCAAATCCAGTTGCTCTGGTGCCAATTGGGGTCGTAGCAATTTAATTTGACATAGATCACGCAGTACTCTGCATAAAGACAATGCAAATTTGAAGAATTAGATTGAGTGAGTAAACAAGAGAGTAAGAATGAGTAATCTAGTAGAATAGAGTAAGAGGAAGTTTGGCTCACAGGACATGGTCTTTAAAGAGTGAAATACTTTTGATCGATCCAAAATTGTTAAAAAAGTTTATATGGCAATTCATGATATTTAAGATATAATTTCTGAGATCTTTAAGATCTTTTAAAAGCTGATTAATCTGAAAAGGAATGAAAGACTATGGAGTAAAGTTATGATGATTGATACAACCTACCCAAGATTCATCTCTGCTGTGCTGTTGTATCTTATATTCATAAAAATGGATTGTTTGCAATAAACTGCAAAACACGCCTATTTTAACACGATGTGCTCTGTGATAATTTAATAGGACAGTGAGTTGACTACAAAGAAAGAGACAAGTAGGCTCTAAATTTTTTACACCTACATGTTGCAACCAGAAGTACACAACAAAAAAGTAAATGCAAATTTGTGTTATAAATTATGACAATATGAAAAGCATTTCAAATTTAATTGTGAAACATACATAGCAGCTTGTTGCAATTGAGAGATGTGATGAAGCGAAGCATGCTGTGCCAAAGTTTTGTAAAAATCTTCGGACAATTTGCAATCCCAATGAGATAAGTGACCTGATTCACTCTGAGTCAATCATAGAAATACATAAGTAAAGGGATACTTCAAAAAGTTCTTCCTTTACTTTGCTCTCCCAACTAACGATGTCTTCAAATAACTGCTTATGACTCAAGTAACCTTCCTCTGGCTTTCTATCAACCTATAGAACATACAGTGATTTGACTTGCAGTAATAGTTTGGATGATACAGCCATTACCTGTTTTTCTGTAATCTTCAAAAAAATTAAAACTGTTCCTTTTGAGTGTGTAGACTTGTCAATGAGTTTGAGCATTTTTTCCTCTCCACTTGCAGGAATATCCTTTTAAATAATAACAGGCAGAAAAATAAGAAAGAAGCTCTAATATACTAACTTGGAGTATGTATAATGCACGACCCAAAAAATTGTCATCTTTCTCAATTTGTTTTGACGACTTTTTTTGCTCTTTTTGAGAACACCTTTAAGACAATAAAACAAAACAAAAGTAATGTGGAAATTAAATCTTATACGACTCACCACAATTCTATGACAAGACATTGATTTTCAGGATCAGTGATGCATCTGAAGAAAGTAAAAATAATAACCACAAGTTTAAATCACTATTAATATTGAGCCTCACCAAAGTGCATGTGTGCATATAAAAGAAAAAGAGGCAAACAGAGAGAGAAGCAGGAGAGACAGAGAGAAAAAAGAAGGAGAATATAAGAAACTTTGCTTACATTTCAAATGGTTCATTCCAAACTGGATTAAGTGTTTTTGTCTTGAAAGATGACTGCCAAGTCTGACCGATTAATCTTTTCTCGCTTAATTCTTTAATGCTGTCTATCGAATCAATAAACTCTTTGTTCATAATTGTCGCTATCCAGTATATTTCAGAAGTACCTGCATGCGAGGAAAACATTATTGCAAGTACTCACACAAATTTTTTTACTAGAAAAATCTTTGGATGGCAAGTTGCTTGCTTTGATAACTATAAAAACAAAACAAAATTCAATTAACTCCATAATATTTCATGCATGCGTACCATTGCATTTTAGGATGAGATCTCTGCTCTCCTGTAATTAATGATAAAGATCTAAGTAACCATAACTGAACAAGTAACCTTGACTTTTGGTTCTTTGCTTAACAAGTCAATAGTAGCTTGAGGAATACTGGAAAATGCCTAAAAATTCAAGTTATTACAAGATGCAACAAATTGAAGGAACTGTGGGCATTGTAATGGATATGATCATGCTACTGAAACAAGGCCACATGTCTCACAATAGTTACATTATAAGTGAATAGAATGTCATGTAACAAGACAAAATAAGCAGGAAATATGATAACAATAGATACATTGTGTAAGTTTTTTGAATGCCCTTTGAAAAGGTATACAGTAGCTTGCCTTCTTCATGTATTCAAACATCACTGTTGGGTTGGCTTCACGAATTAGTCCAACTGTTGAGCTGCAAACATCTTGTATCTAAATATGAGAAATTTGAAGATTGCTCCATCCTCTTCTTTGCATGTCTGTTTCTTACAATATCAGTGATATGCGATGAGCCGGACTGTTGCTTCAATACTATAGCATTCTCTTCATCCTGCATGAAATAGCATGCAGTTCTTATATATAGGTTGCTAATTAACATACTGGAGGTACATGTAGATCTAGAAGATCAGGGACTTTAGTCTCAGCGTCAGCCAATAAAATATTCTCATGCTTGACTCTGTTCGAGAAGTAGATCATGGCTGTATATTATCTACTTACTTTTCTACATGCTCTTTCAAGTCTAGCTCAGTCTGTTGTGTTTTTTGAAATACAAGTGACTTGAATCTTGTTAATAGGTTTTCTACACCAGTTTTCTTTACAGGGACAGTTTTGCTAACCTCAGCCAAAGCCATTTTGAATCTGATTTACAGCTTCAGGTCTAGCTGGAGGACTGTAGACATATAGCTGTAGAGCAGAGCAGGCTAATTTCAGAAATTACTGAGTCATGTAGTACAGGCAAAGAATAACATCTCACGTGCATAAAGCCATACACTGTGAGTAGTAAACAGTGTATGTACTTGGCTAATCTCAGATTAGTCCTTGCCAAATAGACATCCCAAATAAATATTCACATGTTTGATGATGCAATATTAATCTCCACAGCCACTTATTGACACTGAGGCCATAATTATTGAGAGAATTTTAATGGGTATTTATTTAAGTATAGGGATTGTAAAATTTGAGCCGCTGCAAAGCAATGGGTGACAAAATTGCATATCAATAACATAGCTTTCAAAATTTTTCTTTGCAACTATAAACTACTTGATATAATATGAAAACAATTTAATTTAAAGAAGATACAACATATAGTGGCTTCAAAGCATAAAAATATCAGTACTTTTACTTTTTATCAGTAAAGTGCAACAGTTTATGGAAAGGATGACCAGCTTGTGTCTCCCCATCAAATTCAAACTTCTTCATGTGCTTGAGAAAGTCTTGTGCCATCGAATCAGTATGTCTCAGCTCCAGCTCTTTAAAAGCATCTGTTTTCTCGTAGTGAAAAAGGTGAAGGTGCTCAATTTTCGGCTCTGTCCCCTCTTTTGGTATTGAAGTACAAGGCACGGCACAGAGGCCGGCAAAATCATTGCTTCCAAAAGTGTCGTGGTCAAAAATAGCCAGCAAAAGTATGGAACCATCTTTTGAAAGTTGCTCAGGCTTGGCATGCCTATATAAAGAGTGGTTAAATATAGAATTGATTCTTTCCTTTCTCTGCTTGCAAATTGCTGCACTTACAATTTGATTGTCTCGTTGAAAATTGGATCAAGTGTTTGCTTTTTTGTTGATGTTTTGTGTATTTTCTCATTTGCCTCCGGGAAAACAAACGCTGGGAGCAAGTGTACTTGAACAAAAGGATCACTTTTTCCTACATTTTAAATATTCAAAGTAGGTTTAAATTTACTGAGATTTACCACTTCGATCCAGTGCCGGTAACTTTTCTCCAGATATTATTTCAACCGAGAGGGTTTTCTTATTTTGATTGTATAAGTGGCTGATATGAAGCTGCCCAAATTCATTTTTAGCAAAAGCCTATAAATGAAAATTAGAAATAACACATAAAACAAGTGCATAAGGACATTAATATCTTTAGCCTTTACTTTTTCAAAAATTGGCTTGTTTTTAAAAATGCTCACAACTCTAATCAGAATTAGCTCAAACTTTCTACATAGCATAAGGACATTAATATGCATCAGAAAATGTAATAAAAATTCGGGGAGATTTTGGAGCCATTTTTTGGAAAAAACCATGGGCTATAGCCTTGGGTAATTTTCAAAATTTGGCCGTTGTTAAAAAATGCGCATAACTCAAAAAATTGAAGTCAGATTCAGCTCAAACTTTCTACACAGCATAAGGACATTAATATGTATCAGAAAATGTAATAAAAATTTGGGGTAATTTCGGAGCCATTTTTCGGAAAAAACCATGGGCTATAGCCTTGGGTAATTTTCAAAATTTGGCCGTTTTTAAAAAAATGCGCATAACTTAAAAAATTGAAGTCGGAATCAGCCCAAACTTTCTACAGAGCATAAGGGCATTAATATGTATCAGAAAATGTAATAAAAATTTGGGGTGATTTTGGAGCCATTTTTCAAAAAAACCATGGGCTATAGCCTTGAGTAATTTTCAAAATTTGGCTGTTTTTAAAAAAATGCTCATAACTCAAAAAATTGAAGTCGGAATCAGCCCCAACTTTCTACACAGCATAAGGGCATCAATATGTATCAGAAAATTTAATAAAAATTGGGGGTCATTTCAGAGCCATATTTTGGAAAAAACCATGGGCTATAGCCTTGGGTATTTTTCAAAGTTTTGGCTTTTTAAAAAAATAGCTGTAACTTAAAAATTTGAAGTCGGAATTAGCCCAAACTTTCTACACAGCATAAGGGCATTAATATGTATCAGAAAATGTAATAAAAATTTGGAGTGATTTTGGAGCCATTTTTTGGAAAAAACCATGGGCTATAGCCTTGGGTAATTTTCAAAATTTCAGCACTTAAGGATATTTTGTTTAAAAATGAGCATGTACACACCTGTTGCCTCACTACATCATAACAGAATCTTTTCACAACATCTTCAGTTGGTTGTATGGCATAAAATAAGCTATCCCTTAGTTCCTGAACAGAAAAAAAGAAATAAATTTTATATTTAGTTATGCATGACTCATCATCATGTGAAGTATCAATAGCACTAACCATATAGTACTCAGACTCAATAAAACGTCTGCTCAGCCCTTTCCCGTCTGCTTCAAAAAAATCAGAGAGGTCTAGGAGGACGAGGTTCAATCGAACATGAAGTGGATTGGCTGACGAGTGAGGTATCTTATCGTAAGTGTTCCTAAGAGCCTGGACAATCTGAACCCACAAGTGACGTAGAATACTATCAAAGTGAAGGAGATTAATGATGTGTAGTAACTGGGATAGACTCACTTGAGGAATAATGGTGTCAAAAGTGACTCTCCTAATTTCCCAACATTACCAGTAATATACTCTATCAATGGCTCCACAACCTAATACATGTGTGTGTGTACATGTACATGTACATGCATATGGTAATGGGTTCCTATCATAAGTATTAAGCTGACTTTATCAGTTGGAGAACTTGAAGGAGCATCAAGTATATTTGGAATAAATTCTAACACGGAAGGTGACAGCTGAAAGAAAATTTTAAAAATTAAAAATGAATTCTCCCTCTGTGCAATCAACTTTTTAACTCTATTGTACCTGAGTTTTCACAACAGTTATGACTTTGTCAATCTTATTCAAGACGTCTTCGTTGGCGCTTTCAAGTAGATCATTTATAATAGTGTCTGCCCTTTGACTCAATGGGAGGCCATCGTGCTGCTTCTCTTCGTCAAGCCACTTGTAATATGTCTCAAGATCCAATTCGGCTCTGATGTTCATTAAAACGTGACTCACGTGATGAATATTATTAAGTGCTACACAAAGCTGCACCGGAGAAGGGAAAATAAAATAATGAAGAATGCATGTCTGGTGACATAGACATTACATGTACATATACATTACATATACATATGCATGTACTTGCATGCAGGTTGCTCTATCAACAAGTTTATCTGTACCTTATCAGTAACAACAAAGCGACCTTCACTGTCAGTATATGACTCATCTTTAGTTTTGGCAACAATCCTGTCACTATAATAGGCTGTCATTTCACAGAGACACTATGCAGCAAGGAATAAAGCCATCAAATACATAAAATATATTAATGTATAATTTTATTCACCTGCACAATATTTATAAAGTAACCCAGCGACTGCCCTCTATCTGGCCATTTGAGCTGCTTCCAAAAAGTGATAACCTTACATTAAAAATATAAAATCAAATAATTATGGCCATTCAATGGATTTACTTGAAGAAAGAAAGCATGAGTGTCTACAGCAGAGGAAGAGAAAGGAGCATTGTCACTAGTTTTCACAATGGTGTCCAATTCAACGGCTCTCTTCAGTCTTTCCTTCACTCGAGTTTGAGCAACATCGACCCAATCAGGTACGCAGCCTTTAAACCAATCTTGGAAACTGGTGATTGAAAGTTCCACACGCTGGCTCTTCAAGAACCTGAAGTATGGTATACAATGTGTATGTGAATATAAAAATTTTAACATACTCAGGATCAATTTTATTTGAATAAGCAGCTATTTCCTGTATGGTCTTGTAGATCTCATAAGTCATCAAGCCATTCTTAGTTGATCCTCTGTTCTCCAAGCAGTTCATTGCCTCACCGTGAATCTAATAATAGCATAATAATAATAGTTTATAGTGTAGAGTTTAGGCTTACAATTTTATCCACACTGACAAAGAAAGGAGAAAAATAGTCCACGCCAACCCTAAAAACCACGAAAAAATATCAAGCTTACACTCACAAATTCCCATAAAGTAATTCAGTATGTAATTAATGTATTATAATATAATTAGATGTGGAGAGAGATTTTATTACCCAGTTCTAGTTAAAATTAATGTTGTTGAACCAAATGATAGATACACAATGATTGTGATACTATGTTATAACTTACTCCATAAAAACTGGATGGACTCTTTCCAGTGATCTCTGGCACTGCCTTTGACAGTGAGAACAAAATCCTTTGAAAAGAATCAGCTTGTCTTCAGAAGACTATACAAAAGAAGAACTATTCATCACAATTCACAGCAATACATTAGACTGAATACAATATACAATAGTAACAATACAATACAATAGATCCACTTAGTATGATAATACACTTACACTGTGACTAGGCATCATATTGGCAATTAAAAGATTCATCCAAGAAGGCACAGCAGACTAACATAATAAGATAATAATAATAATAATAATAATAATAATAATATTATTATTATTATTGTATTAACACTTTATAAGGTAACATCTGCTGTACCTGAATAGCATTAGTTAGCACTGCTCTCAGGTCCAGCTGTTCTGCCGACAGTTTAGATTTTAAAAGTCTAATCTGATACAAATCGTGCAATACTCTATAAAGTTCACATTGAAGGGCATTAAATGATATAATTAACAAAAGTTTTAAGAATTAAAAAAATTTAATCCCAAACTCACATGATGTGGTCTTTGAGAAGAGAAATGCTCTCAACTGATTTAAAATTGTTAAATATATCCAAGTGACGCTTCATAATGTCCGTAATGTACACCCTGAGCTCTTCAAGATCCTTCACAAGCTGATTCACCTGCAGGACAAAAAAAACAGATCAAAAAAAAGAAACAAGTATTAAAGTACTGTCATTGTTTATTAAATATAAAAGTATGAAAAGCATTATTATTATGACTGACCCAAAATGGGGTGGAGTCTTTGGTAGATGAGTTCTTGTGGGTCGGGAGTACTTCAGACTCGTGATGCTGTATCGTGTGAAGTATGTTACTCAACGAATGCATTGCGATGGCATGGACTCTGTGATAGTTCAATAGAATATTGAGCCGACTAGAATGAGAAGGAAAATGAATGCATGGTAAGATAGAAAGACACAATAATAATTCCTGTATACAAATGATATATTATTATACATGTGCTTACATTGCTGCGTGCTGCAATTGAGAGATACGGTAGAGTGAAGCGTGCTGTATTAATAGTTTCTCGGCTTCTTCGGGCAATTCAGATACCCAATGAGTTGAATGACCGTCCTCAGTCTACACGAGAAAAGATTAAATAAGAATTGTAAGTAAACTTTCCTTTACTGTACTTTGCTCTCATAGCTAATGACACATTCTAATAGCTGCTTGTGACTTAGGTAACCTTCCTCTGGCTCTCTGTCAACCTAATACGTAGAATAACAAATAAATTAAATTAGCAACAGCACACATAGAGACGGTCAAACAGCTGCACTGTCAACCACAAAATATTCAAACACAAAGAGAGGAATTGTTGCAGCTACTACACTTTACGATCATAGTTGCAGCTACAGTTATACATGTACCTTTTTCCCTACAATGTCCATAAATATTGTCAGCATTCCTCTTGAGGACTTTGTTGAATGAGACTTCAACTCAAGCGTCTTCTCCTCTCCACTCACAGGGACATGCTATAAGAGGCAATGAAGGACTTATCTCTCTTCATAATTACTCACTTGTAGTAAATAGAAAACACGTCCAAGGAAATCATCTTTTTTATGGATGAACTTTGCTAGTCCTTTCTGATCTTTATCAGAATCCCTAAATAAGAACACAATGTGCATACATGTATATACATGTATATTAAAGATGTAAGTAAATGATGGCTCCAATATACAATGTAATATTAGGACTCACCACAGCTCTATAGCAAGATACTGACTCTGTGGGTCAGAGATGGGCCTAAAATTTAGTTTAAAAAGTTTAAATAAAATAATAGAGTGTGGAGACAGAATAATCATTTAAATGTTGGAAAAGGAAAGAGATGAGTAGTTCTGGTCCACATACATTTCAAATGTCTCGTTCCAATCTGGATTGAGCGTTTTCATTTTTATGCTGGACTGCCAAGTCTGAGCGATCAATCCTTCCTCCTTCCATTCTTTAATGTTATCAAAACGAACCAATTTTGTATCAATATGCTCTTTATTAAGAATGGAAACAACACAGTAAGGATCACTAGTCCCTACAGAAAGTATGAATACAACATATAATAAACACAACAGCTGCTTATGCTTCCCTTTACCGCCAAAATCCTTTGCTGGCAAATTGTTGGCTTTTATGACTAAAAAAACAAGACAGATAATAATAATGATAATAGGTTCAATAGTTATACCTTTGCATTTCAGTGTGAGGACTTTATCCTGGAAGGAGGCAACAGTGAAACTAGTTATAAATTTACATATGCACACCATATACCTTGTCTGATAGTTGTTTTGCTTCTCTATTCAGCGAGTCAAAAGTTTCCTTGGGGATGCCAGAAAATATCTACAGCAACAGAAAGCAATGATTGCCACAACAGAGGATCAGCTACAGTAATCATTCAGCTACAGTAATCATTATTAATGAATATTATGAACCTATGACCCCATCAGAAGTGGAGTCTTCCCCCATTATGTGGTGTCATAGTAAATGAGCCGTGTCTAATATATATGCTCCAATGGTAAGTTGCTTAATGCTAATGTGACTTAAGTGAGCATTAAGCAACAATATATACCACTACCTCTTAATGGTATATGCTTTTTTATGCTCAGTTTACAAACAAGATAGCACAGGAGTGATACTATCACTTTTACTAAACACACTCTACATTGGTTTTACAAAGAGTAATTAGTACACTTGAGCCAAGAGTAGATGGTAAAAGGTCAACGTACCTTTCTTATGTATTCAAGCATTAGCTTGTTCTCATCCTTGGAGTGAAGTGATTCTACATCATGGAAGAGCCTCAGAGTTGAGCTGCAAACATCTCTTCTCTATAAAACACAAATTTGATTTCTTTCTCTCTCTCTCCTATTTTGTCCCTCTTACAATTTCATCGGTAAGATTATGAAATTCAGTGTCAACAGTGCAAGTAAGTGCCTGCTTCATTAAGGTAGCTTCGTCTTCATGCTAAGAGGAGCAATTAAGTATTATATAAACATATCCTTGTGCATAATGTACTAAAAATGTGTTAACATACTTCTGTCTCAGGCTCTTGCTCCTTCTCTTCACTAATACCAAGAAGATCGTCATCTTTTATCCTAAGGAGGGAGGGAGACGTGTTGAAAGATGTGGAAGGTGTAGTTTAGTCTTTATGTGTGGGCTTACTTTTGAATCTGTTCATTCAAGTCCAGTTTACTCTGCTGTCTGAGGCGGAGGGTCTTTCTAGCTGCCATTCTAAACTTAACGAGTGGTTCGTCACCTCCTTTTTCAGAAACCTGCCACGGTATCTTTTTGACTGCCCCTCTGGCCCCGTCCCCAACAGTTTCTTTGATTTGTGACATTTTTCGAGCCACCTTCTCCTTCTCCTTCCCCATCGCCTGACTTACAACGTCATACAAATCAGAGACGCGGCCAGATATCTCCTTGGGCGCCTGTTGCACTAACTCTGAAGCTGAATTAAGTCTAGTATGGCTGAAAGACATTGTTTGAACTTTGTGAAAGAAGAGGCGATAGAAGAAAATAGAACCTGCAGCAACTAGTAGAGACCAACCCTGCGATATCTTTGCAGAAATCACACACCCACGCAGTAACCACACCCAGCTTATCACCAGACAGTCAGACAACCTTCAAAATGTCACTGCTGTATGTTAATACTGACATCAAAAAAATTATTTTTATTTATTTATTATCTCCTACATGTCATTTTGCAGGAATTTCTTTAGCAAAGTCACTCAAGAAAAAGGCAAAAGGAAACGTGAGACCAAAAATGATGATTTAGGGGAGGAACATAATATTATTAAGAATGATGAGAGGGAGAAAAAGAGGGTGGAAGAGGAGGAGGAGGAGGAGGATGTTATCCGACGTTGTAAGAGACCCCGTCAAGCAGTGATAGAGAGTGACAGTGATGGAGAGTTGGAGACAAAAGATGGAAGCAGACAAGAAGAGATGGAAACGAATAGTGTACCATCATTGCCTGTGAAAACTAATAGTACTAGTAGTGTCACCAAAACACCTCCAAAGAGAGCCACAGGTTAGTTGTTTGCATAGTAAATTTACTTAGTTTTATGTTATTGCTTCATAATGAGCCACAATCTGTTTGTGTGTTGTTTTATGGTTAGCTCGAAAACACACTGGAAGAGTAACGGCAGCTGCAAAAACAATAATCAAGAAGAAAGACACTCAGGAGGATCCTGTTATCAAACCAAAGTCTCAGGCTGATGATGTGAAAGATGTAGTTGTGTCTGAAGAGACTAAAGAAGCTAAAGAAGAAAGTTGTCCTGTTTCTGAATGCGAAAAAATTGAAAAATCAAGTTCACTTGCAGGTAACCACTTTTTTCTCAACTATTCCAAAATTGAATACATTTTGACAGAAGATAAAGAGAATAACAGTGTGTCTGCTGGTGAAAAAAAAGAAAGGTAATGACAAAAAAAGTAAAAGCTGTTGGGTAGAAAAAAAAAAAGTCAAGATAGCAGAGGATGGTTTCGATCCATCGACCTCTGGGTTATGAGCCCAGCACGCTCCCGCTGCGCCACTCTGCTACCACTGTTTTAGTCTGTGATATTATTGCATATTTATACCGTATGGGTGTGTCAGCGAACCACGCCTATCTTAAATAGCAATGCTTAAATACAGAAATGGAGGCACTACTTTACTTTATTTTAAACGTAGCTTTGCAAAAAAGACTTCAACCAGCTCTTCTTTTGATCCCACAAAGATAAACTATCATCCTGTAAAAGATGCTTGCTGGACAAAAAATCAAAAGTGAGTATTTGTTGCAGAAACATTAAAAATTATTATTCATAATTATTATAGAGTTCCCTATCTTGCTATTGCTAAAACATTTCAACAGATTGAGCAAATATCAGGAAGGTAAACATTTGGCATGTGATCTTGAAAATAATACAATTTAGTTTTGTTTGCTTTTGTTTTATCGTGTTTGTTTTTTCATAGATTGAAGATAATCAGTATTTTAACTAATTTTTTACGATCAGTAATAGCTCTTTCTCCTCGGGAAACAACGCAATGCATTTACTTGTGCCTCAACAAGGTAGTTTTGCAAAATAAAGTATTCAGCTGTCTTTTTGCTTGTTTAGCTGGGGCCAGCTTATAAAGGCCTTGAACTTGGTATTGGTGACAATATTCTGATTAAAGCTTTGTCAAGTGCTACCGGTTAGTCAATGCATGCTGGAGTTGGGAATTTCATATGATCCTAAACTTTATTGCCAAAATTAGCATTATTTAAAATTAGCATTATTTTATAAGGGAGTTTCAACAACTATTGAATGGGCTATAGTCAAATACCCTGTTATTATGATCTATTGACAGGTCGAAATCCGCAGCAGATCAAAGCTGAAGTGGCAGAGAAAGGTGACCTAGGTTTAATAGCAGAAGCAAGCAGATCAACACAACGGACTATGTTTGCTCCGCCTCCTCTTACCATTAGTAGCGTATTTAATAAATTTACAGAGATAGCTAAACTGACCGGGCATTCTGTGAGTTATAATTTATACTTTATTTTATTAAATTCTTGAATCGTGATCCTTTAATACTCTTAATACATCGTCTTTGTCTTTTTTTCAGTCTCAGAATAAGAAAGTTGACATAATTAAAAGTCTGATAGTCAGTTGTAAAGATTGCGAGGCTAAATATTTAACAAGGTAGCAAAAATCAATTCTAATGGTACCTACCACACAAGCACATTGCATGTACACACACACACACCCACACACACCCACACACACACACACCCACACACACCCACACACACACACACACACACACGTACAACTTAATGTAGTGTTGTTGCAATTGGCAGTTGGTCTTGTTGTGTTTCTGCATCCATCCAAAGTATACATTTTCTATATCATTGGCAATCCACAAACAAACCAGTGTTTATGCCAGTTCAATTTCCTCCTGATCCAATTGTTGGAGAGCTACTACTAAAATAGTGATGATAATAATAGTAATAGTAATAATAATAATACTGATGATGATGATTTGTTGTTTCTTCAGATCACTAAGTGGTAAGCTACGGATCGGTTTAGCGGAACAATCAGTTCTAGTTGCTCTTGCTCATGCTGTCAAATACACACCACCTGGACAAGGTATGGGTAACTTTTCTTCCCAAATTTTTAGTATAAACTCTCAGATATTGCTGATGCCAGTCAGGGGGTCAATGGAGAGAAGTTTCGTAAAGAGCTGGATGCAGCAGCTGCTATTGTCAAGAATGCTTACTGGTAATTTTATATTAATAATTAAATTCTTTGAACAAAATGTGCCTACGTTGCACATGTGTATGTCTACTGTTTTTTCTAAAATATGGCTATTTAAGCCAATCTAAACTTTCAAACTCAAATCATTTTATTTATGTCATTTTCCTTTCATGACAGTGAATTGCCAAACTATGATATCTTGATACCTGCTCTACTTGAGCATGGGCTGGATGAGCTGCCCAATCACTGCTCCCTGACTCCGGGGATACCACTAAAACCAATGCTAGCTCACCCCACTAAAGGCATACAAGAGGTACTCAGACGATTTGAGCAGTCCGAGTTTACATGTGAATGGAAGTATGATGGTGAAAGGGCCCAGGTTAGTTAATAGTGAGTGAAAAAAAGAAGAAACACGACTTATAGTCGTGATCCATCCATGTATGTACATGGACGGTTATTTCTTTATTTCTACACTTATTGTTTACTTTCAGATTGAGTTGTTGATTATTTTCAGTATCTGACTGTTATTCTTATATCTTGCAAAATAATTATTAGTATACTATCATTTTCTCTCTACGTAGATTCATTTATTGGATGACAACACTGTTCAGATATACAGTCGCAACCAAGAGGACAATACTTCTAAGTATCCGGACATCATAGCAAGGATTCCACAGGTGTTGAAGACTGCTGGAGAGGGAGAGGAAGGAGAGAGAGAGGGAGTGAAGTCTTGTGTGATTGACGCTGAAGCTGTTGCGTGGGATATCGAGAAGAAACAAATACTTCCTTTCCAAACTCTGAGCACTAGAAAAAGAAAAGTATAATAGTGAAAAAATATTATATTAGTGTCATTTATTTGATTGATTTTTAGGATGCAAATATTTCTGAGATTAAAGTCCAAGTCTGCGTCTTTGCCTTTGACCTGTTATTTCTTAATGGGAGACCTTTAGTTAGGGAACCTTTTAGAGTTAGGCGAGAGCTATTGAAGTCTTCATTCAAAGAGATTGAAGGGGTGAGAATTAGGAAAATGTGTACATGTATGTGTTCAAGCATATTGACGTAATGCAGTTGACTATTGCATGTAAAGTATGTATTGTACTATAGTACAGGGACTTTGACCTGATTTTTGAGCAACTTTAAAAATTTGTAAAAAATTCAATTTTGATCGGAATCAGCTCAAACTTTCTACGCAACATAAGGACATGTATATGTATCAAGAAAAATTATAAAAATGTGGAATTCTCTCCTTGCCATTTTTTTGCGAAATTTGACTCGAGACCCTGTACTAACATATCATTAACATCACATATCATTATTTTGTATCAACAGGAGTTTATGTTTGTTCAAAGTATTGATTCTACTAATATTGAAGACATTCAGAGCTTTATGGATGAATCAATGAAAGGTATGCCTTTCCATGACATACTTGTAACTCTCAATATTTATAATGTGCATGTACATGTACCTATTCTTCTCTATATGTTCTTTGTCTATAGGTAATTGTGAAGGCTTAATGGTCAAGTGTCTTGATAAAGATGCATCATATGAAATAGCAAAGAGATCCCGCAACTGGCTAAAAGTAACTCGTTATAATTATCATTATTATAATAATTGTTTTTATTTTTATTTGTAGCTTAAGAAGGATTATCTTGAGGGTGTGGGCGACACACTAGATCTCGTTGTGGTTGGTGGGTTTCATGGAACGGGAAAGAGAACAGGAAAGTATGGCGGGTTTCTACTGGCTTGCTATGACGAGGAAAACGAAGAATATCAAGTCATTTGTAAAGTGAATAAGAGAGAAGGAGTGAATATATAAATGGTAATGGTAAATTTAGTAAGACAACTTGTTTATGTGGCAACTATTTGCATAAAGCTTGTTAATTCATGGAATGAAATTGAAGGTTTTGATCACTTGTACCAGTCAAAGAAATTGCTATAATTTGTAAATCAGCGGCATGTAGGGCGCTAATGGCTTTTTCCTGTTCTTTTTAAAATTACATTTGTCCATATTCGTTAAGAAATTTGGCTGATATCTAATTTTTAAATAATTCTACCATGCGGTCCATGCCAAATTTTAATCGACCAATCAGAATGCAGAACACCAGGTTTCTAAATCTATTAGAAACCTCCGGGGGAGGGGGGGGGACACATAGTATAAAGTTAGAAACTTGGCGCTGTACACTTACGCTCCGCTCCTATTAGTTCGGTTGTCTAACTTTGTCAAGCTTGGTCGATTCTTTACTGGCCTAGTATGTTAGATATGTTGTATGTATGTCAACTGTGGTCTTATTATCTGCAGCTGGTAGTTGTTTTCAAATGTCATGGTAAAACCTGGTGGTATCAGTTTCTATGGCATTTATTAACCTTGCGACTGCTAGGTTAAGAAACCTCTACCTTGGTGTATAACCTATTACCTATACTTATCATTATTGTCTCAAATATTATATATACTTTTACATAGATTGGTACTGGTTTCAAAGATGAGGAGTTAGAACAGCACACTTCATATCTTAAAGATCACGTCATCGATGGACCTAAATCATACTACAGCACTAGTGATAGCATTACCCCTGACCACTGGTTTGAGCCTGTCCAAGTCTGGGAAGTAAAGGCGGCTGATCTCTCTGTGTCTCCTGTTTATCCAGCTGCTGCTGGAATTGTAAGCTTTTGATTTGCCCTTGTTGTTACTACAGCTTTTAGTATCCTTATAAATTTAGTCATTTTAAAACTAAGTTAATAATTATTGATCATGTCATGGTATATCCATTTTAGTAACTACTGCTTATAATTGTTGTTAGATTGATCCAGAGAAAGGCATTTCACTTCGTTTCCCTCGTTTTCTTCGTATAAGAGAAGACAAGAAACCAGAGCAAGCCACTACCAATCAACAGGTAATGAACAGACTTTTAAAAACAACTTTTATTCTCTTCTCTTTCACTTTTTTGTACAGGTAGCAATTCTTTATCGTCAGCAGCAGAACATTGTCAAGCAAACAGAGACTAACGAAGATATAGATGATCTCTACTAATAAAAATTATGAATTGCTCATCACTTTTGCACACACCAATCCACAATCTTAAAGACTCACTTGACATTAAGATCTTTTAATTTTGCTAGTTACAGCTTTTTCCCATTCCTCTCTTAACATACAGGGCTCATGATTATCGCTTTATCCACTCGCTGTCTGCTTAACATTATTAAAGAGAAGAACATTTAATACCAAAGTGAATAAACTAGTTAAAATAATTAACAAAATACATGGCAAAGACATTAATAATTATAGCTGTATGTTAAACAAAGACATTAATAATTATAGCTGTATGTTAAACAAAGACATTAATAATTATAGCTGTATGTTAAACAAAGACATTAATAATTATAGTTGTATGTTAAACAAAGACATTAATAATTATAGTTGTATGTTAAACAAAGACATTAATAATTATAGTTGTATGTTAAACAAAGACATTAATAATTATAGTTGTATGTTAAACAAAGACATTAATAATTATCATTGTATGTTAATTCAATAGGCAAAACAAAGTCCACTCATCCCTTTACTTGAATGGTGGCCTCGTGTTCTTTTGTGGCTGGATGAATCTGCCAGCTGCCTGCATTGGCTGTATAATTTTGGGCAGGATCTCTTTGGAGGGTCTATTATCAATTTCACCAGAAGATGGTATTGAAGGAAGCTCATTCGGTTGAATGATGGGATCAACTTCTCTCTCGGCCTTAGAAGAGTTTTCTCGTACATGATCAGTCCCTTTGTGTACTGTTGCTGGTCTCCTCATTCTACTTGTTACATTACGTTTCATTCCATTTCCGGCAGGAGCTTTAGGAATATCGTTTCCACTGGGCTTTATATTGGGGTCTGTTTCTTTACGGCTTAGAATAGGTTCGGCTCCTTTTCCAGCTGTAATTGATCTCGGTTCTTTCTTCGTTATCAATAATGGTGGATTTTGATCTTTCTTGTTCAAAGGAACGAGAGAAGATGATGGTGGATGAAGAGGAGGTCTAGTAGCTGCTGTACCCTTCCTAAGGCTATTCCAAGGTCGTTTTAAGTCTTTTGCACTTTGAGGAGGTTTCATCTTAGTCATTGGTGCAGGCCTTTTGTATTTATTTCTAATTCCTCCTTGTTCAACTAAAGAAGGTCTTGTATTACCAATTGGAGGCATGGGTAGTTTGTCCTCCTTTGCTAAGTCATTTGTTCCATTAGCTTTAATGATTACATTAGAAACCAGTGGAGGTAGCTTGTCATCCATTTCTTTTGAAGCACTCTTTCTAGTCAGAGCTGGAGGAAGTGATTGGCTCATTTCTTTTCTAAAACTTTGTTGCTTTATGAGTGGGGTTGGTTTTAAAGGAGGATCTGGTTTACCGATATCTTTAGAAGAACTCTTGCGAGTTAGACTTGCAGATATCAATGAAGGGACAGTCCTGTTTTTAACAAGAGGAGGGGCTGGTTTGTTTGGTAGTGGCACCGACTGCTTTTTGTTTTCATCCAAAGCTTGTGCCTCAAGGAATTCAGACTTCTTTTGCTCCGGATTGTTAGCAGGACGATAATCCAACCTGGTCACCGATGATTGATTTTCAAAACGGGTCTTCTCTTTAAGTTTAGTAGTCTCTTTCACATTCCCTGACTTTATCCTATGCTGATAAGGCGTCTTACTCTGACTAGAGCAAGTATCAGTTGTCGTTTTTACTTTATCACCGAGGCCAGATGGGCAAGTATTGGTCCTCCTCAGTAATACTTTGGCTGGCTGTGTGTTCATGAATGACTGTAGACGCTTTCTTTTTTTGGATGTGAGTGCAGATGATGGGTATAATGAATGAAAGTCAGCTCCAGATTTTGACTGAAGTGAAGTGGGTTGTCTCGGTTGCTTTGATATCATTCGAACAAGATGCTGGACTCTATGAATGGCAGATCCACCTTTTGCATGCAAGGTTTTATCATCTCCATCATCTTGATCCTCATCACCACTCCCAGATTCAGATGAGAGTGACGGAGAAGAACTGCCCAATTCTTTGCTTGATAGCACCCTGTCACTTGGTATGGGGAGGTTCAAGCTGACACGATGAGAGACATTGAAATCTTTTTTTGCAATAATGGCTATTCTGAGGAGATCTCGGAAATTTCGACTCTTGTACATCACAACGATCCTTGCCTTCATGAAGTTGTGATTCTGGTAGTAATCAATGAAGGGCTTTTCAACACCTTGTCGAAAGCTTATCATTTTTCTGAGTTCCCTCAGCTCTTTCCTCAGTGGGGAAGTGGCAACATTGATGAAATCCGAAGGAGTCTGTCCATTGTAGCTTGTAATGCGATAGACAACATTCTTTGTCATGCAGCGTAGTGACATTCCTCTGCTTTTTGCTGCAGATTCTCGAATGATTTTAGCGCAGAGTTTACATGTGTCCTTTCCAGTGCATCCTGTATCAAGACTGTACATTTCATCTCTGGTTGGCTCTTTAGTAAAATCATAGTCCTTGTCTGGGTAGGGCTCATAACCAAGGAAATCAAAGAAGTCATTTTTATAGTCATTTTCATCATCTGGAAGACAATCTTCGAGCTCCTGTACATCATTTTCCTGAATATCAATTCTGTTGCCTTCAGTCTCATTCAGTGGTGATGCATGGATCAAAGCATTGCAGCTCTCCTCCAAGGCTTTAACTTCCTGAGGGTCAAGTTTATGAGCATTTTGAGAAGCTATCATCGTATTGCTGCTGTCAGCTTCTTTCCAGGCATCAAAGACAGAAATATTTTGATTTGGTTTGCTAAGAAAACAACTACCATCATCTTGTAGGACTTTGTCTAGTTCTTGGTGGGAATAGGGCACATCTTTAAGGAGCTCATTTCTCTCCATGTTTATACAGCTTGAGATTGCTCTGCTGGTGCTAAAATTACTCATTTGCACCAATGAAGACATACTGGTGTAGGCTCACACTATTGCACGAGAGACTTACTGTCTATTTTTACTGTGATTTTAATTTTACTGAATTAGAATTTCGTAAAAATTAGATTACCCTTATTTAGTAAAAATTAAATCACAGCACAATTTAAAAACACAGAAATTTTCTACTACACAAATTTCCTGATCTACAGTGTTTATAAATCTTATGAAAATCGTAAAATAATAACTGTTATAATGAAGGTTTCAGGCTCTGCTGTGTTGCACATACACAAAAAAATCACAGTGCAATCAGTGGACTTTGAGTTACTCACTAACATTATAAAAGAGTATACAGTGTGATCTCATAACATACGAAACAAATACTTGCAAATGATGATAATGCAGTTAGAAATGCAACAATCATTAGCACAGTAACAGCTAAAACCATATACATACGCACAAAAACTATAAGTTTTTATTGTGTTTCTTAGTTTACAAAGAGGATCAGCTGTTGGCTATAGTTGATGATCCATCATAGTCTTTAGTGAAAAACTTTTTATACGTCTTGCACATCAAACACTTGATCACCACGTGCCTCTGCGGTCTAACTGTGTGTCAGTTAAATTGCAAATTTGAATTGAAAGAATGGAATAATAAAAAGGTGTAAAATAAAAATTAACAAATGATGCATTAATCGACTACCTCTTATCCTATGAGTACAAGTGATCCCTGGTACCTGTAGAGCATCACATGACTTGCATATGGTTCTCTTAATAGTAGGATCCCTATAGGCAATGATGAATCGTGAACTAAGGTACAATTGAAGTCCACAATCCATTGATTGGCTCCTTACAATTTGATGACTAGTTTCTGACTGATAGATTTCATCGTCCGTATATAGAACTGAGATAATTGGACTTGATTTTGGGATACAAGTACCCAAGCAGCCTGCAAAATTACAATTAACATGATTAAATTTTAATTCCAAAGCAATCAAACTCTTTTAATTTTAACTAAAATAAAAAAACACTACCATGACGCTTCCTTACCTGATACAAATAGTTCATTCTCATCATAGCCTCTCTCTGAGGAACACTCGCAGTGCTTCTGTGTTGTTTCTGCTGTTGTTTGGGATCATCTGCCATTTTACTGAAGACTTTACCGCCAACTCTGGCGGGAAATTGAAATGGGTGTGGTTCAAGTTTAACCACGCCTCTTTGTTGTGATTTTATTTTTAACCCGTTACCATATGGAGATCTTGTGCTGTATGTTAATCATTTTTTTGCTCACATTCTTTTATTTTCATAACTTTCCCTTTTAGTACAATGCAGAGCAAGACTATTCCCATTATTTGGCCGGGGGTCACGTGGTTTTAAACTAACCAGAAGCTCTTCAGTACACATAAGACTCTATGCAACGTTGCATCAGCCACCTAGTGTGCAGCCTGATTCTAAGCCAAGGCCTGCTAAAAAGAGGTCTTTGGTATTAAAAGAGAAAAAGAAATTGAACGAAGTTGTATTTGATGAGGTGAATGCGAATATAATCAAGTTTAATTTGTGTATCACATAATGCTGGTTATTCAATTACATGGGGATCCTTATAAATAGTAATTGTTGTGAGGAAAATGCAAATTTTTGGTTTTAATATGTACATTAGGAACCTAACCTTTCATAATAATTGATCTACTACCCTATCAGCCACACCTTTTAATTAAAGACTTTTTCTTATAACTAATTGTGTAATTTCATTTGGTACAATAATAATGGTTGCATTAATACTGTTGCTTTGGCTGATTAGGTCCTCTCTAATGAGCCAAAGAGAAAAGATGTGCAATGTAAATCACTGGATGAAGAATGGAGAGAACAAAGGATTGATATTAAGAAGTTGCCATACATGTACCTAAAGCTCTCAAAATACAGACTCACTTGTAAGTTACACGATGCATGTATAGCTCATATCCTGTTCAAGAAAAATGGGCTGAATTGTAGATTTTAACATTCCACCAATTTAATTGTTAAATATATAATAGCATTTTAATATTAGAATTAGTAGAAGGACATTGTGTATTAATAATTGTGTGTTATATAGTGCAGTTCACTAGTTTTTCTGGCTGCATGTGGCCTGCATGAAGACTTTGTTTTGCATTGAAAATTCTATTCCTCATTTTCACTGTAAGTATTTATGGATGACACCAATTGTAACCATGGTAGCACTAAAAGTTACCCTCCCATGCCTCCAAATGTGATCGGACAGTTATTGATCGTGTCTTCTGACAGTTATTCAGTTGTTAAAATGTTTAGTGGCTTGTATCTTTCATTGAGGGCAATGGAGTGTTTTGAATGTCATACAAACCTGTCAGTTTTGTCATGAGAGAGATGGAGTGTTGCACATTGCCTATCAGAGCTTCCCATTCCTAAAGAGCATATATTAGACCAATGACTGTCTCTAATACTTCATAACTGGAGCTCAAAGCCTCCACCCTGATACTGAAGTGTATGTAATTGTCATTACTCTTGCTTCTCTTTATCTGATTCTGGTATTGAATCACCCAGTGTTGCTGGTAGTGGTATTTCAACTGATGGCCTCTTGTCACGTGATGACGGTATCCATATCCTGTGCTTGTTGCTCTTATTATGATACGCTCCCGAGGTAGACACGTCCTTACAAAATGGTGGCTGCTCCTGATCCTCTGACATGTATGACATGTTCAGTCCGTACTCTACTGCTCCCCATTGCTTCATGTACTCGTTAGCTTTCGAACGTAGTTCTTGAAGACTCGCTGCATGATCAACAATAAGTATTTCAGCAGAGCTGATGTCCCTGTATCGGTAATAGTGTATTAGCTTCTCTTCCGAGCTCTCTCCGCTATCAATGGCGTTGCGGACCTGACGGAGGCAGTACCTGAGTGGTATTGTAGTTATACCGACATAATGAATGTCTCTATGGGCCAGTATGTACACCAGGTGACTCAGGGAACAGAACCTTGTACTAACTGTGTAGTTGGGATTGTTCTTTATCATACACTTTACTACTTTACAGAGTTTGCAGTCGGACCAGTCGCAGTAGTCTTCATCTAGCCCCAAGTTGTCACTCTTTACAAGGAAATCTGTTGGATAGGACTCCCAACTCTCAGTCTTGAAGCAGGAGGAGATTGAGTCTTCACTTGATTCACTGGCACAGTCACTGTTGGGTTGATTGGTAGCCATATTGTGTGATGGCTTCACTCTAGGGCAATCACTGTAGTGACTAGTAGCTGTAGGGAGGAGAATGAGTGGTTGTTCTTGGAGAGGTGCTACATATTTAGGCCCTGATTTCCTGTTGTCACTTTGTAAGAAATGCATGAAGGAGTGAACCGTTTGCTTAGCATTCTGTAGGAATCATTATTATAGTGTATTCTTGGATTTTTGATACTTGAGGCATTTTAACTACATGTATGCTATGTAAGACCTAGCTTCAGTGCTCTTATTTAGTTTTTAAAAGAAGGTATGGGAATTTTATTTACAAGAAATGATGATGTCAGCATTGCAATGATAACCAACAACATGTTTACCATGAAAGTGCTGACAAGGAAAGTATCATATTACATTTTGGTGATAACACTCAGGTGCTTAAGGTATCATAATGGGGCTAAAATAAAGGGAATAAATTACATTTGAATCATAAACACACTCAGGTGGTTAAATATAATGGGGGGCTAAAGTAATCTACATTTGAATGATAAACACACTCAGGTGGTTAAAATATCATCATAATGGGAGCTAAAATAAAGGGAATAAATGAAAAAGTTTCAAAAACTAGACTACAGCAGCAAAAAGGGAAATAAAATTTAAAAGTATAGCAGCAAAAGTTATATAAGTTCAGCAAAGTTCAGGAGCTTTTTTACTTCTTAGTGTTTAATCCATTCTTCTTATACTTTGGCATGTATTTTGCCTTTTCTTTCTCCAGCTTCTTGGGGTTGCTGCTTTGAAAGAGGACTTTAACTTTGGCCTTTCCAAAGTCATTTCCAGGCTTTCTGTAATATTTGATTATTTTCTGCCCTTCTCCTTGCCCTGTCTTTATAGCATGGCGGTATTGATTTAGACGGTGATTTAGCGGACCTGTAGTTTTTCCTAGAATATGGGCACCTTTTTTGCTAGTTATAAGATACACAGAACCTTTTTTATCAGTAGTCTTCTTTCCGCATGACTTATGAGATTTAGCTGGCATCTTGAGCTCTTTCTTTACTCTAGTTGATATAATAGACCACTTCACTTTGAGGCTCTTCTTGTAATGTCCCGCCAAAAAGTGACCCTCTTAATACTATGAATACTGAATACATACATGTAGGAATATTCCCCTAAATATAGGTTGGACAACGCATTTGAGGTTTCTACGTGATTTAGATTACCGAGGAAACAAATTTAATTAACCGAGGGCGTAGCCCGAGGTTAATTAATGTTTTCAAGGTAATCTAAATCATGTAGAAACTGAAAATGCATTGTCTAGGTTCTTTAGATTATAGTCAGGTAATGTTAGGCAGTGGGCTCGTTACCAACAAGGATGATGGTGTTGCTAACCAGTCTTTTCCATGTTCTGAAAAGCTATTGGTCAGTGATTTTACCTTGGGAGACGCTATAGCGACAGCACAAGACAGTTTCAAGTCAAAACTAGCTAGGTCCGACAAAGGTATCACTCGGCAATGTCTTCTACAATACTAGCCTGTCCTGTTAGAGCTCTGTAGCAAACAGCACCAGGACAAAGATACACTATCCCAAACCAGCAAGGAGTGCCAGCATCCGTAACTGCCAGGCGAAAAAACGAGGGTAGAAACAATTATTGGTGCATAAACCAATGGAATACTTGGTGTAGGTGGAAGCTACAACTTGATGAAACTCCGTCTATGATGTCTCTCAGTTGCGAAGAGCTAGCAAAATCTATGGAAATGTTTGTCCTGGAAGTGAGGAAAAAAGACGGCACTGAACTTATGTTCCTAATACTCTATACCACATGGTGTGTGGTATCTAGCTATAATGAACAAAACAATGTTTGAATGAACAAAACAACAAAACAATGATGACAAAAACAATGTTTGAAATGGGAGGAATAAAAAGGAGTCAAAACTAATCATTCTTTACAAGCAACTGCAGCGACCCGTTTATACAAAGAAGGTGTTGATGAACAACTGATAATGGAACACATTGGTCACCATAGCATCGATGGAGTGAGAAGCTACAAGAGGGCATCACAGCTGAACAAATGATTGAGATATCAGATATTTTAGCGAACACTCAAAATACTCAACAAACAAAAAAAATTTAAAATGTCGATGGACGGTGTGAACGACTAATTGCTTTCAGTAACTGCACAAATTTGACTGTAAATATTCAAAAATAACAATTTTATTATTATAAATAATGGTTATTAATAAGTAATCTAAGAAGTTATTAAGAGGTAACTAAGCTACTTAGATTACCTCATTTGACCAATCAAATTGCCTCATTTTACCTGACTATAATCTAACTACTGGTACTGGTATGGTATCTTTATGTAAAAGTAAAATTCTTAAAAGAAACCTAGAATAAAAAAATTACTATACATGTGTATATTGTAGCCTTTAGTTTCAAGTCTTTCTTTAAAGTTTAGAGTTCAATCCATTTCTCATGCTGTCATACTCCTGTATGTATTCTACTTCCTTTTGACGCAGCTTTTGACTTACCTTGCCTCCTCTTGGCTTGTACAGAACTTGAACCGTGGCCTTTTCAAAATTATTCCTTCTGTAATAATCAATGAATTTCTGTCCATCACCATGCCCTGCTCTGATAGCTTCACGGTGCTGTCCCATACGATGCTTCAGTGTGCGTGTAGTTATTCCAACATATTTCTTACCTCTTGTACTAACTATGAGATAGACAACATTTTTAAGATCACTCCTGCATGATTTGATAGGTACACAAGAGTAAGGAGGCATATTGAGCTCTTTCTTGGTATTATAAATCTTTTGCTGTGGGCTGTTTGTAGGTACTGTGTCTTGCCAAAATGTGGGTGAGTATTAGTACTATTATGGTATCACGTAGTGTCTTCCGTCTCTATGAATAGTGTTATTGGAAGAGTAATTTTTCCACACTGTACTTCTAGTATTATCAATCAATAATTTAGAGCTGTTACTACTGAACTCTGCCCCCAAGAGAATATGCATGCTGCATCTGCGTTTAATCTCAATTTTTGTGAATCAGTTGTATTTTTATTAATAAAATTTATTTTAAGAACAGCATACAAAATAGAAAAAAAGTATCTCAGCAGCAAAAATTATTTGTTCCTTTCTTTCTTTACCACTTAGTATTCAGCCCATTATTGACACTATTATACTGTGCTATGTAGAAATGCTCCATCTCTTCCAATTCTTCCTCATTTTGAGCTGTATCTAAAATTTCTTTAGTAGCTGCATCAAAATCATGGTTTCTATAGTATTCTATGAACTTTCTTCCATCTCCACGACCATCCTTAATAGCATAACGGTGTTGAGACATACGATGCTTGAAATTGTTGGTCTTACCAACATAAGGAACACCTTTAGCACTTGTTATTAAGTATACTACAAAGCCTGTACCACTACCTCCATCAGTTTCCTCTTGAATGTTGTCACTTTCTCTTCCGTATTCTGCACACAGTTGGCAAGATGGTCCATCACATTCATCTGAGTAGTTAGCCATTATTGGTTATTAGTTGCACTCTAGCTTTATGTCGTGTTTTGGCACAGCGATGATGCTTATCTGGTTTTCCCCTGGGAATTCCCCTTTATGACTGTATTACAATGTTTCCTGATAGTCTCTTTTATGCCACTCTCATTAGACTTATAGTTTATAATTTATGTAGCCATGTACTAGTTTCTTCTTGAATATGTGCATATCTCATGTTTTTTTAATTTTTTGTGGTATCTTGATATAATTTTTCTAGCTAAATTATGCATTTATTCTTTTCTATAGCTCTGGTAGTACTCACTACACTGGTTGGGTATGCAATGGCTCCTTCTCCTACAATACCCTCTGTTCTATTGTATAGTTGTGTGGGGACAGCTTTGTGTTCAGCTGCTGCTAATACTTTTAATCAGGTAATGAGTAATCTAATGCAGCATTAGATACATCAATAGACATATTGTTATGTAGAAAGTTTGGCCAAATATTGATCATATTTTCTCAAATTCTTGACTTGAGTTTTGGCCAGTGGTTATTCAACAAAAACTTACATTTACTGTGAGCTGTTTGATTTTTCATGAATTGTGAGATTCTTGAAAGCTTTAGATACACAGTTAGCCTATACAAATATTCATTGCCTTCCAAAAACTATTGACCACAATTATTTATTCATTTATTTAGTGGATAGAAGTTCCTTTTGATTCTCAAATGTCACGCACAAGAAACCGAGTCCTAGTAAGAGGACTGATGAGGTGAGTCAATTAAATATGCACTTTCATATCTACTTAACTTTCTTTGCCTGTAGCCCTCTCCATGCTCTCTCCTTTGGTATAATATCAGGAGTAACTGGTACTCTTATACTAGCCACTGGAGTCAATGCATTAACAGCAACTCTAGGAGTATTCAATATAATCCTCTACAGTGCAGTGTATACTCCAATGAAGAGGCTGAGCATTGCTAATACTTGGGTAGGCTCAGTTGTTGGTGCTATACCGCCAGTAATGGGCTGGACTGCATGCACTGGGACCCTCTCACCCTCTGCATTCATTCTGGCTGGTGTTCTCTTTGCTTGGCAGTTTCCTCATTTCAATGCACTCAGTTGGAGTCATCAAGGCGACTACTCGCGTGGCGGGTATCGCATGATGTCAGTAACAGATCCTCTTTTATGCAGGAAAGTTGCTCTCAGATACTCTCTTTCTCTCATTCCCATATGCACTGCTGCTCCTGTATTTGGTCTCACAACATGGTGGTTTGCTTTTGACTCTGCTCTACCAAACCTATGGCTCTCCTATCTTTCTTGGAAATTCTACCAGGACTCTGATTTCAAGTCAGCTAGGAGATTGTTTCACTTCTCTCTCGTTCACCTCCCTCTTCTCCTTGGACTGATGTTACTCAATAAAGCATCATGGAAGACTGATGGATCACCATCATCAGACAAGATGAAAAGAGAACACTCAGAATAGTTTAAAATAGTTTTATATTTATTATTATTATTATTACAAAGATAGTTTGTATCATTATACTATAGGCATGAAATTAATGAATTAATGATGAGAAATGTGATATTAATCAGTTTTTATAAGTCACTCCTTTTCTGTGGTGGGAGACAACAATGTTAAGTAGCCTGTTCTTGGGTAGAGTTGATAGTAGGGTTGTTAAAAAATCTACAAAAAAGAGAATAAAATAAAATGACATGCTATATAGATACTCCTTCACCTGGATTGAGTGAGACTATTCCAACATCGAGACCAATCTGCAAAAACTGAGACAGTCTTTCCAACGAGAGCTCAGTCTTGTTCTTTTCCTCCTGGAGGAGTGTCGCTGTTTTCTGTTGAAACTCTAAGAGTCTTCCAACCAGTGAAGAAAGGCTGGTACTAGTCATTGCAATGTGAACGGGAGAGCTCGAGAGAGACATGAGGTAAGTCAATAGGTTAGCATGAAGCTGTGACATTGAGCTCCTGTACTCTGTGACCAGCTGCTTCTCCTCGTCCCTCCCTCTCAGTCTTCTCTCTGTGTTCCTCACTATCCACTGGTCGGGTATTAGAGGCTCTAGTATTACCCACTGGGCCACACCCATTAACGGAGGGGCATTGATGGGGCGTTTGACTCTCTGCGATCGAATGAGAATCGGAGAGTCCCTAGTATCAGGGAAGGTGGTTAGAGAATCGGGATTAGTTAGGATCCATTGAGAGAGTAAATGAATACATCTCAATGGAGGGCATGAAGCATGACCGATGGAACTACCTGAAAACAAATGAATATTACAATAATCACTAGTTTCCCTTACTGGAGCTTATAGGGAATGAAGATGTAAGATGAAGAATGAGGAGCTTAGTAAACGATGGACAGTTATTGCCTAGTGCCAGCAATGGCTCCATTGCATTGGGCAATAGTTCACAAAACTCTGAGTATATGTTAGTAGCTAGTTCTGCAGCTGCAATCGGATATAACTATAGAAAGAAAGAAAGGATAGAAGATATGGATTAATTGAATCTCACCTCCATCCAGTAAGTGGTGCAGTGTAGCACTGTGCCATTCCCCAGCCCAGAGATACTTAATGATACGAGTTTCTTCAATAAAGACAGTCGATGCGCTGATGCTACCTGCAACAATAGTAGGCTAATGTGTAAAATTAATTTGAGTTTATGACCATTAAACAAAAAATAAAAAAAGGAAATAAAATACCTCATCATCATCTGCCAAACCAAAAAGAGTATCAAACAATGCTAGCTGTATCTCTTTGCTCAGTTGTCTCTCTTCTACTTGTCCTCTCAGTGCCTCTAGGAGCTCCAATTCTTCAAACACATTGAAAGGCCACTCTACAGATGAAGAAGCAGCAGCAGTAGGTACTAACAATATATAACTATCAATAAGAGAAAGGAGCTTCTCTTTGTTTGGTAGTGACGAGACGACAAGATCAGGTGAAGAGAGTGAACGAATATACCTGGAATAAAATAATGAAATGTGTGGTGATTTTTATATTTTTAAAATCACCTTTCTACCATGCTAAGTATAAAGTTACATGCTGCTGGTTTCTGAAGGGTCTTTAGCGTTTGGTCAATCTCAGAGTCACCTGAAAGGTAAAGATTAATATATAGACTGCCACACAGTGCTCCATACCATCTCTGTTCTCTACATGAGGAGATTTTTTCTTATTTTGTCTCAGCTTGTGAGCTGCCATTTTATTAAAGGGCGTGGCTACACAATGGGCGTGGTTGTGCGTCGTTACAGTGACGTCATTTACAGGTCACGTGATTTGTTTTAAAATGGATGACTCGCTGGAGGCTTTACTGGGTAAGTGAAATACCTCTTCGCTTGCTTTAGTTGTTCTTAAACATCAGTCAGACACTAACCACAGATTTATATAACCCTCTCTTTTTTAACTGTTGCTTTTAATATCCCATACACTCAATAGTGTCAACGAGCCCTTTTGTTCTGCGTCCTTTAATTTCTTCTCTCTTCCTCCTTTTCTTTCCCTCTCCCCATTCCTCTCCATTACAGAGAAAGCCACTAATCCTAAGAACAGATATGAAGACTGGGAATTCATTATGGCTTTCTGTGACAAAGTCAATGCAGAAATGGAAGGGTAAGAGCTAAGAAGTGTATACATTATACTCAATGGGGCATGTGATAATGTGATTGGACTTCTAACCATACATACGTGTACATGTATAATATTGAATGTTCTAATAGTTGATTTACTCATTTATTCTCTACAGGCCACAGGTTGCACTCAAGATAATAGTCCCCAAGATACAAGACAAGAATGAAAAGGTTGCTCTACTCGCACTGGCTGTAAGTTGATATCACTTTTACTTTTAGTATCATTGAATGACCATTCATTATTATTGCCAACTATGGACTCAGTGGACTGCATGCATATGTACATGAACAAATGTAGATGTGTACACTTGCATAACTTGCATACACTACATGTGTATTTATTGGAAGGGAAAGAAACTATAAATCTTGTACCTGCCACTACTAAACAAACGATTTGTAATTTGTAATTTGTGCTTTGTATGTTTGTATTACTTCATCTAATGGTGACCCCAAATATGGGGGCATTAGGACTCATATGATCAGCTCTTAATCAATATCATCCACTGGCTAGATAGTCACATACATTAAATCACTCTGTTGTACTTCCTTTTTGTTGCATGTTTTGATAATTGAAGACCCAATAGTTAATGGTATTTAATCATTTCAGCTCTTGGTGCATTTATTTTATGCTAAGAAGTCTCTAATTGAGATACCCAATTAACTGAATCCTATAAAATTTTGTGAAAAAAATTTGCTGCTTACAACATTCTTTGCAATAATTTTAACAAAAAAACTGGTTAGATGCCACAAAGTAGGTGGCATAGCCTTAACCATGTGTTGTAAGTTGAAAGTCCGAAGACTTTTCTCGTCCTTATCGAGGGAGATGCTAACCTTCTCTCGGCTCATACAACACAATCTATAACTTGTAGCAGCTTCCTTTTATACCTCTGCAATGTTTACACAATTTACTATTGTGGGTTGGCAGACTATGTATGAATGTCGTTAACACTACATCACTTCCTGTCCTATAGCTATTGGAGGCTTGTGTGAAGAATTGTGGTCGCAAGTTCCACCAGGAATTGGGAAAGTTTCGGTTTCTTAATGAGCTTATACGCATGATCTCACCAAAGGTAAATGATGGACATACATGTACTGTACATGTACTTGTTACAATCCATTTATTCATGCCTATAAGCTTTATACATGTACTGTTTGAATTGAAGTACTTTATTATAAGTAAACTGTATGCATTTGCTTTTCATTAGTATCTAGGTAAAGATATACCTGAAAAGGTTCAGGAAAAGGTAAAGGCAATGTTGTATAGTTGGAAGATTGGTCTGCCTAGTGAGACAAAGATAGCAGAGGCTTATGAAATGCTTAAGAAGCAAGGTATGGAGGACATGCCATTGATTTGTAGACGATAACAATATTCTTTTTTTAGGTTTAGTTTTTGATGAAAGTGCCGCTCGTGATAAAACACTAGAAGAAGCAGCTACTAAACCGAAAATCGCTTTGCAAGAAGACCCTAGGCAATCTCAGGTATTTGATTAATCATCTCTCACTTTATGTCAGTATATCTTCATCGGTCATCCCTCCCCCTCTCTATCTGTTTCCTCCTTGCCTTCCTCTAGATGTTAGGTAAATTGATAAAAAGTCAGAATCCAGAAGACCTTCGTGCTGCCAACAGATTAATAAGGGACATGGTTCGGAGGGTAAGAGAAGGATTATGATTATAATTATTACAGTTTGTGCATTGCTAGGACGAGAAGAGGATGGAAAAACTCAAGAAGCGTCTCGATGATCTTGAGTTGATTAACAACAACGTCAAACTCCTCAATGAGATGCTCTCACATTTTAAACCGGATGCACCTGAACATGAGAAACAAATTATTGAAGTACAATACTCTCTCCCTCTCTCTCTCTCTCTCTCTCTCTCTCTCTCTCTCTCTCTCTCTCTCTCTCTCTCTCTCTCTCTCTTTTTTCCTTAATGATGTACCGTGTGTATTATCTCATGTTAGGAATTACATTCATCAGTGGAGAAGATGCGTCCACAGTTGTTCCGAATGGCGAGCGAGCTCCAACCAAACGAAGAAGGCATGACAGAGATACTGAAGGCAAACGATTCCCTTATTCGAGTGCTTGACTCGTACGAAAAGAAAATGGGAAAGAAAAAAGAAGGAGGAGGAGAGGGAGAGGCAAAAGGAGCAGCAACCGGAGGAGGAGGAGAATTACCAAGTACTTTTGGTGACCCTGTTCCATCTACAAGCGCCACAGGAGGGGGAGACAGCAGTATTCTCTTGGATTTAGCTGATTTGAATTTTGGTAATCCCCCAACTCCCCCTGCCCCTGTTCGTAGTCAAGGTAACGAGGTCAACCTGTTGGATGATGTTAGTTTGGGTGAGTTAGAGTGTGTATTTTAACCCTTTATCAACTGGTTTTTATCTTGTAGCACTTCCTAGTCTTAATGCAGCACCATTAGTAAGTGATTATTTATTATTATTTATTTATTTATTTATTTATTTTATTTATTTATTTTCATAGCCTAGTTTAGATTTCATGACACAGGATCAGCCTCCGTTAGGCGGAATGGGAGGTGTTAGTAAAACCGGGCAAACAGGTTCTGTTCCTGCTCCAGCAACCAGTCAAACGACCGGCTTTGACCTATTGGGTGATTTTAATTTACTCTCTGGTCCTATGGTACCACCTCCTTCAACTGGAGCTCTGCCCATTTCTTCTGGAGCTCCACCCACCTCTGGAGTATTTAATGGATTACTTGATGGGAATTCAGCTAAACCTTTTGGAGCTCCGCCCACCTCCGGAGGAATGTTTAATGGACTGATTAATAGTACACCGTCTCAGTCTGCTGTAGCTCCACCTTTTGGTGGTCCTATGATTGGTACCACACCTACTTCCGTTCCTATGATTAGTACCACGCCTACTTCTGTTTCTATGATTGGTGCCACACCTACTTCCGTTCCTCTTTCAACTAATCCTCTACCTCCTACAAGTATTTCATTGGCCACACCTCCTATGAGTGTGTCAATGACCACACCCCCTGGTCCTCTATTAGGTGCTGATCCTCTTAGTGCTCTTGATAAGGTCTTTGTTCCAATTGACACCATAAAGCCAGCTAGTAAGAGAGAGAGAGAGAATGTACATCCATGCAACTTAGGAAAAATGCACATGTGTATAGATCACATTTAAGTTAATTAGAAATTTTAAATCTACGGCCATGGGCTATAGTACAAGGTTTTTCACCAAAAGTGGCAAGGAGAGAATTCTTCATTTTTATAATTTTTTCTGGTGCATATACATGTGTTTTTGTATAATGTAGAAAGTTTGAGCTGATTCCGGTCAAATTTGGATTTTTTTATGATTTTTAAAAGTTGCTTCAAAATTGGGCCAAAGTCCCTGTACTATAGTACAGGGTTTCGAGCCAAATTTCATCAAAAATGACTAGGTAAGAATTTTTGGTTTTTATAATTTTTTCTGATGCATATACATGTACTTATGTTGCGTAGAAAGTTTGAGCTCAATCTGATCAAGTTTGAATTTTTTATGAATTTTTAAAAGTTGCTTCAAAATTGGGCCAAAGTCCCTGTACTATAGTACAGGGTCTCAGGGTCTCAAGCCAAATTTCACCAAAAATGACTAAGAGAGATTTCTCCATTTAAAAATTTTATTTTATACTCGTGTGTGAATGAGTAATTGTAATATATTTGTTGTATAGGTTCTAAACCTCCCCTTCAAGTCTTAAGTAAAGGAGGAGTCAATGTTTCATTACTTTTTACTGAAGTAAGAACAACAATAAAAATACATTCTGCAAGGATTGATCTTTTCTCTCTCATTCAGAATGCACCTGCTCCTGATATCATGGTAATGGTAATGTCAACAATTAGCACAAATCCTTTTCCAATTTCAAATTATTTGATACAAGCAGCTGCTCCTAAGGCAAGCCATTCAATCCATCGTTATTCTCAATGTTAGCATTCACTGGTTTTAGGTTATGAAAGTGAAGCTCCAGCCACCAACCGGCTCTGATTTGATGGCGTATAATCCACTGAGTCCACCTGCTAGTGTTTCTCAGATTATGCTTCTTGCTAATCCTACCAAGGTAAGGCAATACAATACGGAAGTTGAATGTGCTTTATGAAATACAATTGCCATGACTTAATTGACATGTGTATTGTGTTACTGAAAATGAAGAGTGACAAAGCTATTTTATATTTTTTTATTGTATTTTTTCTGGATGTAGGCTCCTGTTAGGTTACGTTTCAGAATAAGTTATACTCCACAAAACGGAGCAGAAGTAGTTGAAATCGCTGAAGTGTCTTTTTCTTCGGCATAGCTGACTTGTTGCATACTCCTTCAGTCCTCCCTACTCTCTCTCTCTCTTTGATCCTCTCTCTTTCTCTCTTGGTGCTGTCTTGCTGTCTGCTGTGAAACTTTTTGTATCATGTAAATACTGTAATAAGTTTTAATGATTATTATTATTATTATCATTATAATTATTGTATTGTTTTTGTAGCCCATTTCTTCTTTATTGACTTATTGTTTGAACATTAAACTATAATCAGTACCTAGTTGAAAGGTACTGTACCTCTAATCTTAAGATTAAATGATAATAATGTGAATGGGATTAACAAAACAGCTGCTTCTAATGGTAGTAAACCAATGATTAAAACCACCACTTCATTAACACCACAAATTAGAAAGATATTATTGTTTAGGTCAAGTGTGAACAACAATATTTAAACGTGTGAACAAGCTTGTTGCTCACTCACAAGAACATGGCCAAGATGCTTTTATACATAATAATTGTCACCAAAGTATCCCTGCTTGCTGCTATTAAAAGACAAAATGAAGTCACAATAAAATTAAAACCATTCAAAATTACTTCTTTAGATTATAAAATACAACAAACAGACACAGCAACAAACACACACAAGTAGATACATGTATCAGATAGAAAAAAAGAGACAGTGAGTGAGAGAAAGAAGGATTCACAGGAAAGTGTTTGGATGAAAGATGCTAATACCAAGCACACAAACAAAGACACATAGTTAAACTACGTTGGAGCTGCTATCTGTGACAATGGCTCTTTAAGATAACCTGCTAAAGTTTCCATCTGAAAGGAGGAGGGGAAATATAAGAGATATGTATTTCAACAACAGTTATATATATTTACTATTATAGTACATTGGGTAAATCATTCTCGTTTTACCTTAACTTTGAGTAATCCTAATCCAACACTCTTCTGGGCATAAATACACAATAATAGATTGGCTACCTTCTTTATAGCGACACAGCCATCCTAAAAGAATAAAATGGCACCCATGAATCAACACACCCACAATATCTCACCTCACACTGTAAGACTATCAGCTCCAGTGGCTTGTCCTCCATCGTAGCGTTGGAGTTCTTGTCATACGACATCCATATATTAGCAGCAATGGCGGCTGTGACATGCTCTTTCTTTTCACTTTTCCCAGCAAAGGCCATTAGCGAACCTTCTTGATTTAAAAGGCTAGAAAAGTTATTGTTATTAGTTGAGGGAGGGCAGGAGTGTTTCTTACAGTGTACAGTGTATTCCTCCAGTGTTTGCCTGTTCTAAAACTCGTGTAAGGGCTTTGGGTTTCAACATCTTTATCCACCAAGTTTAAGTTCTCTTCCTAGTCTCCTTTTTTGTGGTCACGTGGTACGAGTGATGTCATGTGACGTAGTCACTACACACGTGGTTAGAAATGGAGGCTGAAGAAGAATCAATGGATGTAGAAGCGATTCTTTCTGCTCATCAGAGCAAGTTTAAATCAACAGAAGTGAATAAAGAGGTCGAGCTTCAGTTTGATTTGGGTCGTTTGCTGGCAACAGATCTCAATGAAATTGAAGCACAATCACTCAAGACCAAGTTGATAATAATTCACCATTCATTGTTATTTTAATTATTAATATCAGACAGAAAGATGGCTATCTTCTTAACTTAATGAGAGACAACACACAGCTATTAATCAATGAGATATGGAAGGTATGCTATGGAACTAAACAACACTGAAACATTTGTTTTTTAGTTTCCAGTTGAAAATAATGATGGCGGTATCTCTGTTCAGGTATCATTAATTATAATATTAAATGTATAATAATAATTATTATTAGCTTCCTTCTCCAAAGACGGTCCTTCCACGTGAAAAACCGGTAAAGCCAGTTTGTCCTGTTTATAACGACTTTTCTTCCATTTAGATACCCAAAGAAAAAGAACCGACGAAATGGGAGCAATTTGCCCAAACTAAAGTAAGACAAGAACTCACATGATTATCACATGACATCATAATGTTGTGCAGGGAATAGCAAAAAAGAAGAGATCAAAGATGGTTTTTGATGAGAAAAGTCAAGTATGTCATTTTATATTTTATTCATTTCACATTGCTAGAATGCATCTAATACAGTAACAGTTATATCAAGTAGTGTCCAATAGTAGATTGTATTGTCTAGGAATGGAAGCCAAGATGGGGCTACAAGAGAATAAATGATCCCAAGGAAGACTGGCTCATTGAAGTCCCAGATAATGCTGGTACTGATGATGTGTAGTGAATTGTTAAAGTAAGGTTGGTGTATTTGCATAGATCCTTATGAGGATCCTTTTGAGAAGAAATCTGAAGACAGAAAGGAAAGGATAGCAAAGAATGAATACCAACGTTTGAGGAATATCGCAAGAGCTGACAAAAGTGGACGAGTGAAAGGTAAGGAACTATAATCCATGTCTCACTCCTCCTCTGTCTCTCATTGTATCAGCTCCATTACCTCCAGCGTATGCTGCAAAGCTAAACAAGCATCAAGTATGTTAACTATAGATAATCTTATGTGTTTGTATCATGTGATCATCAGGTGACACATGCGCTTGGTATGGCAAGAAAATCGACTGCATCTATTGGTAAATTCACACCTAAACTGGTGAGCTTATTATTTCAAACTCGTCATCTTGTAAATTTATTGTTTTATTCTGCAGTCGAAAGAGCCAGCTGCTAAGAGTGCTGGAAAGAAAAGCAAAGTCAGAAAAGGATTTATTTCGATTGTCATTAATTAATAATTATTTTGTTTAGTTTCGTCCGGTTGTTGGGAAGAAAGGAGAAGAGAGAGCACTCAATTTGGAAATATTAAAGAAAATGTCGAAGAAGACAGATATTTTGGATGTGAAGAAGGCCACAAGCAAATTTATATCAGATGAGCATGAAAAGTGAATCAGCCATTTTAGTTCTAAATGTAACTAGTTCTCTCAGAGCACATGCAGAGAAGCAGCAAGGAATACGAAAAAAGAAAAACAAACATGTCAGTCACAAAGCAGGAAAGAAACCGGTAAAGTTGATGAAACAAAAGGCAAGAAGAAAGAAAAGATGATCCAAATACTTTTTCTCTGCAAATAAATTACTTTTATTGTGAGGTGTGTTCGTAATAGTATTATTATTATAAAAAATAACTTTTCGAGTTATGATTTGTCTTAGTATCTTTGATGCATTATCTGCATGCAACGAACAAGAGAGTCACAACCAATGTGCTCCTAAAAATCACAACAGATCAGTTACACATACAAACAGATTGTATATCCATAACACACTGATATTCCAGAATCTCTATCTTGTAGTGTGATGACACCATTTGAGATCGTGCCATCATCTATCAACACTCTCATTGGAGTGCCTATCTCATCTTGACTGTATGACACAGTATACTTAATGCATTAACATGTCCCCTTACTCACTATGCAAGTCTTGATTCTAGTGATCCTTCGTTGTAAGATTTCGAAGTGATTGGAATCATGTTAAGTTCACTAGCCAGTTTATCACAGAACTACAGGCAGTATAAGATGTGTGTAATTGTTGTTCATTAGGCAATTTTTATCTCACCATTACTTGGTCTTGTACATTCTCTTCAGGAAGAAATGCTAACTTGATTGGAGCAAGTCTTCTGTGAATTTTCAACAAAGCCTTTCTCATAATGTACACAAAGCCAATGATACTGTTACTTACATTGATTGGTGATTCATCTGTCCATTGCCTGTAATTGTCAAAGAAAGCATCTCTCAAGATACTCCATAAACCTAAGAGAAGAAATAATGTACACACATGTATAAGTCAAGTGAGTCTTGACCTGTATCAAGTCTAGTCATGAAATGAAGGACGCTCTTGTTTTTAAGCTGATATGTATCTATGTTCTCAATAACAATGTATTCTGAATCCTGGTTTAGCTCAGTGTTTGGTAAAATAAACTGAGACAAGGAAGTGTGACATTATACAAGAGGAGACAGAGAACTTGAGAATGAAGGCTATACAGGATGGTTACTTTAATGTAGGAATTTTTTTCATCCAATACAAAATTCTCAGGACGACAAGCAAACTAATAATAACAATGAAAAATGACAGTGAAATTTTGTCAAACTTTTGCTCATAACTCAACAAATATTTCATGGAATCAGCTCAAACTTTCTACAGAGCATAAGTGCATCAATATGTATCAGAAAATGTAATAAAAATCGGGGGTGATTTCGGAGCCATTTTTCGAAAAAAACCATGGGCTATAGCCTTGGGTATTTTTCAAAATTTGGCCGTTCTAAAAAATTGCTCATAACTAAAAAAATTGAAGCCGGAATCAGCTCAAACTTTCTACAGAGAATAAGTGCATCAATATGTATCAGAAAATGTAATAAAAATTGGGGGTGATTTTGGAGCCATTTTTTGGAAAAAACCATGGGCTATAGCCTTGGGTATTTTTCAAAATTTGGCCGTTCTAAAAAATTGCTCATAACTAAAAAAATTGAAGCCGGAATCAGCTCAAACTTTCTACAGAGAATAAGTGCATCAATATGTATCAGAAAATGTAATAAAAAGTGGGGGTGATTTCGGAGCCATTTTTTGGAAAAACCATGGGCTATAGCCTTGGGTAATTTTCAAAATTTGACCGTTTTTAAAAAATGCTCATAACTCAAAAAATTGAAGCCGGAATCAGCTCAAACTTTCTACAGAGCATAAGTGCATCAATATGTATCAGAAAATTTAATAAAAATTGGGAGTGATTTCGGAGTCATTTTTTGAAAAAACCATGGGTTATAGCCTTGGGTAATTTTCAAAATTTGGCTGTTTTTAAAAAATGCTCATAACTCAAAAAATTGAAGTCGGAATCGACTCAAACTTTCTACAGAGCATAAGGGCATCAATATGTATCAGAAAATGTAATAAAAATTTGGGATGACTTCGGAGCCATTTTTGGCTACTTTTAAAATTGGCCATAACTAGCATAGAAATATCAATATGTAGGCAGTGTTTTGAAAGACTAGTATTTTTATAGCACAAGGATTTTTTACTCCTTCTTACTTGCTTCCACCATTGTAATCGACTCCTTTGCCAAAAAATAATCCATTCTTGAGACACAAACGAAGGACAAACATAATATAAATGCAATTGCTCTCTATTGTATAAACTACTCGTGTTTGATGAATTAGCTAATAGGAGAGTTACGAGTAAAGAACGAATGTATTATTGCTTACCGTAAAAGCTCAAGCCAAATGGCAATGGAAACTCTAAAAATTTTAACCAATTTGTAGCGACACTTTTGGGTGTGGCCATTTCGAAATTAAACTAAACAAAATTGATTAATGTCACTGAGCAGAGTGACTTACAGGAGAATGAACCAGGTGTACATTAGCAGAGCTGGCGGAGACAGTTGAGTATTCCCTAAATTTTATCATTAAAAAATATATATATATAACAGATTCACAGTGTCACCCCCACCATTCTGTGATGAAATTTCTTCTCATTGCTGCCCCGAGAGGTCCATAGCCAACCACAGTCTGGAGCAATTCCTGTACTGTAGAGGATGAAATGATACTACTAGCAGCCTCGGTCGTCAAGAAAAACCCATTCTTAGTACAAAGAGAGAACATGTGGAGGCACATGTGTAGCGATATAAATGAATATGGGATGGTATGCCACGCCTTATGCTAGATTTTTATTTGTGCTGCTCTGGCTTAGCATTCTTTTAACCACCACGAGTACAATAAAGAAGAGTCATAATGGAGGTAGACTGTGCCCCTGAGACAGATGAAGAGAAGCCTGTAGGTGTAGGGAAACAGTTAGGATTTCCTTGCTCTCCTTTTAGGAGTGGTAGCCGTTTTAAAGGCTTTCAGCAGAGCAAAGGCAATAAATATCAAGTTGAAGTTATTATTCAGGTAAACATGTATGAGTAGGTACATCAGTATACTCGTTAGTCTTATGCAGTATATAGACCATAGCAACGACCTCTTGTCAGGATATTTAAAGATACAAGGACTTACCGAGGTAATATATGAAAATTAAAATTTGTATTTAGTACATTAATGTATCGATTAGTCTTCATAATTATGCATCAGTACTTAAATAAATTGTACAATCGTATGCAACATTTATCATAAGAAGATTGTGTGTCTGTATCGTATTCTTTTAAATAGGAATTTCCAACATTAATAACATTCTTTGAAGGTGAAGTTATAGGTGACAAGCATCACTTCTTAACAAGAAAATGGGATGCAACGGAAGATATCGATAGAAAGCACTGGGGAAAGTTCACCGCCTTTCGCCCGTTTTCAAAAAGTTTCAACTCCGATACATTTGATTACAAATCAATCAAAGACACGAACTGTGTCTTCATGAGATGGAAGGTACATTTACTTGACAAGTAAAGTAATACTGTATAGTCTTTATTCTTGATACTATGCTGCACATTAAATACATGTCCATTAATTGCATAGAAGCTGCAATAGTGTAATAGGTATAGTGGCAGTTTTATAATTGCATGGTTGTAAATTTATAGTGTCCAAAGTGCATTAACTTTGTCTCTAACGAACGTAGGAATTGTTTTTAGTTCCTGATCACAGGATCACTGACATTAATGGAGCTTCTCTTGCTGGCTTTTATTACATTTGTCTTGATCTGACCACTAGAAACATAGATGGGTTTTATTTTCATAGACTATCAGACTGGTAAGGAAAAGAGAAAATAATATATAGCATTTTATTATTATTATTGTTGTTATATATGGTACAGGTTCCAGTCAATTACACTTCAGGAAGTGCAGAAGAAAAGAATATCAACTTTTCAATTTCATTAGCAATGATGACACTATCTTTCATTCAATGCTGTATCTTTTCATTTATTGCTGTGTCTATTAATCAAGTCATTGTTATTTTATTGTGATCATATTTAATGCAACAATCATTAGTAGATCTAATTATTGATTTTTATTATGACCACTGAATAATTATTTTTTTAATAATAATAATTATAAAAAGAAATCTCTTGATTGTAACTCATGGTCTTTGTGTCAAAATCATCTCTAAAAAATATCCAAATTTTATTAGTACTACAATCAGCATCAGAAAAATTATCTTAAATCACAAAAACAATCAATTATTATGTACAATGTTAGTTCAACTGCAAAAATCACAAGTCCTATACAGTATACACTAATTAACATACTATTACCAGCTCTAAATCATTGGGGGGGATAATACAAGACAACAATGTGGCCTAACAATAACTATGATCCTTAAATACATTCACCCTTAACATGAGATCTGTGTTCACTGCATGCATTAGATACAGCACAACAAGTGTGAGCAAAGTAAGAATTCCTTTTAAGGTTGAGAGTCTTCAGATTCGCTGGTTGTAGAAGGAGGAGGATTGAGAGAAGGAGGAGGCTGATCAGTTGATGTAGACTGGCCAGGAAAACGAATAGCAAGCTTTTGCTTTTGTTTTCTTGTCCTTGGCTTAGGTGGTCCATCAACTCGCTCAAGCTCGCGAGCCGACAGTTCACCAAAATAATCAATGTATTGCGACATAGTCTTCACCTTTCCCTGGACGTCGTCCTCTGGGACCGCCCGAAGAGATTCGCGCATCAGCTCAACGACATCTTGCGGGAAAAGCCCAGCAAACTGCCCATGATCGAGCCCTTGGGAAGGTGGTTTGACATAATTATCGCCAATACACTGATCCTGTGCAAGAGTGATGGAGTTAGTAGTAGACTCTGGATTGCTACTAGAGGTAATACTGTTATCACTACTGCCCATATTGAAAACAGTGGAGTCACTCATCATTGAAGACTCAACAGCAATGTTGGTAGCTTCTTGATGAAGACAATCACTGTTCCCTTTATTCTCAACTGCTTCAGCCTCCATTCCCTCACCCTCCTCCTCCACTTTATTCTCCTCTCTCTCACACTCCACATCCTCCACAACTAAGAACTGATTTCCTCCAATGCTCTCCTCAGTTCCCTCAATAGGAAAATCTTCCATACTCAGACCTTTCAAGCTCATTAGCTCTTGCACTGAGTCTATATCAAGGAAATCCAGGCTAATCGATGGCAGAGGTTCTTCCACCATAGTTTGATATCTACTTGCTAGCTCATCAGGGACAGAGCCAAGTTCATTGATATCAGCCTTTAGATAATCTGGTGCTTCTAGGGGGCAACCATTCCTTGAAGGGTAAGGCCGACCAGTCGGGGCCCATACTACAAGATCCTCAGCAGCAAGATGAATGACATGAGGTGCGTGAGAGAGAGGTGACTCAAGCCAATTGTAAATATCCGGATCATCAGGACGGTGAAATTCAGAGAGGTAGACAGTGGGGAGTAGCGCTAGCGAGACACGATTGTCATGTATTGTTAGAAGATGACGCAATTGCTCACAGAACAGACCCTGAGTGGTGAATACAAGACGAGGCTCAGGAACTGCAGCAACCTAGAATAAACAAATACATTGTACATGACTTTTTCAAATCATCATTATCCATCCATCTTTCTTTGCTTTATCTCATTCTTGCTCTACCTTAATGAAAGGGCTCAGTTCGTTAGTTTCTGAGAGTTCATCCAGTGTCTCTGCTGAGAGCTCCTCTAATACGAGAGGTACACCAAAGTGATCCTGATAGCAGCTCATGAAGTGAGTCATTGAAATGCACTCGGGCCCTCTAAAGAACAGCAACTCGGTGGCTAATGACGCAAACACCTCACGACGAGCTTTAGGTGTTAGAGACAACACATCATCGGTAAACTACAAGGATAATAAACACAACATGTAAACCTTATGAGTATATGTACTGTGTGGTGTAGAAATTTCTCCATTTTTATTACTAATAATGCATGTACATGTGCGATCTTACATTTAATACATTCCTAAGTATTTTGTTCTTCAATAGCTTTCCAATAGTCGAGTTAGCATAAACTCTAGGATTAAGCTTGTGGCCATAGCACTCCTGATACAAGGACTCTATGCCCTTGAGGCTGATAGTGTAATTAGGGACCGGCTTGTAAACAAACAAGTGCTGGATATCTCTGCCTAGCTTCCACAAGGCATCACTTAATATCAGTGAGACCATGACAAAATCACTTGCTGGATTCAGAAACTAAGGACAAAAAAGAGAAAGTAAAATAGAGAGAGTAAAGAAGAAAGTAAGTAAGATTACAATTTTTTATGATGCAGTTACATTAAGTGAATGATTCATTTCAACTTACTTTAAATTTATACTTCCTTCCATTATACTTCTTAATGCAGTGCAGAATGTCCTTTGGCTGTGGTGTTGCAGGGTCAATGTTCTTCTCAAACTCCTCACTGAGTTCAGTGAGGGTCATGGCATGCTCCGGATGAGAGAGAAGGATACGATGAACTTCAGAGCACAACCTCAAGCAAGTGCTCTCCTTCAGCATACACACGTAATCATCCTCTGGGGGAAACTCAATTGAAGAAGAAGGAGGAGGAGAGAGAGGAGGAGTAGAGCGAGAGGGAGAAGGTGATATTGTTTTTCGCTCCACTTTAGCTGTTGGGTCAGGCCATTCTTGCTCTGCCTCTGGTCCAGTTGATGAAGAAACAGACTGGTTGTTACCTTGAGAAGAATCATCAGGCATTAACTGGATGATGTGCTCAGTGTCTTGTATAGATACCTATGCGTACATGTGATATAATAAATAATGGGATACCATTTTTATACACTCAAGCAAACATACTTTAACATTATAAAGATCTTTAACAGCATCAAGGATCGAACTGTAACCGATTTCACTCAAATTAATGGGTTGCTCAAAAGTCTTGAGATATTCCTGAGTAAGTTGATTCAAAGAGAGTCGCTGAGCTTTGGCCTTCACAAGGAGACAAGTAACTTGGTCAAGGAAGTTCTGGCGAGCCTCAAGCATCAATGGAGTGACATTGATAGGTGTAAAGCAGGGAGGCAGAGCCAATTTAATGAATCTTTTGGCTCCTTCGGCATTAATCTGTAAAAAAACAAGTAAAGCTTTAAAATCAATTATTTCTGTATTTGTTACTAACTTGAGCAACGTCTGGCATTGCTTCAAGAACTTGAAGCAGCTTCTTCTTCCCATAAACTTCAGGACTGAAGTCCTTTTTAAACTTGGCCTTGTACATCGGAACAACCTGAGGCATCACTATACCGTCAGGATTCTCTAAGAGGAGGAGCCTTATCTCGCAAGCAAATAATCTCAGAGGAGACAGGATAATCTCACGTTTTGGTCCAGATCCTGAAATCTAATTCAAATTTGCAAGTTACATTTATACTTCAAATAAGTTACACATCCATCTTACCACAATGGTGTCTTTTATTTCCTGAAGGTAGTCTATTAATTTGCTGTGACCGCCATAGTCTGGTAGCTTCTTTTTAAAGTGCAGTTCGTATTGATGCAAAAAACGATCCAGTGTTACCATGTGATCTGGGAGAGAATACAAAAGCTCTTCTATCAATAGTTCTTGGTTCTCCTCTTTCTTTACAAGCTGCACTCTTTTCTCGTTGCCTTCACCAACAATCTAAAAAAAGAAAAACAATAAAAATTTCAATAAAAAAAAATTTTTTAAAAGGAATGCGTTGGCCGGGAATCGAACCCGGATCTACTGCTTGGAAGGCAACAATGCTGACCATTACACCACCAACGCCCTTCCTGACAATTTGATCACATAGATTCAAATTTATACCTCCACAATGTCTGGCATCGTCAGCAATAAATTTGATAGTTTCTTTGCACCATAATTAGCCAGGATTAAAGGCTTTTGATAGCGGCGGGAAAACTCAGAGGGAACATGCAACAGCTGCATAGAAGCACCAGGAGAACTTGCAAGCATTTCAACCAACTGGGCCTTGAGCTCTTGAATCCTAGCAGGGACAACATTAGCAGGAGAATCAGTTGAATCAGTTGGAATACTAGCAGCTGCTTCCTAAATAATAATAATAAAATTAGTAGAGAGAGAGAGAGAGATCAAGAACTCACTTTAGCTCCAGAAGTAACAAGAACCACCATAGTATCACTATTGGTGCCTCTGGGCCCTCTCCTCACCTAACATAAGGAATCATTACTCATTAGAGTATCCATAGACTCCATATTACAGTGTACATGTACATGTGCCCTACCTGAACTCCTGGGCAATGACTAAGAAGACGTCCCATGCCACTCTCTCCAGGAATAATGTTAGAGACTTTGATGGACTTGTGAAAATGAGTCTGATACTCTTGCTGTATCTTACTACAAGTATACGTACAAAATAAAATGCATAAACATAATGTCCTCCGTACTTTAAAGGTAGCTGCTTGTCTGGATAGCAAGACAGCAACTCGATGAATTCTCTATTAGCAATTTCAAGCAACTCCCTCTGCTTAACAGTGGAGAGATCTATAAATAGGAACAATCATTAATAAAAGAAGAGGATAAAGCCATGTTGGTCAAGGTTTCTTTAAAATGTTCATAACTACATCTACATGTAACTTTGAAGTTTTTTTTTATAAAATTGATTAACTAGTAATTGTTCATGCAAAGTAACGAATAGTATAAGTGACTGGTTAACCTGATCTCGGGCTTTTCTCTCTTAGCTCTAGGAACATGGTGGCCGGTGTCTCTCCCTTCATTATAAAGAGAGGACAGCCGACGAGCAAATCCTGAAGATCAGTGCTCCTTCTCTTCTTCTTAGAGACAGGGAGTGGTCCAAACTTAGTCTGATACGCTTCAACAAAACTAGAAAGAAAGACAGACATTAAAATGATATAGGCTGTAGCTAACTCGAGAATTCCGATCCTGTTCTTTCTCATACTCAGTAGTAATTGGTGAGTATTTGTTAGTAGGATATGACTACTGCCAGACTCAATGGAGACAATTGGATTAAACTCACTGAATATCAAAACCTATGGAACACAAAACTAAGATCGAAATATTGTATTTCTTAAAGTCAAATTCTTTCATACAGTGATACAGTGGGTATTTAATATATTCAGATCTCTAATGCAATAGAACAAATGTAAATGCAAGCATTGATGTGACTTTAAAATTCTATATACATGTACATGTACATTATACATGTACATGTACATGTAATTATAACTAACGTGATCTTTCTCTAGTTGAGCACCAATGAGTACGACAGCTCCTTGACAGGAACTTTGTATCATCATCTGAGAGAGACTCATCTGGTATCTACATAAATATACATGTACATCATGTGTAGGGTTTAATTCCTACTGATTTAAAGCAACTTTAAAAATTCGTAAAAAATTCAAACTTGATCGAAATCAGTTCAAACTTTCTACACAGCATAAGAACATGTATATGCATCAAATAAAATTTTTAAATTGGAAAATTCTCTCCTTGTCAAATTTGGTGAAATTTGGCCAAAATCCCTGTACTATAGTACAGGGACTTTTGTCCGATTTTTGAGCAAATTTAAAAATTCGTAAAAAATTCAAACTTGATCGGAATCAGTTCAAACTTTCTACACAACATAAAAACATGTATATGCATAAGATAAAATCATAAAAATGGAAAATTCTCTCCTGGCCATTTTTGATGAAATACCCTGTACTATAGTACAGGGAGTCTTTGGCCCAATTTTGAGCAACTTAACAATCCGCTGACAAGAAGCTGCATACATGAGTCATGAGTACTACATGTGTATGCTACAATCCTGTGGAAAACCTTGCATACAACTATTACATGTACATGTACAAGTACATGTACATGTACAAGTACATGTACATGTACAAGTACATGTACAAGTAACATTAAACTCACATTTGAGCATAGCTCTCTAGAAAAGGTCCCCACTGACACCAGTGCTTCTCATACTTCCTCAATAAAGAGACGACATTAGAGCAGATCATGACATCCTCCTCCTTCTCTCTATTCAGAAGGACCACCTCCCACAGTAGACCCTTCTCTTGGCATCGGCGCGTCACTTCAGAGGCACAGGTTAACGCAAACTTCTCCGCTATCTTTGAGGAGAGGGTTTTGTCCTTTATCTTGCTTAGTATCAGCGACTCTTTCTTAATGCTGGCTGTGTTGTACAAATCAAAATCAGTTACGAGGGAGACCTCAGAGAAATTTGACCAGTAGTCTTTGAGAGAAGAGCACTACAGAGAGAGAGAAAGGAAGAGATAGAGTGAATAAAGTATATGTACAAGTTTTTTTAAATGTCATAATAGCTGCAGTAAAGTAAATGGCAGCAAAGGACATAGAGTTTACTACTTTGCAGGTAATACTAGCTTTATTGTTAGTGTACAATACAATTCATGATCTATTGGATAGTAGTAATTACACAAACTTCTTCTACGTTGCCAAAAATAACTCAAAGGACAACCAAAGTCAATGTTATTGTAACACAAAAAAGGACTGTACCTTGATGTTACTGGCTAATCTCATCTCTGTAAATGATGATACTGCTTTCTGAATATCCAACTCAGATTTAACATATACACCTTTCACAAGAAACTTTAATGTGATAGGACCAGATGAAACCTATCAATAAGAACTAAATATAATATCATAAACTATACCTCTTCACTTACCCTTGTGACAGGAGGTGGCTGGAAATGTGGGGCACGAGGTTGGTCCAATAAAGGACGAGGGTGAGAGGGAAATGGGTAATTGGGAGGACGAGGGATAATAGGAGCAGGACCGAATAGGGCAGGCCTCTGTGGAGGAGGAGGACGAGGGTAGGGCGGAGGAAAGGCCGAAGGAGGAACAGAATATGGAGGATGGACGGGATGACGATACATAGGACCAGGAGGAGGAGGAGGATGGAAAGGGTGCCCAGTTGGCATGGGGGGACGCTGATAGGGAGCACCAAAAAGAGGCTTCCTTAGATCAGGACGAGGATTCATAGGGACGTGGTGAGGAGGGGGAGGATTAAAAGGGACATGGTGGTGGTGAGGAGGAGGAGGAGGGTGAGGTGAGTGAGGAGATCTGGGAGCCTCAACTTCAACTTTTATTCGACGACCATACACATCTTCTCCATTCATTCTCTTTTGTGCCCTACACAATGTACACACACACACACACATATATAAATGCAAAGACACATAAGGAATCTTTTCTGCACGTAATAATAACAAAACTCATCAACAGTAAGCTATTGCAATAACATTATAAGATAAGGACGGTAATAATATATAACAAACAATCCCACGGGGGAAAAACAACTCACTTCCTAGCAAAATCTTCACTCTTAAACAACACACGGGCAGTACCAGGAGGACGAGAAACCTCAATGACCTTTCCTCCACAGTTATCGGCTAATCGAGAGAGACGGTTCCTCAACTTAGAAGCCTCAATGCTTGGCAGGCCAGTGACAAGGACTGTCGTTGGTAAAGGGACAGAAGCTTTCTTGTAGGGCTCCACGTCAGCAATAAACTCATCGTATAAGTGAGTGACGTGAGCGCATATTTTAAGTGCCTCAGTTGCTTGAGCATTGTGAAGGAGGATGATGTTAAGGTTGTGAACATGATTCAGATCATTGAGTTCGGGCGAGAAGTTTATGTCGCCCGAGACTAGGACAACGGTAGCCGGTGGTAGGTAAGTGTGGGCAAACTTTCTAAGGCTATGCCTTAGCTTATCATCAGCAGCATTCTTGGCAATAGCGTTGACATGAACTATTGTTACCTAAGGAGAGAGATAAAAGGTGAATAATAACAAAGCTATTAAAAACAGAAACCTTATACACTGTATCTATAGTTTCCTTTTAATACAACATACAGGCGCAAGTGTACATTTATTTTCACATGACTTACATGTGCTTTGTGTAGCTCATCAATGACATTCTTCCTCTCTTTCGTTATATCGCAGACACACATAAACTCTGCCTCTCTCTTCCCGTGGAAAAAAGTAGATCTCATTTTGTTTGCCAGTGAAAATGCGGACTTGTCCACGGGGACTGGACAATTCTCAATGTCCCAGAAAAGACCCACTGGTTCTAATAGAGCTGGGCTACTCATCACTGGCAATGGGGCCTTCTCTTTCTTCTCTCCATTAGCAACCGGAGGGCTCAGCTTCTCTTCATCAAGATCCTCTTCGCTATCGGAGTTGTCTCCATCAAGAGGGACACTGTTTCCTCCTTTCCTTGCTTCAAGGCTCATCAGACGAGTGAGTGACTGCGGCTGCTTGTCTTCCTCATCGCTCAATAACCTCTCATACATGCTGACCTCTTCCCCGTCTTGCTCTTCATCAGACACATCAAAAGACTGACTGGACGCCACTGGCCCGTGGAGTGATGATGGCTTATGATTGTCCATAGCTCTTGAGAGATTAGGACTATTGCCGCTAGCAGAAGACGAGAAGGAAGACATAAAGGCCGAGGGAGGGAGAGGAGAGCGTGAGAGAGGTTTTGTCCCAGCAAAGTGTGATGGAAGTGTTAAATGTCCAGCACTTGGTGAGACGCTGGGCTCACTACCATCATCATCATCATCCTCCTCCTCCTCTAACCATTCTTCTTCATCTTCATCTTCTTCTTCCTCTCCTTCTTCATATTCATATTCGTCTTCATCTTCAGAGGAAGAGCAATAGCTGTTCTCCTCATACTCAAGCATAGAGTCGTCAGAGTTAGAGAGACTAAGCATGCTCCCCCCATTACCAGTACTAGCCACACTATCAATAGGATAGAGCAATCCTTCGGGATCATTACTGCTGTCACTCAAGGCAGATCTATGATGGCCAATTGGTATATACCCACCTCGACCTGATCTCCTAGCTGGCTGTCTGCCAGGAAGGGCCACGTGTCTCTGCGTCCCTGGTCTATTAACAACAGTAGTAGTTAGGCACTCGGAGCTCCTTGAATTGCCTCCTCCTAAATGAATAATTTATGAATGAATCAAAAGAGAATACAAGGTGATAATCGTACTTTCTAGTTTGACAGGTGCAGCAGTTTGTTGTTTCAGTTTTGGGTGCTGTTTGGGACATTGTTTGTTTTTGCACTTTTTCAGTTGCCATTGCTCACACACTGGAGCTGGATCACTGAACATCACATGTCGATATAAACACTAGGAGAGAGAGAGAGAGAGAGAGAAATCAGTAGAGAGTGGTTTGTGGTTAAATTCATAGCCACATGCCAGAAGCAATACTATACATTGTACTTGGGTCTTAATCAATGACAAAATAACTAAAATAAAGGCTAAGCTTTAACGTGTTAGACTATTAAGACATGAGACATTTTATATGGAATAATTTTAGTGCCGTTACTATAAAAAGATACTTTTAAAAACTCTAGCAACACTCACTTTATCTCCTTTCTGACAGCTGGTACCAAAAGAACAGTCGGTCAGTGGTCGATAGTCAACAGGTTTCTTCAAATGACCTTCCTTCCCTAATTCCCTTGGCCCTTTGGTCTTTATTTCTTGACCGTAAAACGTGTGCTTGCTCATTCCTTTCGCTGCCTTTTGAGCATCTCCACCATTTGAAAAGTTAACATAGCCAAAGTTACCCAAAGGTCTTCTCTCCACAGAACAAGATATAATGGGACCATAGCCAGAGAAGGTTTGCTTTAGAGTCCTCTCGTCAATGAGTTCATGAAGATTCCCAACCCATACAGGATAGGTTATACCAACAGCAGAAGCAGGACCACTGCTAGTTCTAGTGATGAAGGAGGTTTTAGCATCACCACGTTTCATGGCGGGTCCTTTCTTGCTGGTAGTTTTAGTTTTCTTAGCAGGAGCAGTAGATGTGGTACTGCCCTTCCTGGCGGTAGAGCTATTCTTTTTGGTCGAGTCTTTGGTAGGATCGCTCGCTTTAGTCGAGCTGGCTCTCCTTTTGGTCTTAGGGCTGGAGGTGGGACTGGTCTTGCTGTGCCCTGTCTTTTTATTACCAGCCGGGCCGCTCTTCTTGCTCTGTTTGAAGGAAGTGTTGGATTGCTTTGAGGCCATTCTATGGTATAAAAATACTATGATATAAAGAAGATGACAGAGCTTTAAGAAAAATAAGCACTCGAGGCCAAAGGGACACCCCCCACTCTCCTCCTATTTCCCGAATTCCCGCCTATTTTTGCAAAAGCCACGCCTATAACCAGCCACACCTCTAATCCTTTGCAAACCAACCAAAGCAACCATGGAGGATCAACCTAGGAAAAGATCTAGCACAAATAGATTCTCTTTCTCTGATGTAGTTAAAAATGCAGTGGAGCCAGGAGTGAACCACTCTGTAATGATGTTTGTGAATATTGTTTTCCTTCTTTTGATCCTAACCATTATCATATGGATTGGGTTCTCCAATGGGAAGCTCTACATGATTGTGCTCTTGATGCTGGCCTTTGGCTTGTTCATAGCCTTTAACAAGTAAGCCGGTACCTAGTAGCCAACTCCTCTTTTTTATGATCCCACAGGTTTGTTGCGATGGTGGTAGAGGAAGAAAAGAAAGCTAAACTGAGGAAACCTGAACCTTCAAACGAAGAAGACAAGACAGATTAAATTTAAATCAAAAATCAGCTAATTGTAAATATAATAATATTTTCCAATGATAATTGAGTCACTGTATATACACCATAATCAGAAGTGCTACATTAAAATACATGAATTGTAGTCTCAATGGACTGTATTAATGTTCACACGTTCCACTATACCCATTCACTCATTGTGGGACATGAATTCCAAGTCAAATGGAGTAACAAGAAGTACACCAAGTATCTATAGGACTATAAAGTGCATGAGCTGCTGTTACTAAAAACACAAAAGCTGTTCTAAAAAGTATGATGAATTCAACAAGACAAGAGTACAAAGAAGTATTATAAGTAAGGAGGATCATGTATTGTTAGTGCTCATTATTGAATCTTGTCTCTTGAGTAAAGTCTCATCATTCCAGGATGCACTTGGACCTGTAATGGACCATACTCTGTCCGCTCTCCATCAATTGATATAATGCCTGGAGATATTGGAACAAGGCGAAACGCCTTTGTACGAATCTCGTGAAAATTTGCTATCTTTTCTGCACCAGTTTTCTCACCCATCTTTGCTAGCAACTGTCCCCTTGTGACATCATCAAGCGTATAAATGATTCTAAATTCTCCTGAATTTGTCTTTGAGTCTGCACAAAAAACTGACTCGTCACCCAAATGTCCTGACATGAGAGCTACAAAAATAACAAAGTTCCCTTCAATGGTTTTCCAGTTATCAGGCACTGGATCAGATACACTAATACTTGTTGTTGGCCTCACTGCCTCCTCAGTAGTGGCACCATTAGCTACTACATTCTCCTCATCTTCAATAGGCAAGTACATTAACTGACCATGATATGATCTCTTCCTCACTAAGCACAATATTGCACCAATGCTAAAGCGTATTGGTCCCAGGAACCTAAGTCTTTCTGACTCAATGTCAATGACTCCAATCATTCCCCAGTTTATGAGGACGCAAATATACGAGTGTGAAGAAATGGATGAGACTGAAGCAATATCGTGTTTCTTAATGCCTCCGTTGATTATCTGAAACACTGCATTTTCTATCACACCGAATTCTTCACTAAAATAATTATGATTAAAAAGTTACTGCAATGATGATCTATCATACTTGGCTTCTTGGAGGAGTGATGACACTAGTGCATTCCCTGATCCAGTGGGTATTACACCAATTGGAGTCTCGATAGCTGTTTCCCAATCAGGTCTGGCCATTAGACCATTCATAACCTAAAGATCAAATTTACAATTTTACAAATATATATCTGAATGAATCATCAAATTGCCCCAAAAGTACCTCATAAATAATTCCATCACCTGAAACAATTACAATCCCTGTTATGGTTGATAAATCAAAGGATTCCACAAATTCCTTTGCATGTAGTTGTCTTTCTATATAGGGGAAGTATGTAAACTCTCGGAGCTTCAACACACTAACCAGTTAAAAGTTCATGTACAATGATGGCACCTCCTACTTCAAACATTGGCCGAGCAATGGTACGAAACAATTTCACGCTATTCTT